AGTGATGAGAATAATAATAACAATCAAAATATCAGTTAAGGGATTATAAATTGATTCAATTCCAAATTCTCCAAACTAACATCACAAGAACTGTATGGGAGACCGTAAGGAGAATTAGTGATGAGATCTTGATGATATCTTGTGAAAGATGCGTGCGTATCATTATTGGGGATATAATTTCTCTTTTCTGTCAGAGCTTTCTTCTTTTACAAACAGAAATGAGGAAAAAGAACGCAAAAAAAGTTCTAGTAATTTTTAGGAATTTGATTATTGTTATTAGTATAATTGTTGTTGTTATTATCATTATTTTACAAAACAAGATTTTTCTCCAATCTTTGTTTTGCAGGATTTTCAGATTCTTGATTTTGGTTTCGTTTGTCATACGATCAGAAATAACAGCGAAAGAGACACGATTGATTTTTGCAAGGTAAGAAGAAAAATAAATTTGCGTAATATTCTTCTCCAAAATTTTTTTTTTTAATCACAACGGAAAGAAATTAACTATTAGCCGTAAAATGCCCCAAATTACAAACAGTAGCCTTAAAAGCTATCACCCCATCGAGACCCTTTTAAAACTGGTGACGATTTGGAGGTTCAGTGATTTTTTTTATCGCTCAAATCCATGTTTTGTTCCTCACCGGCGTGACTCTTGCTATTAACATTTATCTTCTTTTACGGGCTTTTATTTCAGTTTCTTGCTTTGGTTTATGTATGTCACGCGATCAACACATTAAACTCGGCGCGTGTTTGTCTGTAAGGTAAGCTTCTTAAAAACAATCTTAGCATTAGGTCATTTTCCTATTCTAAATACCTTGTGCAAAAACTTGTTTTAATCAGTGATAGGAGTATAGGAGATCCAAGGGATCTCAGAAAATGAGGGACATTTTCCGCCACAAAGTTTAATATAAACATAAATCTATGAGCTAAAAATATCGGACTACGCCACCCTTAACTTTTACCTCCAAGATTTGATTAGTAATTCTCCCTTCTTGCTCCTATACATTTCCTTTAAAACAGGTTTAGAGAATTTGATGTTGGGTAAAATGACATCCTTAAGCTGATCAGTTTTTGTATTCTCATCACCTGTTTGCGTGTTAATGCTTTGATATTGCAAAGGAGAAGCTACTTGAAAATCATTCACCTCTGAGAGTTGAAGGGTTAATAAGAAACAAGGCAGATCAAATTTTAAGAGCAAAAAAATTTATAATAACAATGCACAAGTTCCAATCTTTTTCTACGCATGTTGTAGGATAAGTGTAAAGTGGAGATATTGCAGACTTGACTTTTAAACAACTTGAATTCTCTTTTTTTGATCAGTCAAGTCCTTACTTTGTTATAACACTATGAATTATATAGCTGGCAGCGTCCACAGGCAATATGAAGCAAATCCTGGGCCCATCTTCCCATTTGGGATCGCCCTCTTTGATCTCGAGCAAGAAAACAAGCTTATAATTTTTGGACAATGTTGGCGATGAAGTCGCCAAAAGCGGCAGAAAACATTCAAGTTTGACTTGCTACAAACACAGTTGGCTTTCTTTCCCAGTTCTTAAGATAAATAAGTCATTTTTTTTTTGTCCGAGCGAATTATTTTTGCCATACAGCAAAACCTTTATTGACCAAGCATGTTCAGTCAAGAGGGCTGAATATTAGTCTCTTTGGCGTTTTTTTATGAACTTCCACTTTGTCTCGATCCACCATAACACACACGCAAAATAAGAAAACTCAGCGAATGCAGCAATCTTCTTCATTACGCTTGGACAAGAACGAATATTTATTTGCATTTATCAATGACAGGTTAAGTTTTTCCTTCACTTTCTTGCTTCTGGTTCCATCTATCAAACAACAAGGATACTGTTTTAAAAGGCGAAATGTCTTTCTCTGAATATAGTTATACGGCTGCCACTCGTTAATTTTCACTTTTTCTGAATGAATTTCCGTTATCATTCTGTCAGATAAATATTGGAAGAATCAAGCTCTAGGCAAAACTAGAGTGGTTCGGAAAAAACACTCGCCTGTTACGTCGCATATGAAAAAAAAATTTTTCCCATCATTTAAGGAGCCTCCATAGAGTTTTTGCTCAATGTTGGCGCGCGCGCCAGCGTAATGTTTTTCTAGAAAAATTTTTGTCTTTTCGCTTTTCAAGGTCGCTAAAAGCCATCAGATGGGCGATGAATAAGGCTCGGACTAGTGTTTGCCGTAGTAAATATTATCAAAATGATTTTCGTTGTTAAGCTAAGGCTGCAAGAAGGGAGGCGTTCGCCAGTGATAATTTGGCTTTGCCCTTGATTTTCTTCAATTTGCTTCAGTGAAATCTCTCAAAAATTTTCACAATTTGGGAAATTTGTCCTGCCGATAATTTAAAAGCCGAAAAAAATAGGGGTTACAGAAGCAGTTTCCTCGCTATTTGCAATTTTGTGATGTCTCCCTCCATCTCCAATTTGGTCTTATGAATTTATTTTATCAACAGGCACTAGGAAGGACACAAATATGTTTAACGGTCCAGCAAATCCTAGGAAATTCCACCAAAGGAAACGCCATAAATTTTTCTCGAAGATCCCTATTTTATTTGTCGCAAAACATAACGTAGTGGTAGATCTATATCTGAGCATGCGTAAACTTTCAAATCTATCGCGTCATATGTCGCCTTTTGTTAATCTCTCCCTCGGAGTTTTCTTTTCGGTAGACCTCTTCTCCAGGCACAGAAGGCCTATGAATATTACAGGTGCAGTTGCTGGAAGCCCTTTATTCCATCGCATAAAAACTTTTTGTGTTAAACTGTTTTTAACACACATTTTCAGATGACAATTGTGCGATCGTAGCGAGCCGCCATGTTTGTTTTCCATGTTGACACTTTAAAAAATCGCGCTATGTTAGCGCCTAGATCTCGCGCGGTCAAAAAACCCTATGGAGCCTCCGTAAGAAATGATATTCAACAAATTATACTAGGCGTCGAAAATAAATTTCATTGCATGTCTGCCCAAAGTGAACCTATGCGGCGGTTGAAAAAAATAATACAGTAAAGTTCTGTGACACAAATTAAACTATTCTCTCAATGAATTCAAAAAACGAAGTTTTAAATCTGAAATACTTTTGATATATTTCATCTGGATAAGTTGCGCGCAGATAAAACATCAGCAGTAGGATTCAGTGTTAATATGGACCTGTTTGAAATTGTGTATCTATCGTTTTTCCATCAAAGAGACGGGTCATTATTGATCGGAGTCGAAACCGAACGGGGAGTTAAATTCTAGTAATAGCCGGCTAATGGGGATATGCCTGCGGATAAGATGGCATTTTCACGACTACATTGACTATTATGGGGTTGGGTTTTCAATAGACTTACTAGAATGGGGTCGCATACTTTCGGGATTTTGGGGATAAGAAAATACTTGTAATTAAGGACTTAAAAATGGGACGATAAGCGGTTAAATGGTTGTTACGGTATTGTTACGGTATTGTTACGGTATTGTTACGGTATTGTTACGGTATTGTTACGGTATTGTTACGGTATTGTTACGGTATTGTTACGGTATTGTTACGGTATTTACGGTTTGTTACGGTATTGTTACGGCATTGTTACGGCATTGTTACGTTGTTACGGTATTGTTACGGTATTGTTACGGTAAAAGTGAAGATTACGGGGTTGTTACGATTGGTTAAAAGTGAAGATGGTTTTTTGGTTAAAGTGGTTTTAATGTGATAAAGATGCGGAGGCCCCCCCCCCAAACCTGGATAGGCTGAGTCTCAAAATTGGATGTTTTAACACATTTTTAAAACACAATTTGTCCACAATTTTTCAGTTTCCATGCAAAACTCATTAGCTTTGGAAAAAAGAAAAAAGGAAATGCTGCGCATAAACCAACAAGCTTTCAAGGAAAGTGAGCGCTCTGCCTTAAAAACAGTTGCACAAAGATGGCTTCTAAATGTTATCATCTAATTTAGTTATTCAAGTTTTCTGTATTTCACTTATTTCATTTCAGAAAGGCATTCTGTTAGACACAAAAAGAGCGATGAATAACACGCGTCAAATCCTAGAGAAGATCAGGATAGGTTTGGATGTTGCTACATATCTTCTGAAGACTGATCGTGGTATACAAGCCTCTAATTTGTGTGATGAATGTGTAATCTTACTTAACAACCTAGACTTTGATATTAACGGCCTTGATGTCTCTGAGGTAATATTCAATGCGTACTACGCAATCTCTGGTTACACAAATGCAGTAAGATACACCAACAAACTTATTGACATGTTCAGCAATGCTGGAATGTCAATGTTTGAACTGGGAGACAAATATCTACGAACAAGTAGGCTTGCAGAAGCCAAGAAACTTTTTGAAAGCGTAGTTGCTATCACTAAAACAATTGGCCACAAAAGAGAAGAAGCGTGCACTTATAACAGCCTAGGATATGTGTTTCATTCACTCGGTGAATATCAGAAGGCTAAAGAATATCACGAGAAAGCACTTGCTATCGCAACACAAATTGGCGACAGGAAAGGAGAAGGAACACTGTACGGGAACCTTGGAGTCGTGTTTCGATCACTCGGTGAATATCAGAAGGCTAAAGAATATCACGAGAAAGCACTTGCTATCGCAACACAAATTGGCGACAGGAAAGGAGAAGGAAGACAGTACGGGAACCTTGGACTCGTGTTTCAATCACTCAGTGAATATCAGAAGGCTAAAGAATATCACGAGAAAGCACTTGCCATCGCAACACAAATTGGCCACAGGGAAGGAGAAGGAGCACAATACGGGAACCTTGGGCTCGTGTTTCAATCACTCGGTGAATATCAGAAGGCTAAAGAATATCACGAGAAAGCACTTGCTATCGCAACACAAATTGGCGACAGGAAAGGAGAAGGAGCACAATACGGGAACCTTGGACGCGTGTTTCAATCACTCGGTGAATATCAGAAGGCTAAAGAATATCACGAGAAAGCACTTGCTATCGCAACACAAATTGGCGACAGGGAAGAAGAAGGAAGACAGTACGGGAACCTTGGACTCGTGTTTCAATCACTCGGTGAATATCAGAAGGCTAAAGAATATCACGAGAAAGCACTTGCTATCGCAACACAAATTGGCCACAGGAAAGGAGAAGAAACACGGTACGGGAACCTTGGACTCGTGTTTCGATCACTCGGTGAATATCAGAAGGCTAAAGAATATCACGAGAAAGCACTTGCTATCGCAACACAAATTGGCGACAGGGAAGGAGAAGGAACACAGTACGGGAACCTTGGACACGTGTTTCGATCACTCGGTGAATATCAGAAGGCTAAAGAATGTCACGAGAAAGCACTTGCTATCGCAACACAAATTGGCGGCAGGAAAGGAGAAGGAAGACAGTACGAGAGCCTTGGAGTCGTGTTTGAATCACTCGGTGAATATCAGAAGGCTAAAGAATATCACGAGAAAGCACTTGCTATCGCAACACAAATTGGCGACAGGGTAGGAGAAGGAACACTGTACGGGAACCTTGGACTCGTGTTTCGATTACTCAGTGAATACCAGAAGGCTAAAGAATATCACGAGAAAGCACTTGCTATCGCAACACAAATTGGCGACAGGGAAGGAGAAGAAAAACAGTACGGGAACCTTGGACTCGTGTTTCGATCACTCGGTGAATATCAGAAGGCTAAAGAATATCACGAGAAAGCACTTGCTATCGCAACACAAATTGGCGACAGGGAAGGAGAAGGAACACATTACGGGAACCTTGGAGTCGTGTTTCAATCACTCGGTGAATATCAGAAGGCTAAAGAATATCACGAGAAAGCACTTGCTATCGCAACACAAATTGGCGACAGGGAAGGAGAGGGAAGACATTACGGGAACCTTGGAGTCGTGTTTATATCACTCGGTGAATATCAGAAGGCTAAAGAATATCACGAGAAAGCACTTGCTATCGCAACACAAATTGGCGGCAGGAAAGGAGAAGGAACACTGTACGGGAACCTTGGAGGCGTGTTTTTTTCACTCGGTGAATATCAGAAGGCTAAAGAATATCACGAGAAAGCACTTGCTATCGCAACACAAATTGGCGACAGGAAAGGAGAAGGAACACAGTACGGGAACCTTGGACACGTGTTTCAATCACTCGGTGAATATCAGAAGGCTAAAGAATATCACGAGAAAGCACTTGCTATCGCAACACAAATTGGCGACAGGGAAGGAGAAGGAAAACAGTACAGGAGGCTTGGAGATGTGTTTCTAGCACTTCGTAAAAATAAGCTGGCCAAAGAACATTTTGATAAAGCGCTCGCCATCAGTATAGAAACTGGGCACATACAGTCTGAAGGACAATGCTACGCAAGCCTGGCAACTCTGCATTGTTTGCTCAATGACTACCAGATGGCTACAGAACTATACGAAAAAAGTCTTTCTATCAGCATGAACATTGGTGATAGGGCGGGACAGGGAGAATAAGTTATCTATGCCTTGGACAAGTGTCTTTATCGCTTGGAAATTATGACGAATCGGAAAAATACTTAGAGGATGCGCGCTCAATGAGTAGCAAAATTGGAGACAATATGACTCACTTTAATAGCCTTCTCGGTATTACTCAGCTAAAGATGTCTCAATCAAAGTTAGAGGAGGCAAAGCAGTATCTTTGTCAAAGTATTGAAATTTATGAAAAGTTGCGACATTTTCTCAAAGGAAACGATGAATTTAAAACATCTCTCTTGGAAAATCACGGTAATTTCCCATACAAGTTGTTCAGTCAGATACTGCGTGCCAACGGAAGCCTGCGAGATTCTCTTAATGTGGAGGAGTTGCGACGCGCTAGAGGCCTTGCAGAATTAATGGCGGACAAACTCTTAACTGAGAGCCACATCTCAACTGATTCGACATATCGGCCTAAGATCAAAAGCATTGCAATTAAAGAGAGCAATTGTGCTGTTTTGTACATTTCATATTGTGAACGACATGTTCATTTGTGGGTCTTAAAAGCTAATGGAGACATTGACTTACGAATGAGCCCCCAAATGGAAATCGACACCCTCATGGCTGCATTCGTTTGCGATGCGGAGGATATTTTTAAGAAGAGTGCCTCCACTTTCGGAATTAAATATAATGAGAATTGCGAAGATCGATCTCTGTGTGACGACATTCCCTTGTCTCCTCAAGAAGAGAGCCGAGCACCTTTGCAAAGTGACGAAACCAAACGCAACAAAATAATTCTTCAGTTGTGTTATGACCAGATTATCGCTCCTGTAAAAGATTTACTTACAGAGCCTGAAGTCATCATTGTGCCTGAGAGGTGTTCGTACCGAGTCCCTTTTGCTGCCTTACGGGATGAGCCAGCAGGAAAGTATTTATCAGAAACCCACAGAATCCGCATTGTGCCTTCTCTGACGACTCTCGGGATCATCCAGGAATGTCCAGCGGACTACCACAGTCAGACTGGTGCACTGGTAGTGGGTGATCCTAAGGCTGGCCAAGTGCAATACAGAGGACGTATTTTCATCTTGATACCATTGTCCGGTGCAAGAAAGGAAGCAGAAATGGTTGGTCGACTCCTGGGGGTTCAGCCTTTGTTAGGAGAACACGCAACAAAGCAGGCGGTACTTCAAGCACTTCATTCAGCGAGTCTAATACATCTTGCTGCTCATGGTCATGCCGACAGAGGAGAGATTGCCCTTTCCCCTAATTGCACTACTAACGGTATTCCACAGGAAGAAGACTACCTTCTGACAATGTCCGACATTTCAAAGGTTAAGCTGCGTGCTAAACTGGTCGTACTTAGTTGTTGTCACAGTGGGCGTGGAACGTTCAAACAAGAAGGAGTCATTGGAATTGCTCGCGCGTTCCTAGCATCTGGTGCACGTTCAGTGTTGGTGGCATCGTGGGCCATACAAGACGAAGCAACAGAGCAGCTCATGAATCATTTCTACGATCGCCTGGCTGCTGGAGAAAGTGCCAGTGAGTCCCTTCACCAGGCCATGAAGTGGTTGAGAAGCAACGGCTTCACCGAACCTCGCCAATGGGCTCCGTTTGTGCTGATGGGAGACAACGTGACATTTGACTTACAGAAATTAAGGTAAGCTTGTTTCTGGTGACTAATTTTGTAAAAGTGACATTATCCACCTGTGCTCGAGAAGAAAAAGTTGTGTGACTGTAAGATTTAAGTTATGCATAAAGAGCACATTCTGACAGTTTAACTAGTCATGGTTCAGTAGGGTTATTTCAGTTTGTAAGATATTTAACATTTGAGCCATTGGACAATGCGTGTAACAACCGCAATCTGAGAAAAATAAATGAATAAATAAATAAAAAGACTAATTAACTTATTAATAAATTAATAAATACGGTGAATAAGCTAAGTCAATAACAACAGCCAAGTGATGATGGAAACGTGATTTCCTCTCTCGTAAAATGTTTTCACTTATGTCCAGAAATGCACGCAGTAACGAAAATGGCAGATTCGACGAAATTTTCTTAGAACGAGTGAATGTTCATGGATTTGACGATTTTAACGAATTTTCGCCATTTCCGTTACTTCATGCATTTCTGGACATATCTCACATCTTCCTTACTCAAAAATGTCTTTTTTTTTAGGCAAAAAGAACCGACAGAGGACGAGAATGAAGGAGACAAGAGACAGAGTAGCGACTGATCCTGGACAAAGACTTTTCCTCCTGTAAACTTGAAGGAAAACTGGTATTACTTTACACAAGAACTTTTAATTTTGCATCGCTATTTTGCGTGCTTTTTTCTTTTTTTTTTTTATTTACACGATCTTTGTGTTTAGTAGGTGATGCAATTTGCCCAAAAGGAGGAGTAAAAATGAACACACGATTGAAAAGTTGAAAACAGGAAATATGGGGTGAATTTTTTACGATGTGAAAATTATGGCACTGTTTCTTTTCACTTGAGATTACAGAAAGTCATTGACCTTTTTATTTTCCTAAGATTTGATTCTCAATTCTCCCTACAAGCTGCCATAATTTCTCTCTAAATTGATAAAGAGAATCAGTTCGGTGTTTTGTTAGAAAACAAAAAGAAAAAAAGAAATCGCCCTCAGATTGATGAGTTGGTGTATTATGATTTGTTATCAGATAGATCACGTGTAGATAGTTTTGTATGGAGAATTCAAATGTAAATCACTTCAAGGCGTTAAAGGGCGAAAGGCGAAGACATCAGTTCATTTATGGAACCTAAACTGTAGTATAATACTAACAATAATAATGGTAAGAGCCACAGAGCGCTTTTCAATCGAGAGCCATAAAACCAAAACCAGAGTAATTACAACGACCAATCGGAAGAAAAGAAAATACCTCTAAGGGCCTATTTACACGGTACGACTTTGTCGCATGCGACAAGCTTACGACAGGCTTACGACACGAATTGTTTCGTGTAAATCAAACCTACAACTCGCTTACGACTCTTAAGTCATGTCGTAGGCCTGTCGTAAGCTTGTCGCATGCGACAAAGTCGTGCCGTGTAAATAGGCCTTAAGAGACCTCAAAGTAAATCCGACCAAACTTCCTAAAGCGCAAGAAAACGCGGAAGAAAGATTGGTTTTATGAAAAGGGGAAAGTTTTTAAAGAAACTGTAGTGTTGCTTCGATAGGAGAGTCTAACAGGGTAAATTGGTATTAATGACCCATTTTACGTTATCAACTCAAACTACCCCGTGATTGGTTTTAGTTTAAGCATCTGATTGGTTAAGAGATTGGCGCCAGTTTTCTGGACCGATCACAAAGCGAAGTAAAGCAAAAAAAAAAGAAGCAATTATGGATTACTTTCGACACACAATTGAAAATCGCTCTATCATTAATATGATGATTATAATTATCTTTAAAAGTTTATTCTCAGCTCTAAGAGTCGCTGGAAGAGAGTCCCAAGCTATTGTTGTTATGGTTTACATCTTTTCTCCCGATATAAAGTCTTACAAAAAGCGCGGGATAACGCTAGGGAACAAGTCGTGATTGGTTTTAGTTTTGCTTCTGATTGGTTGAGAGATTGATGAGAGTTTCCTATGCGAGTTTTTATCACTCTTAGATGTAGCGTGGGTAAATAAAGTATTGTATTGTATTGTATTGACTGATCGGTGGAGCGAAATAATGCAAAAACAAAAGTGGAACTCAATTGAACATTGCTCTAATAGTAATGATAAATAAAACAACAGACGAAAACTGGCGTTAGATTTTATTTCAAAGTCTCACAAATTACACAAAGCCGAACGAGTTTATCCAAGTTAAGATGACAGGTAAAGCACCTAGAAGGCTGAAACTCTGAGACGATTTCGGGAGAGATTGAGGTTGTAACTTTAGCTTTATATTTGCGTTAAAGATCGGTGTAATGGACACGAATGCTAAGCTTTCAATGCAATCGGTGGAGGAATTCTCTATACTCCCTCACAGTACCAAAACCTCGCCCTGAAGTCGTCGCTACACGAGACAAACGCTGCTCCTGTAGGGGAGTGGGTGATACAGCGAATGTGGTTGTTGTGACCTAAAGAAAGAAAACGTATACAAATGGAATATTAGCACATTCAGTCCTAGTCCCAGAGTTACGTTTCACCTTCGTAGTTTCACTTCGCCCGTCTATTCAACGTCCTGTGGGGCGCACATGATATGACCGAACTTCGCAGGTGCGCTCGTTTCACAACACAGCTTTTATGTAAACGAAAGCCCGTGGCGCACGTGGAAAGAACCAACTTATCACGTGCGCTCGTTGCAGAACGCGGTCTTAATTAAAACGAAATCCCGTGAAGCTGACATCGGCGATTTTACTGACATATTTCGACGTAATTCTTACCGCGTTTAGGTTACAACTTTCAATTCGCGCATGTTAACCAACCGCGATCTTTAAAAAACTTTACGCTATATATCGCTGTCCATCTCGATTTGAGATACAGCAAGCGAAACAAGCTAATTTTAAATAACAAAATCTCCTATACACACAATTGGTTATGGAAGGTTATGATTTAATGTGTGACACAAAAAGAAAGACCAAAACTAAATCGCAATACTTTCCATAGCAACAAGAAAACCAGTTTTATTTATACCTGAATTAAGAGTTTTTTGCAGCTCTGTTGACCTCGTGTCCCAGCAAGCTATACTGTTATTCGATTCGTCGGCGGCAATCACTATTAAAGTTGAGTAAGTTAAAAATTTAGCAAAACACATAATCGTAAAGCTCCATTAAGCCCTTCCTCTCTAATGGGCCAACCTTGAATAAACCCCCTCCCAAATGAGCCCTCTCTTAGGTAAGCCCATTCCCTAAATAGTCCTCTCCTCTGATAACCCCCCTCTCTAGAAGCCCCCTTCTATTATAAACCTCCCTGTCTAGTGAAGCCCCTCGCTAACATACCCCCTCCCTATCATATCTTTAAGCCCCACTCCCTAACAAGCTTCCCCTCTCTAATAAGCTCCCCCTCTCTTATTATCTTTCCTCCTTAGCAGGTACCCCTCTCTGGCTAAAATCCCATCCCTCTAGCAGGCTCCCCTTCTCTAACAAGCTTCCCTTCTCTAATAAGCTCCCCCCTTTCTAAATATCTCCCCTCTTCAGTAAGTACCCCTATAATTTGGCTTTGAGACCCTCCCTCTCACAAGTTCCCCTTCACTAATTATCTCCCCTCCTTAGTAGGTACCCCTATAATTTGGCTATGAGACCCTCCCTCTAACAAGCTCCCCTTTTCCAATAAGCTCCCCCTTCTTAGTAAGTGCCCCTCCCTGATAAGCCTCTCCCTCTCATATTTCCCTCTCTGTAATAGGCTTCCCTCTTCCTCTCATTAGAACGTCTCCAGCACTTTCACGATAGAACCCAAAGAACAACAATTATCATCAAAGCGGACTCACAAAAATCCTCGGTGTGGTTGAAAACAATCTGTGTCCTGTAGTTTGACATTGTGGCGCCTATGTACATGCTTAGAGCCTTCCCTAAAAACGAAATTGAGCGAGTTAAAAACAGTCTCTGTTGGAAAATAACCGACTGTTGAAATTTTAGCATATTGATGCTGAACTGAGGACACATTCTGTACTCTGAGGAAAAGTTAAACGTTGACACCATTACATGAGCATTCATATTCTCCATACTGTTCTCTTTGTATTTCCCATAGTAATGCCAAGGAGAATCTGTTTGACCATCAGGAGTCTTTTGCATTAGTGATCATTACCATTATTCTCATGACATTTACATTTGATTCAAGGGTGATACTGTATGGAGAATTTAGAAGCCGGTCACTCTTGAGAGTTTAAGGGGTAAGGTACAATCACAATAGAAAACAAAATAAAATAGAAACAAGTAAAAGTTTATCGTTTTGAAATTTTTTTTACCAGTTGAGAGTTCCCATAGGTACACACGAGAATCTTTTCCACTTGAAACTATATACTGCAAGAGTAAAAAGTATTGAGCGAAAAACACGTCAAATCTTTGTCATTTTTAGGCACTAACACCAGCATGTTCCAAGCTTTTAGGAAGTGAACGCTACGAAATCCATGCGAAATAGTGAACGACAGGCGCGACAACGGCAGCAGAGCGAATAACGTGGGAGGTTTGGGTCGAATGGTTCATTACGTGTCAGACCCAAGCCTCTCTCATTTTTCCACTCCTCCGCGACTATGGCGCCGTTCTTTATCGCGCTTCGTTTAACTTCCTCAATGTTTGGAACATGCTACACTAACAAAAGATGAAATAAAACCACTAGCTTTAAAGTAAGCCTTTGTTGTCGAAAAAAATATATATGAAGTGCAAACGAACTAAGTAAAGAAATCATTATGTTCTCCCCTTACCTTTCCGTTTTGAGAGAAACAAACAGAATACACCTGCAACATAGAAAATCATCTTTGTAAGAAGATTAGCCTGATCCAGGCCTTCAGTTAGCAAAACGAAGGGCAATAGTAGCGGAGGAGTGGAAAAAAGAGAGAGGTTTGGGCGGGTGATGACTCGACCCAAGCCTCCGTCGTTTCTCTCTACCGCTTCTATCGCGCCATTTACATGACTTACTCCTTCGCTTAGTTTTATTTCTGAACGCCTGGATCAGGCCATAAAAGGAGTATTAGAGGCAAATTTACATGACTTACTACTTCGCTTAGTTTTATTTCTGAACGCCTGGATCAGGCCATAAAAGGAGTATTAGAGGCAAAGTGGACCAGTTAACAAAGAGAGAGAGGCAAGAGTGAAAACGCTGTGACTTTTAGACCCTTATTTGGCAAAGTAGACTCAGTGCGCAACAATTTTCAACAACAGTGATTTTGTTTTAAGCAATATGAACAAATAAGTCTCGCAAATTCCTTTACATTACTAACCTCTCCACCCTGGTGTGCCTGCACAAAACTAACTTCTCCACCCCGGTATGCCTGTACATAACTAACCTGTGAAGAATGGTGTGTCTGTACATAACTCACCTCTCCGCCCTGGTGTGCCTGTTCAAATGTTGCGATGCACCGGTTACTGACTCCATCCCAGATCTACAGCAAATCAGGACACGTGTTATCATGTGCCAAGTTATTTACAACAAAAATGAAAGAAAGTTTCCAACGTAATATCCATATTAATTAGACACATACAGCCCCCTTCAGGCAATCCTAAACAAAGTTATAACGAAAGCTGACGTGTGTTGGACAAGGCAGGTTCAGCGAGCCGGTCTGGAAAGGCCGTCCGGCTCCGCACTCGCACAGCTCTTTACATCTTCCAAGTTACAAACGACCACACAAGCCATCAAGTTACTGTGTTTTAAAAGTCAATCACATTTTGTGGTAAAACTCTACACAGAACGGTAATCCAGCAGGATTGTGTTCGAAGAGTCTCATGTCTTCCTTCTCCCTACTTCTGATTTCCTTTTATAGATTTCTATAAACGTTACAGTCTTTCGCTTTTGTCCGCGAGACACGGGTTGTTTCTTATGTTTTCCGCGGGAAACTGGCTCGCGGGCGCCAAAGTTGCTCCCCTTCCGTACGCCCGACGTTTGACTGAAGTGTCATCTTTTACACATTTAAAATCGTTGCCTAGCAGTGTTCGCACATACGCCAACGTGTGACAGCTGTGTTAGTCCGACTTACCTTTATTGCTCCATCCTTGCTACAAGATGCATAAAGATTAGCTGATGCGGAATATTTCACCTACAATTGATAAACGAAGCCCTATTAACCCTATAAACCTTAACATCAGTGTGCATATTCTCCATACTGTTCTCTATACATTTCCTAATGAGCTGAAATGGAGAATTTGTTTAACAAGCAAGACCTTTTTCAAGATGGTGATCATTTCCTTTATTCTCGGGACCTTAACCCTTCACACCCTAACATCAGTATACATATTCTCCATACTGTTCTTCGTACATTTCCAAAGAGGCTGACAAGGAGAATTTGTTTCACAATCAAGAGCTGCTTTAGTTGGTGATCATCTCCTCTATTCTCATAACTTTCAAGTTTGATTCAGGGGTAATTTTGTAAGGAGAAATTAGATGCTAGTCACTCGTAGGGGGCTAAAGGGTCAATGTGTGATTTAGCTGTGACATTGTAAGGAGAAATTAGATGCTAGTCATTCTTTCGGGTTAATGGACACTATAGAATTAAGTACAAGGACGCAAAAGAATTACATGTGTGTCGTTAGTTCCATGATTTATCAGCATTTGGATAATTTTCAACCTCGTGCGACCCCAGAAAAAACAACATAATTCCACGAGCCCGTAGGGCGAGTGCAGTTAATAGTCTATGAAATATTTACAAGTGTTTTATTACACCAAAAGGTACGAGATCTCATTATTAGAAATGATATGTAAAGGACCAGTCACAAGAAGGAGGAATTTGGTAGGGGGGGCTCACTTTGTTTTCAGGGGGAACGGAGAGGGAATCAGTCGTCATCAACAGAGTACAAGGGGTGGGGGAAAGGGCTGTAGAAAAATTACTGCCAATGAACTGCCAATGAAGGATGGGGGGGAGCTTCATAGGAATATTACATAGCCTTATGGGGTGATCAGGTAAGTTTTGACGTTTCACCACTAAAATCCTCCGGCAACCCCTCCCCCCCTCTCCCCCCGGGTGATAATTAATGACCAGAGTCTAGGCGAGGAATGTCTTATGAGTAAGAAATGTAGAGAAAGAGTGCTAATCTCGTACCCAGATCCCTACCGTGTAACTGTAATTGTAACTGAGATATAGGATTCTTACAACCGCTTAGCCGTGAAAGGTCTGGGAACGAGGCTATGAGAGTTCTTGTTATTGGCTCCACCGTAAAATTATTTGGCATAAATTTGTCACTAAATTTGTCACTAAATTTGTCACAAAAATCACATCACTCTCACCATATTGATAGATCCTGTGTGATATTCACGGGGGTTTGCCGGCACAAAACACTGCCCTGTGTTTGTATCATAAAGACGAACTGTAAAAAAGACGAAATGCAAAACAATTCATTTGTTTAGAGTGGGTTGAGGAAAGCACACTCCCGCAAGAATAGGATGTAAAGAAAATCGGGTAGTAGCTAGAACATGAAATAAGTAATAATCCTTGCGAAATTCAGAACAAAAATTTGTTTCAAGTGTGCGAACAAAAGTCACAGGACTTTATTATTGGGGTCAAATCACACACTGTTCTTTGAATTTGAAGTGGACCACGAGTAATCTCGTACCCAGATCCTATCGAGTAATAATCGTGAAGGTCTGGGTATGAGTCTAGACGGCGAATATGCCTGACCAGATTGTGCCTAACTTTTGACCATCTTTTGGCGCATGGAGCATTTTCGTTGCAGCTCTAGCAACGTGGAGAAGTTTTTGCCTTACAGAGCAATTTTTTAGCAAAATATAGGTTCAGAGCGCATATCAATCAAGAAAAAGTCATCTATTTCATAGATGACTTCAATGTATTCGAATTATTGAACGTTCATCAACCTTTTGAACACATGACCAGTCACTCAACAACGTTTCGTAAGCCTATTTCGTTCCATTAGACTTCAGAGCGTCTTTAAATTCTGCCCATATTCGCGAGCAACTTTTTAAACTAGGTTTCAAGCTATTTTTCTTGATTGTTGTCGGAAATTATTGTGAAGAACGACAACTAAAGCTTTTCATTAAATTTTCTATAAAAATATCAAGAAATTTCAGTAGTAACTTTAGCACTTGGCATAACAGTGAGCAACTTTCTAGCATTTTACGAGCACAATTGGGACAGGCCTAACACCAAGAGGTCCATCCTTTTTGGCGAAGTTCGTCGCGCAAGTAAAAAGATATAGCAATTTTTTCCGGTTTTGTTTTGTTTTGTTTTGTTTTTTTTCCATGCACTCGTGCGACGGACTTCCCTAAAAAGCAGAGACTGTCTGTGGTCTAGGGAATAGGAAAAGAACTAACTGGTTGGGTGTTCTGTGCCAACAAGAATGAATTCTCCTGTGGGATGAAACGACATGGATGTTACAACCTCGGCTTCCTACAAGAAAAACAAATCACAACTCACAGTTTAGCTGACGTTCTTTAGCTACTTCAAACAATTTAAAATAATCTGTGCATGCAAAACACAAACAAACAAACAAACAAAAAACAGTGCGTATAAGTTCGTAAGTTGTTTCAGTAGTAGATTCAGAGGGGGAACCAGGGGGAGAGGGGAGGAAAAGAGGGAAGGGAAGGAGGGACCCATGGGGAGAGGAGGGGAGGGGGAACCCAGGGGGCGAGGAGACCCTGGAGGAGGGATGCCCATGCCTCCCCTTCCCATCAGACCCATGGCTTTGACACCAAAATGATTGCAACAACAGGAAAACATATTACCACACAGTTTGAAGTATTAAATATTCACTTGTATTACAATATTTCTTAGCTTATTTACGCTCTTAGCTTAATGTGGTCGCTCAATTAAAAAATCTCTGCCCCCCCCCCAAACTCTTTACTCCCATGAAAAATTTTTTGGGTCTGCTCCAGAAATTGGTTACTGAGTGGTTTATGAAAAGTTCTGAATGTTGCCTTAAAACTTACTTGAAGGGAACGATAAGCCTTTTTCACTGAGGGTTTTGAGATATCAAATAGTTTCACTGTGCAGTCTTTACTACCAGATGCCAAGACCAAAGCGCTGGGATGAAATTCAACAACTGTTACTTCCTGAAACAAAACAAAAACAGTCGTGTTACACATACAGTACCGCTCAGAAGTAAGTCAACAATTCCTCGAAACTCGAACCTCGATTCCTAAAAACTTCAAGGATCGAAGATCGAGGATAGGTATTCGTGGATCGAGGATCGAGGATTGCATGGGAAGCGCAGTGGCCTAATGGTCAGTGTACTGGACTCCACGTCGAGAGGCACGGTTTTGAGACCTGACCGGGACAATGCGCTATGTTCTTAGACGAATTTCGAGACGTTCGCAACTGCAACTTTAGCTGTGCAAGTTCTTTTGGAGTTAATATACATTTTTGTACATAAAGCACGATTTGTTTTATTTCTATATCCATTTGCAAATATTCTAACTGAGTTTTGAATAAAGCTTATATTCAAAAATTTAAAAATTATCATCATCATTATTATTACTATCATTATTACATAATAAGCTTGTTATCGGCGTGTTCGTGAAATACGTACATCCATATGGTCATAAAGAGTCCTGATAACTGGATGATTCTCTAAATTAGTGCCAGCTCCTTGATCCTGTGTTTGTGGCATCGTGTTCTTTGCAACCATTCTCTCGACATCTAACACCTGCGAGAAAAGACCCGGAGAACGTAGAGAGATCAAACGTGACTGTGCTAAAGCAGCGCATCTTTTTTTTTTTGACAGCACTCAATCATAATGTATATTATTCAGCCATTCACTTCAATAGCCGCGTTACATAATTGAACTCATTAAAGGTGTTTAAAAAAGATTGTCTAATTAAGATTCTTTTGAGTAGTGAACGGGGAAGACTAGTGCTAGGTGCACTGAACTCCGCATTGAGAATTTCTGGTTCTAGCGCCATGCTAAGCACTCTCTTCAAAGGAAATGACTGAAAATGCGGGCACACGAAAAGCCGTCTCTACTAACTGTGGGCCTGGAACAAAACCACCTTTAATCACGGTGCATATCTCTCTCGTCACAAAGTTTTAAAATAATCTTTTTTTTTTCATGAAGCTCAAAATAAAATGGTAAATCTACGGTACCAGGTTATACGTAACTAGATAAGCTTTGTTGCGCAGTCTTTAAGTTTTCCAACTTTTCTTCCCTATTTTCATAATTCTATGAGCGTTTCAACTTTGTTCGCTATTTAACGCGACAGCGGTTACTCTTTGAAATAGGCGCGTATGGACAAAGCCGACCTCCTTGCACATACCAGACGTTTGACCGATGTGTTCCCTTAACCTTAAGTTGATTGTTTGAAGAACATACCTTGATGGACGCATCTACTGAGCCTGTTGCTATCAATCGACCTAAAACAGAATCATGAAACATGTAATTATATCATTTTTTCGTGAGACCGCCTAAATTCAATGGAAAACTATTTGAAATAATCAAAGTATTAGTTTTGTAACCAGAACTTCCCCGGCCAAGCGGTTAAGTCTATTCGGTAGGATCTGGGTACTAGATTATCAAAGCATTGACTACCGTTATGAATAAAGGGGGTAAGTTTTTAAAGAAACTGTAGTGCTGCGTCGGTGGGCGAGAGAGACGTTTCGAGCGTTAGCCCTTCGTCAGAGCGATTGACGAAGGGCTAACGCTCGAAACGTCAGCTTTGTTACTCTTTACGGTAGCTAATTTACGTTTTCAACTCAGTTTTTAACACTAAACTACCTGCTATTGACTACCATACATAACCGGCTGCTAGACGGAATAAAAACAGCGAAAAACGAGCATGAACACTAACACAATGAACGCTGAAAAAAGTATAACTCTTAATCATACCATTTTGACTAAAACTCGCTGTTCGGCAGGGAGCCTTGTGTGCTGTTACGTAATATGTTTCGTACATGGCTGCTGGAGGACTGGTACCATGATCTGGAAAAGAATGTCGCATGGTAAGTCCTACAAAATTCTACGATTAATTTGGAGCCTTGAAATCTGAGCTTCGTCAAAGGGTTGCTTTTCCTTCAGAAGACACTTTTTCTAGTCTCAAGTGAGTCCACAGAAGGGATGTCCCACGGTTTAATCATTGTAGACGTGACCCATATTGAATTCACCAACCATTTCCGTCCTTAAACTATCACAAACACGCTCCTTTCACATGCGCTGACTCAATTCTTTAATAGAACTCCTTCAACGATAACTGTTGAAGTTCTCGTGCGCTCATTGGTTGAGTCATGGCAACTTTGGAGTGAAACCACGAGGCTCATTAGGTTTGAAAGTTGTTGACGGGGATCTGGCACTAATATCCCTATTAGTACCAGACCGCTTCCAGGCCCATCGCAGGGTCGCGTTAATCAAGGCCTCGTACTTTCCCCCGGGGGAAGAAACACCCGTGCCAAAGCGCTAACGATGAGGACCTGCTCTAACCCTATACACCCCAACATCAGTATGCATATTCTCCATACCTTCTCTGTACATTTCGTAAGGTTCTGAAAAAGGGGAATTTGATTAAAAATCAAGCGCTCCTATAGTTGTTGATCATTTCCCTTATTCTCATGACCTCAATGTTTTATTCAGGGGTGATATTGTGAGGAGAAATTAGTCTCCAGTCCCTCTCAGGGATTAAAGGGTTAATCTCCTTTCAAGAGAGTCAATAGTATTGCAATTTGGCTGCTAAGATAAACTTATCTTCGGTAGGAATCACAGATCTGGATAACGTAAAAAATATCAATAATAATAATAATTCATAAACTTGTATACCCCACGCTACAAGACGTGATGATCGCGTGCGCATATATAATGATGTTAAAAAAAAAATATGGCACTATAGCACTGATTCCGACTGTCAATCCCACTCATGTTGACTTTGACTGAAACCAGAAACAGTTCATTTCGGACTCTACCACACAGACGATTAGGCTACAGGATCCATTGATACTGAAATGCTCGTAAAACAACTTGCATAGTATCTTTACAGCTGAAGATCTCAGAACACCAGCTCTTGAAACTACAGGGTATAAATGCAACACAGCTAGGATAATTAACTGTTGGCTTGGTGAAACAACTCTACAGTACGATTTATTTTCTCGTAACAATGCACCATGTAACATGATCCTTCAAATCTGATAAAATCTTTCTTTAGATGAAAGCCTAATAAATACTATACATAACCTTGTCAATACTATGTGCTTCATTTTTCATTCAATATATTTTACAGATCACATTCCAAAAGCTATTGCAGTTATGGTGACAAAATAACATTACAAAAGAAACGATTCAGTTTTAAACCATCTCTGGCCAGTTCCTTGATGCTGTCATCTTTGTCTCTCTTATATTTACAGGAAAAAAACTTCTCACTGTTTATAACTTCAAATAATAATTTGCGATAAATTGTATCCACATCTTAACTGAGATTACCTGGGTCTTCAAATAGTGTATAGCCAAGAACTTAAGTTACAGTGGCTTTCTGAACTTTGAATGCAACAGAGAAACTCACTGAAGAATGTAAAAAAAGCCTTAAGTATCACAGAACAATATTGCAGCCAGTGACAGAGTTAACCCCATCTTTTCCTAACTCTTCCTTTGTTAATCACTGCCACTTTGTACTTAAATTGTCACTAAACTGTAAACTGTTAATAGTTTTAATCAATAATTAATAAATGATTGTAGTCTCCTTCACATATCATGAAGTTTGCATGTTATGGAAGTTTGAAACAAAATTTCCAGATGCCAGCTTCCTGAAAATCTTCAATTCTGAACACTTGTTACAGCAGGATTGTTAACATGTACAACATAAATCTGTTGCCCAACCTCCAGTCCATCAGTTTCAGGTGTCCCCCCCTGGAGCATGACAGAACTGCAGGCACCATCAATCAAGCTATCAAGCGAAAATGTCTCCACTTCTTCAGAGCTGGAGACAGGTGTCTGTGATGACAGGCACCTGGTAGAGGGTACAGTACTCTCCCTGCTTGCACGATGAGCAGAACTGCTGGTGGGTGTCCTTGAAACCTGCAGTTCACTATCTTTACTTCTAGCAGAAGGCGATTTGGTATTTCGGAGACCAGACTGTTTGTTTGATGACTTTTGACCTTGCGTCAGAGCAGCGATTTTTGATGCCACTAAATCAGTTTCTGAAACTTTCCTTTCTGAGGAGGCTTGAAAGGCTTGAGATGATGCAGACACTGGAGGTGAAATATTAAACCTTCTGCCACATGACTGTATTAAACTTGGAGATTGAGCAGGACCATGTGGTTGTGGGGAAGCTTCGACTGAAGCACTAGATGTTTGCTCAGCTGAGTTATTACGCGAACACAACCCTTGATGTTCACTGATGTCATTTTCCATACTGTCTTCATCTTCATCCCCAGAATCTGCTTGGTCAGGCTGTTTTTCACCATGTTCTAGCCCTTTCAATAAACACTTCATGCGCTCTTCGTGTTTCTTCTTGGATCGCAGATTCTTAAAGTAATCACTGACACATTGTTCAGGAATGGCCAGCTGATTGGCTAAGGTTTGGCGCTTCTCCAATGAAAGGTACTTGCTGCGGTGATAATAATCCTCCATAACAGCCTTAGCTTCAGTAGGTATGTAGCGTCTTCTTTTCCTGAGTGCATCATCAGACAGACCCTAATATTCAAACAAATACATCGGTGTCAGTTTACATTTCTCAAAAGTTCAGATTCAGCTTCAAGGTGCTTCTCATATTCTAAAAATACCAAATGAATAGCAGTTCAAAACCCAATTAATGACAAAAAACTCAGTAGGACAAAGGTATTAATGCAGCCTTCAATCAAAGAAACTTCATTCATACAGACAAAACTACATGTATCCTATGTTCTCTCTTTATATAAACCTGGAATATTCTGATACCCATCCTCTCATTAGCAGGGAAAAAAACCAGACAGCATCTTCTCCCAAAACAGCAATTATTATATGGTGTAATTTTTGCATGTGAGTGCTCAGTATTTTCTAGGTCAAATTTATAGCAACTAAAGAGAGAGAGAAACTGTACAAAGAAAGTGAGGGACATCAAAGGAAGGAGAGGGGAGGGGTGAGGAAATTAAATTAATAAAAATCTACTTATCTTTCCCCACCCCCTTCCCACCAATCACCCTCACTTACATGGCTGGTCGGATAAACAATTGTGAGCTTGTAAGCTGAATTCCCCTTAATATGATGCCTGCAAACAGGCTACACAGCAACAAAAAACTTGAAAAAATTTTAATAAAGAAGAATATAATTTGCACACAAATAATGAAAAGAAATTGCACTTACAATCTCAATCTGCCGACGTTTCATCCTCTCCCTCTTCAACTCCTCTCCCTTCTGGTAATAAATCCTTAGGCGTTCAGCCTCTGGTCTCTGAAGGAACTGTCGCATGATCTCAAAATTCATCCAACCCTTGTAGTGTGTATTGTCTTGGGGGCGAAAAAAGTTCTCACCATGTTTGAGCATTTCAGAGAGATATCCTTGCGATTTGCCGAGGACCGCTTTGGCAAACACCTCTTGAGAAACATTATACTTAACAAGTTCGAGTTTAACTTGTTCACAAATGCTCTCTGTATCAAGCACATGCCCATTTCCACTCGAGGACTCTGCTGCTGCAGTGGGCTTCAGCGCTTGGGGAGGCTCTGTGAATTTCTTGTCAGAAGTTATTCTTAGAATGTGATTAAGAACCATGCTTGCCAAAGGGGAATCATCTGGTCTCTCCTCGGGCTCACTCTCACAATCTTGGTCTACTTTTTGAAGTTCAAGATTGTTCATGAATGATTCATCAGTAGTGGAGTTTTGCCATTCTCCATTCACCTCTTTCCCTAGGCAAGCAACGAAATGGAATAAGTTGTTGTATACTGAATCAGGCCTTTACATGTTTGTACAAAAACAGCTTCAATAAAATTGAAAATCCAGATTTTCAGAAACATGTACAATCATGGCTCTTGTACAAGTCACAAAGAAGGCATCATTTATAGTTACACGTAAGATTAATTTTGTTATTTACTTCAACCACATAAGGTTTTAAGGACCAAAAAGGTTATATTATAGTTGCTGACATTGTTTTTTTTTTCCAAAAGAACCAGCTTACATGTAAATGGCTAGGTTAATCTAAAATTAGATGGAGATAATTTTAAGATTAATAAAATCACCTTGAAATTGATTTATGAATAAAGGGGGTAATTTCCTGGAGAAACTGTGGTGCTGCTTGACAAACGGCTTGCACGAAAAATATCAGCTTTAGAAACTATTTATGGTGCATAATTTACATTATGAACTCAGTTGATAAAACTACATTATCTTGAAACAGAGTCAGCCTTTTTATCACTTTGATACTTTTTCTATTTCAACAATTGATGATTGAAATTACCACTGACGTAATGATTGAATTGAGTAACAATGCTATCCTCCTTTCTTAGTCATGGGCTGTTATAAATTGGCCCTACTTTATAAAACAGGTGATGACTACCTACAAGCATACTACTTTTTCACTATATTGTTAGGACTGTAACTACACAAAAAATTTAATCACCAGTCTAAGTATTTGCCCAAAAACTATGGAAAAATAATTATTAGACTAGCACCCTTTGAGGCAAACTTGTAGATACATTTACAACAGTGCATGGAAAAGGATCATAACACATAAGTAAAACAGTTTTACCAAACTCATTGCATTCTAAAACGAAACATGTGCTCTTTCCATGGTAGGCTACCAACATTGTGCGATCATAACATGAAATAATTCAAAATTCTTGCAGTAATTATCATAATTTATTTTCAGTGAAAAAAAACCCCAGTTAAAAAACAAATAACCAGTAATTGCAATCTAGCGCTGATTCAGTATACAAAATGATACAACTTAGATATTCCATTTCATTAACTTTTATTTGCAGATGAATAGGAATTGGGTTGTTTCCCCAAATTCAAATTCACTCCCTGAGCAGAGTTAATAATATTCTGACTCAGTGTTTTCCCTTATTTCAAATATAATAAGTAACATCAATTTTTAAACTGGTAGCAAGAGTAATCATTCTACATGTACCTGTTAAATTTTCAGTAATTCCAAATGATTTATGGCAGTGATAGGAGGTACTTAAGAAATTAAATTTTATTAGTTATCACCTGAAAAGGACAAAACTGCCACCTGGATAGAGTGACATGTAGTAACATTTGGACTCACAGTAAATGGAAATTTTTATTAAAAATCATCTCACCCACATGTCCAAGCACATTGCTTCACAGAGAACAAGAGAAAAGGACTACACAGCTTTGTATAAATTTTACAATTTCTTAGTATAGAAGCAAACACATTGTAACTACCTTTAAAACATTTCAATAATAACTTCAAAAATTCCAAATTTCAAACCCTTTGAGGACAAAGAGTGATTAGCATGAAAGTTCTCCTTCCAATATCATCCCTGAATCACACATAAAGGTCATGAGAATAACAAAAATAATCACAAATGAATGAAGCTCTTGATTGTTAAACAAATTCTCCTTGTCAGCACCTTATGAAATGTATGGAGAATATGCATACTGATGTCAGGTTGTAAAGGGTTTCACCATACCTTCTGGTTCATACTCCAAATCCATTCCTCTGCTTGTTTCAACTGATGGTGTTAGTCCAGGAAGGACTGTGGGTTCGGGTCTCACACCTGAAGAAATGAGAAATTGAATAATATTATTTAGTTCTGATAATTATTATATGACTTGTCTGGCCCTGCTTGCGCAATCCTCTAGAAAACTAAAATGGAAGCTGACCCATGAGCCAGGGTTGACATGAGCCAGTTTAAAAAACGACCATCTGGCCCCACACTGGTATGGCTTTCTTGCAAAAAGAAGAACATTGTTTACATTGAACTCTAGGAAAACAGGATCAAGAAAACAAGGTGTGTTTCTATGAACTGAGAGTTTCTCAAACCAACTCACAAAAATAAAGGAAGATTTTTATGACCTTGAGCCAAATAGTTTCCCATCCAGCCTTCCCACTCAGTCAATACAAATTAGTACATCATATTAATTCAATAATTCAGTTGCATAAAAGATTGCATGTTGGTTTGTTAGTTTGTCAGTTAAGTTTTCTACATAATATCTCACTTTTATTCATCTTCACGTCTCTCACTACCAATTTTTGACAACCACATTTACTTATTTACCACTTTTTAATCCATATTCTCTGCATTCGTTCCTCAGTTCATTAATTCAGAGCTAAAAAACCTTCATTCATTCATTCATCCATCAATTCATTCAGTCATTTTCTAATTTGGTCAGTTATTAAGTCATTCAGAAAACCTATCAATCAGTAAATAACTCTTTCCCTCCCAGCAGTAACTTAGTCATACTTTCTCCTTAAAATATAAATTCAATATCAAGCAGACAAGTGATGAGGAGAAAAAAAAATATCAACAAGGGGATTATTCGTTGATCCAATACCAAATTCCCCAAAATAACATCATAAGAATTGTATTGCAGACAGTAAGGAGAATTACTAATGCCATCTTGGGATCTTGGGAGTGACATGGTCAAATTAACTACTTCCTTATATTCTCTCCCAAGAAAATAATTAATTCCTCCAAACTTTTTCCTCAAGATCCATACTTTCCTTCAGTAATTCACTTACATCTGCTTCATTTTCATAAAAATTTACTAATTGTATTATTCTTCAAATGCATCATTTGGTATATTAAAATTATCATTTGTAAACAAGACTCCTCTTTTTCAAGGAAGAAATTTAAAGATTAATGCTCTATGAAAACAGTTGATAAAACAATGTCGCTAAAAATTTACCTTCTGTTTCAGCTTGAATTCCAAGATTCACAACTTCATAAAGTCGCGCCATAGGAGGGCATGCACTGATGATGTTAACCACTTTGGCCAAATTATTTGCAATGGCATCAAATCCATCATATCTGAGCTGACTATGGAGGGAAGAAGGGTTATAAAGTTATTAAAGAATTATTTATGACAATAATGAACACTGGCAATCCAGTAGATCAAATTATAAACACATGTAATTAACACTTAATTGCCACTATGTTGACACCTAAAAGGATAATCCATGAACAATGAGACCAAACAGGTTAATAGGAAAAGTTTGCTCAAATACACCACTAAGGATTCACTTTTCTCCACAGATTCACTTTCCTTGTTATCCTAATTAAATCGTTTTTTTACAACTGGTATTCCTTTTCTTTCAGGAAAGCTTCAATAGCCTCCATCATTCACCACATGCAACTAATAGTGTTTATTATATACACCCCACTAATAAAAGACAGAATCTTGGTGATTATTGAAATCAAGTGTATATCTGTGCCATCAATAATGTACAAGCTCACAGAAAAAGACATAAACAAATGAATTTCAGGGTTTAAATTTTCTGTGAAAGTCACAAGTTTGGCAACCTGTGTTGTGCAGTGTTGTAACAACCTGTAACATTGGGTTAATTTTTGTTTATAATCTAAAATTTAAGAGATTGAAACATCTGCATAAATACTTTATAAAAGTTATTTTCCTGGTAACCATTTCATCATTTCAGGTTGCCAGAGAGCCACTTTGAGAAAAATTTGAACTTGGGACCTTGGAAGCCAGAGAAAAACTAATAGACCTTGCAGAATGAGAAGTATTTAGCATAAAAATCATAGGAACTACAGAGGAAGAAAATCAAACGGCTAACCTTTTACCCTGCTCTTTGAGACAAAGCTCACATTTACCAGCTAATCAAACCACTAACAGGTATGTAAATTGACCACAGTAAAGGCTCTCTGAAGCTGATTTTTTGGGCATTAGCCCTTTATTAGATCAATTGACAAAAAAACTCAGTTGGTAAGAACTGATTATCATGTAATAACCTCCACTGATACAGCACTCCAGTTTCTTTACAAAGTTGTTCCCTTTACCAACAGGAGCAGCCAGAAAAAAGTTGTTCATGCACTGTACATTTAACCTAATTTACAGAAAAATTTCCAACTTCCTTGATTTTTCTATGACATATTTTTCCAAATGAAGTACCAAAAAAGAGCTGACTTTCTTTCTTTGTGTTCTTAGGCAAAATTTCACCGAAGCCTACAACAATAACGCTATCATTTTTTCCCTTAAACTAAATTTTTCAGCATATCTTGAAACAAATTGTACCATAACTGGCTGAACTTTACGACAATATTTCACCTGATAAAGCTGCATCGACAGAGAAGCACAGACAAGATTTACTTTTCACAATAAAAATTAATAACACTAAAAAGCAAGCAGAAACATCTTTCAGGTATTTCTCGATTTAGCTTGAAACAAGTCTGTGTGGGTTAACGTAAATTGTACTGAGTCAAAAAAAAAAACATTGTCTGTTGTAACAAATTTGAGGTACTCTTCCAGCCAAGATAAATTTACTCCTACTAACTTACTGGTGTTCAACACTATTAGAACGGAACGAAGCTTAAAGGGTTCAATTCGCATCAATAACAACGGAAAACCATCAAATAAGTATCAATCGGGTTAATACTTAGCACCACTTCTACTTCTCTTGACGAAACATCACGAGGCTGGAACGCTTATAGGCAAATAATATTTGAGGTTCAATTCATCTACTTTTTCTTTAATCTAGTCACACACCCGCGATGCTTCAAGGAGATAGATTAACGCAGACGCTGACAGCAGCTGAAAACCAAACGAAGCACGACGCCATATTGTTGTTTGTTCAAGCGTTAACGACACTCTGAAGCGATATCTTCGTATTTCGCTTTCCTACATCAGCTCAAAAAAGAAAATTAAATTACATTCGGAAACCCTACTTACCTTATCATCAGCTTATATAAGTTTTCTCTTTGTTTTAATCCATCCGCCATCGCGAGAGGTACAGAAGATGTCAAAAAGCGTGCTCCAGGCGACTTTTGACCGAAAATGTTCCGACCGATTACGATCTATACCGAAGAGACTCCGGATATTGCTATATTCGGGGAAGTAGATGGAGGGGTGAGTAAGGAAGTAAAGAGAGTTATCCAAGAGGGTCATATACTTTTTACATGAAGCGTGATTGAGTGATTTTTTTTTCTCGTGATTTAATCTTTTTGTTTCGTGGATCTTGATTAAAGATGGTAAGATCTTTTCATATCCACGTGAACGAATTTTAATTTAAACGTAACCCCTGACAGGAGGCTAGGCTCCTGCCCATGAATAAAGTCGTGAACCATTTCCTTTCGCAGTTGTTATTGTTTTGAAAATGTCCGTATCGTTCTCGAAAGGTTGTGCTTATGTTTTGACAAGGCATAGACTTCGCATAGATCGATAAAAGTTATAAAACAGACCATTAATGGTTCTTGAGCAGATAAAATAAGACACTACGTCATCTTTTGTCGCGTAAGACTGAAAATAAAATTTTTTTAGACAGCGCACTCACGTCTTTTACGTCGAACGCAATACATTCAGTCTTGTGCAAATGACAGTTTCGTAATAGGAAATATGATAATTCTTGTTGAAGAACGAAATCTGTCGGCCTAAAGATGTTGTGATATCTAATACGGTATATCCTTTTACAGGGGGGGAATACACTTTCCATATTTTTATTAACTAATCCAAAATAGGACAACTTCTAGGGGAAAGGAGTTCTTCCCGGGATTCCTTGCAGGAATTTCTGAGTAATGACCCATGTTTCACGACCAGAACATGTAATTTTTCTTCCCTATTTGCAGAAATGGCTTCTGTAAGTTTCACATGGATTGCTCATTGTTGAAGTCATGGTAGCATTCCTGTGAAAATCTAGTGCAAATGACATACATTTTGGTTCCTTCTCTTTCTGTCCATTATTCATTTGAAAGTGGAAAGGTAAATACGATAATACGCTGCCGTTGATATCTTGAAAACCGTATCAGGTTTAAAAATCATAGTTTTCCAAATTCGAACGGCGTAATATGTGATTAACGCAGTCTATTGACTGTGAGATTTTAAGCCTCCATCCTAGTCGGTGTATATACATACTGACCGATTTTACGCCGTCAGTTAACGACTTAAAATCTTATAGTATGTGTATTACCAACTGGAAGAAATTGCGCTGTTAACTAAAAAAATTTACGCCGTTAATATTTTCATTACGAATTAATTTACTGTAATTAAGATACCGACGCAGAGAGTGGCGTAAAATCTTACAACCTATAGACTCTGATAGTCACCTATTGGGTTATTATATATATTCCCGTTTTCAAACCAAAATGGTTCAAAATAATCCTCTTGGGCGGGTCATATCTGTATAAGGGGGAGGGGGCTGAGTAATGCTCCCCCCCATGCAGGGGGCTGCATGGGGGAGCTTTGGAACGAAATGGCGTCCTCTCTCAAATGGACCTTGCTTTCTAAAAGGATCAAGTTCAGACGCGCATTGACGTCAGCCGATTATTCGTAATCCTCCGACCCCCCCGATTTCAGGTCAACAGACGAACCAGGCCTGCAGGCGAACTGAAGACCAAACCACCTATCAAACTAATGGCTGTAACCTAATCTGTTCTATATCAGTCTGTATACGCATGATACGGCTCAATCAGACAATCGCCACATAATAACATCTTCTTGGGCGGAAAACAAATACTTTTCTTTCAGCTCCAAACAAAGATGCCGAAGTCAAAATCGAAGGACGGGGCGTTTAGCCGAATTTACAAAAAAACTGAATTCGATGAGCTTCTGATTAAACTTGGCGGATGGTCAAGATTTCAGCAAATTCAGTGGGTGCTTATTTTCCTTGCCACAATTCCACAGGCTTGGTATACATACGCTCCAGCATTTGCCGCCCGTAAGCCAAAAGAAGGTGACCTCTATTGCCTAAACAACACAGACATTCGAGGAGAGGAGTTTTGTGCGGCTTGGGAAAACAATACAGTTTGTCAGAAAGTTGGATATGACGTGACATTTTCTTCGATCGTTACCGAGGTATGTAAAATTTGCCCACGAGCCCGTGCTCGTTTCTTTCCTGATTAGGATGCCAAACAATACAACACAAGAGTGCGACTTAGACTCTGGCCAACGTTTTTAGTTGACTTAACAAGCTCACGTAGAACTTTAGGGCTTTGTTTCAGTGAATATTTGCACAGCCGTTTTGTTAGCAGTGTTTTACGATTATACCTAGAGCAGGGAAATAAAAACGTCGTCGTTTGCCTTATTTCTGCCATTCTGCTAACTTCTGATATATTTTATATGCAGTGAGCTTGGCCGATCATAAGGAAAACATCTCGCCACAAAATATGTCGAACGTACGTGATTTAGTTCAATGTTGTTTACAATTCGCCTGTCACGCTCTACTTTAAGGCAGATCTTAATCCAGATTTTGAGAGAAACGGCGTTTTCTATTTTGGGGTTTGAATCAAATCCCAATGTTTTATTTTCTTTTAAAATCAAGCGTTTTTGGGCGCGAAAAATATTTTTCAACTTATGCTTTTGAAATACGATCTCTTCCCCTTTTTTTTGTTTTGTGTTTTTTTGCTTTGTTTTGGTTTTTTTTTTTTTTTTTTTTTTTTTTTGTTAATCGAATTTTATCTACGCTAAGCCTTTTAATGGATTTGCGCTACCATCGGCCGTACACAGATATCGGGAGCGATTGAAAATTTATTTCTAGGAAAACAGTTGCTTCGTTGCAAGCGGGTACTACACGATCGCGAAAAGATCATAGCATAGATAAATTGTCGAGAAAAAAAACCGTTTGCAGTAGAAATTTCCGTTTTAACGATAATTGCTACCGAAGTTCAGCGTCATTTGAGTAGGAGGCGCTGTAAAGAATGTATGAAATTTTATGAATTTTACCTGCAAACAAGATTACGATGTAATGAATATGAAAGCGATGAACATTACTTAAGCAGTAATGAAAATAAGGTCTGGAAAAATCCAGGCCAGTACGGGATTTGAACCCATGACTGGCATGTATGTGTTATATGGTGTTACGCATGACGTAAAGTTGTTACATTCGATAGGGACGATGGGTAATAAAAGCACGGGGTTCTGAAAGAAACATGTCGTTTGAAGATATTACATGACAATGACCTCTGCGATAATGGTGCAGTGCCCTATCAACTAAGCTAAAAAGCCAACTGGGAGCTGGCCATTATTTATGTTCGTAATAAACCCGTGAAGTGATGAATCATTGATTTTCAGGTATATTTTCATGTATTTATCTATATTTGAACCTACTTGCTCTCAAAATTTACAGCAAGAAACTGGAACGTGGCTCAGAACCAAAAGATTTTGAACTTTTTACATTCTCTTGCTCAGAACAGATTACAGCACCGTTGCACTGATAAATTTGTGAAAACTTCACCGACCTGTTTCGCGGGATTTTCGTTCCTAAATACAATATACTATATCTACTAACCTCGCCTCCAGGATCTCTCTTCTTACTGCTTCCTGGAGCGAGAGAGAGACGGGAACGAGGCTGTGTATCCACATTGCAACAAAACGAGTACTTTGGCACTCGTTGCTACACAACAATTCAACAGAAAAGTTCTTAAATCACTTTTGCTTTAATAATACGAATGCGATTACTTTCTTTTATAAATGAAATAAAAAAAACCTTTTAGGAACCAATCTTTTATGAAGGGTCTCTTATGGTCCTCTTTTACAGTGGGACATTTTATGCGATGATGCCAAAAAGTACGTTCCACTTACAAAGACTATCTTCTATGCGGGTAAGCTGTTCGGGGCTTATTTCTTCGGCTGGGTGTCTGACAGATTTGGACGCCGTACAACTTTCCTTATCACCATGCTCGTGCAGTTTATCGCCTCCTTGATTGAGAGTTTCTCCACGAACTTCATCATGTATGTCATCCTGCGGGTTCCCCTTGGGGTCTGCAGTGGAGGTGAGGACTAATGGACAACAGGAACCCATTATCAGGGCTCCTGTGGACAATTATTCGACGAAGGCGAAGTGAATATTATACACTTAACGTATGGTCCCAAGGAAAACAAAACTAACTAGTTTTCCTAGGGACCATACGTTAAGTGCTTTGCTATATATTTAGACTTTCCCTTAAACAATCATGTGGCAATCATGGCGGGCGGCAACTGCGCAATTGAATCCCGGTAGGGATACATTTGAATCATTCTTAGTCAGGGACACGTGACCAAGAATCAACCAATCACACTGCTCGTTTTGTTGAGTGAAGATCTAGGTTTATAACAATGTTGAATAGTCCCAAGACGAGGGGATTGTTCAACAATGAGACGAATAATTGTTTTAATATAGTTGCTCTGGTGCTTTCGAATTCTGTTGTAAATTTTGCAAATAAGGAAAGCATTGAGCATATTTTGTTACAATTGCGTTGATTGCTCATACCGGCAAGATTATCAAGCAGTTTTAAAAGGTTTATTTCATTCACGCAGCAAAAACTTTACATCTTTCGTTTGAAAAGAGTTCCGCCAAATCAGTTAAATCTTTTGAGCTCTTTGCAATGTAATTTTCTTATATTGCGTTTATTACTTCCTCGGAATTGACAAAACGCGAGGCAACCATTTGAAATTAAGCGCTTCTGCTCAAATCACCTCGCGCGAGGTGATTATTAAACGATTACTTCACCAGCGTGTGTTGGATATGAGATGATAGACTATAATCATCTCACATCCAACAGCGCGAGTGGAAAAATTTTTTCGCTAGAAACGCCCCTAAATGTGGATAAATCTTTACAACTTATTATTTTGTAAGAACAAACGGGATGTTAAAATGTACAAAAACACTTCCTGTTTAACTCGTCTTCATGCATGCGGAAGGTATAATGGCTCATAACTTATGATGACTAAGCCAACGAAAACTCTTGAATTGCAACCGTCCAGTTTTTAATAAGGCAAGATATAACGCAATCCTTGACCAATCAGAGCGCGCACATCTCTTTAATCACCTCAGCAATTATATCGGTGATAATCATTCTACTTGCTACTTGTCAAAGTGTATAGTCTAAGTTTTTTTCGTTAGTCATTGTGGTCCGTGATATCTTCCTCAGCTTAAGCCCCTTACCCTTTACATTGATATCGATATTCTGCTCACTCTTCGCTTTACATTTCCCCTGATATTTACAAGGGGAATTTGTTTGACAATCAGGAGCTTCTAAATTCGTGATCATTTTCTTTATTCTCACGACCATAATGTTTGATTCAAGGGTGACACTGTAAGGAGAAATTATAAGCCAGTCACTCATAGTGGTTAAGGGGAAAACCACACGCGTTCTAGCCTGTGTAGTATTCTTTTGTTTCCTTTCAGATATTCGAGCGGGAGCGAAGGCGAATACGAGCAACCAAAATAGGAGCAAAGAAAAGGGGGGGAAGGATGGCTTCTTTCCCCCCCCCCTCCACTCCCCTTTTACCCACTCATCCTATTTTTTTTATGCTCGTTTTCGCCCCATGCCCGCGCTTGACTTCGTTCGCCTTACGGATAAGCGGAAACAGAAAGGACTGCTACGCATGCTATAAGCGTTCCTCTTAAGTTTTTTTTTTTCGATTTTAATGTTTTTTTTTGTTGTAATATCATATTGTCAGTTTTTACCCTTGCGCAAATTATGTATCCTCTTTGTCTTCGGCGTAGGCTGTCTGATTGCGGGCTTTTTGCTGATGACTGAGATGGCCACACCTGAGTGGAGGCGTTGGGCTAACTGTTTATCTCAAGGAGCTTATGGAGTTGGGATTGCTGTGCAAGCGTTGATTGCGTATTATGTCCGAGGCTGGAAAGCGTTCAGTTTGGTGATAACGCTTCTGAATTTACCTTTCGTTGCTTTATACTGGTAGGTGTAGATGTTCTTGAGACCTTCAATCGTAACCTTTAAATTGTTCCTGTTATTTTAGCCCTGTACTGGTCATCTGTGTCTAAATGTAGGTGTTGCCTAACTTTTTTATCTATCCCAGAGGTCTAAGCGACGTTCAGTCTGAGTTGACTACCCGCAGCTCGGGAGAACGCCAGTGACCAAGTTGCCTCGGTTTGAGTTGTGCATCTGATTGGTTGACATGGTGGCAGGGGATTTCTAGACCAATCACAGAACTGTAGCAAACCTAAACCAACGCCATTTGGAACTTCTTTCTACAATGAATCTAAATTTACTCCATGTGCCAAACCTCTGTGCACGTTGTAATGACTAGGTGGCGTGCTTTTAGGCTGCCAGAACCAAGTTGTCTCACAAAATTTACAAACAACCACGCAAACCAGGAAACAACAGTGTTTAGAAAACCCATGCTTGAATAAGTTTTGTCTTCGAAAAGTCTCAAGCTCTCTTTCCCCTAACTTTTGTTCCCTTCTACAAATTTCTGTGAACGATTCAATTTTATTCGCTTACTAACGAGATAGCGGTTGTTCGAAAAATTTGCGCGGGCGCTTAAAATTGACACCCATGCGCATGTCTTACGTTTGACCGCTTTTTAATAACTACTACACCCTGTGATTTTTCCAGGCTAATTCCTGAGTCTCCTCGTTGGCTTTCCGCTAGAGGAAGAGTCGAAGAAGCAGAAGAGATCTTGCGTAAGATCGCGAAGAAGAATGGATACGAGTATCCTGAGGGAGCAATAAGCAACATGCAAGATCATAGCAAGAAGAAAGAGCAAACGATGACATATCACTTCTGGCATCTGTTTAGCACCCGATACTTGGTGATAATCACTGTGGTTGAAGGGTGGTCTTGGTAAGTTAAAACGAATATAGATAGCATCTCACTAAAAGAGTGTCTTGTGTCACCTTTGGTCTCTCGTGGACCCTGTTGACCTGTGGGCCTTTCAGGTCCCATTTTACCTGGTGCTCCCGACGCGCTCTTGGTTCCCCCTCCCCCCCATCTTACACAAGGGGGGGGAGGGGTGGGTAAGGGAGGCTTAAAGGACCCTCTTGTCCGTAGATACTTTTTTGGAATTTACTTGGTTTAGCGAATTTTCAACAAATTGATTCATTAATATTATAAATTAAGGAAAGAAAAATTCATTCTTTACTTAATTCAATCTTTCATGCCTTATTTGAGTATGCTGTTTTATCTTCATCAAGGTGTGTGACCAGCATGGTGTATTACGGGCTCGGCTTCAACGCAGGGAAATTGGCAGGAAATTTCTACTTGAACTTTGCTGCATCAGGATTGGTGGAAATTCCCGCGTATCTTCTTGCCACAATTCTGGTCGAGAGGTAAGGGTGTCTGTAAGAGCCTGGGAGAAAAAGAGAAAAAAAAAAGAGTTGAAATTTAATTTACTCGAGTCTGAGAAAAAGGATGAATGACATAATATTTATTTGGTTTCCCTCGATTTGGTGAACATAAAGAAAGCATCGATTTTGTTATTGATCTGATTTGATGTATGTAATTGTAATTTTTCTTTTTTCTCTATTCCTTTTCCAAATTTAGGGTGAATCGTCGCTTTCCTTTGGTGGTGTACTACATTATTGGAGGAATCTCTCTCATCGGCGTTTTCATCATCCTCGTTGCAGGTAAAAAGAATTGAAAACGTTAACATTTAATGCTTTTGACTGAGAGATGCCAAAACTATGTAATCACCTTAGCCAATCAGTAAAATAAGATTACAAGGAACCAATGAGAGGTTAAGAAACATTCGTCTGAACGACGTTAGCCCGGGAAAACATGGAAAACCGAGACGCTACTGGATCTAGTTTTGCATCTGACTGGTGGAGAATGTGGCACGAGTTTTTTAGACCAATCACAAAGGGCGGTGAGGCAAACTCGATGCCGCGCCTCCAATGACAATTTCTCAAAAGTGCTTCTCGGTGATCATGGAAAGCATAAGCTTCAGGCGAACAAGTTGACACTTGGTATGATACACACAGTGTTGTTATGAGTGCAATTTTTTCACCTTCACTTTTAGCTTGTTTGGGCAATCTGGAGGCAGTTCATCTGCGAGGATAATTTCTTTACTTAGGATTTCTTTTTTTATATCTTGTTTCATTTTTCAGGGAAAGAAGATGATCTGCCCAGCCTTATCAGTGTCCTGTCCATGATCGGAAAGTTTACCATCTCCGCCGCGTATTATCAGATATACATACACACAGCCGAGCTGTATCCCACAGTCATAAGGTAAAGATCTCAAACACACACATTTAGCAAGGGACCTTGAGATATGTCACCCACTTAAGTTATAGAGCAGTTTTCAGTTGAGTTGCGACAAACCAAAACCAAATTATTCACACCGGTTAATGGGAACTCAAAGTTAAACAGGCAAACTGCGTGAAACGCGGGAAATCGCGGGTGACCAAATCCCAATTGGTTTCAGTTTTGAATCTGATTGGTTGAGAAAGTGGCGAGAGTTTCCAGGACTAATCACAGTGCGATAACCAGAAGCAATTATGGATTATTTTCGACACTCAATCGAAAATTGCTTTATTTTGATGGCCTTTCAATCAAAGTCAGTCGTTTAAGACGCCAGCTTTCAGGCCATTTACATGGCAAGTGGTGCTTTTTTTTTTATGAACGAGAAGTGGCAATTCAAACATATGGGAAAGGTTTAGTTGGTTTCCAGCCACGTCTTAACTCTTACCTTAATGACTAGATGAAATCGATTTCTGCTTTTTTGTGGCCTAATTTTGGCGGAGATGCCTGACCTTCGTACTCATTACCTCAGCTGATAATCAGGAAAACTTGAGAATGTGCGTAACCAGGATTTTTCACTATGAAGTTCGCGGTTACATTACGTGTCTTGCGTGAGGTGGCTTATACCGCTGCTCTACCCTGCCTATCAGCGGGCTCGTTATCAGGCAGCGAGGATGGGAAAATAGGATAAGCACTGGGAGGAACCCGTATTGGGCTCTTGGCACTGGGAAAGATTTATGTTATGCAGATTCTCTGGACTCGAGTTTTTTCACCCCCAGCCACCACCCCCCCCCCCCCCCCCTCCGCCCTCCTTTAAGCTACGCCCCCATAGGCTTATCATGGGTAACACTTTTGTGGACCAGCGACTCAAAAATTTTTGCTGATAAATGATAACTGTATTGGGAAACTGAAATGAAATTATTGGGTGATAAATCTTTCTCTTGTTTGTTTGCTAAACAGAACAATCGGCGTAGGATTTGCATCACTGTGCGCGAGAATTGGAGGAATGGCGGCTCCGTTTTTTGCGGTAAGGAGGCAATTCCTCATTGATTAGATTTTTTTATCACGATAATTTTACTGAAGAGAGCCTGATGGTATTTTCCTACCATTTCGTAGGAAGGAAAATGTTTCTGCCAAGCCTTAATATACGGCGAATTTTATTCGTGCTTTGAAGCTCTGAACATTTGAACGGCAGAAGAATATGGGAAAAGAGATGGGAAATGGTTTTTTCGCCATTTTTCTCCCCATTCCCCTCTCAGCTTCACTGCTCAAAGCTTTAAGGCGCGCAATTTAATTTATTTACATTTGGGATAATTTGTTTAAGTTTCCATTTTTTCTCTAATAACACTTCTCTCAAGATTTTATCTTGAGTAAATTATTTCAAATCGAAATTCTCCGATAATGGAGACTTATAAAACCATCGACGGATAATTAACTCAACCATCTCGGACAAGGTGTAAAGATAGTCTATGGCTCCAACTGCGACACAACAATCACAAGAAAGAAAGGAAGGTGGATATCTCAAAGAGCCAGATACAATCCAAATAATATACATACAATTTGCGCGTGAAAACGCGAGTGATAGAGTCGCCGTTAATTTTTTTACTTTTGCATCTGATTGGTTTTGATCTTGGCGCGAATTTCCTTTACCATTCACAGAGCGTAGTGAGACTTAACCAATGAAATCCCAGATCGCTTTGGACGCTCAGCTAACAAATTGCTCAATCATTATTCACTTCCTATTTGCAGGACAGTACAGGTTTCGAAGTGGCTGCGATCGTGTTCGGTGTGACGACATTTTCGGCTGGTGTCGTCACCATGATGTTACCGGAGACTCGCGGAAAGCCTCTTCCGGATTTTGTCGGAAAATCAAGTTCCGAGGAAGAGATGGTCATACTCGAAGAGTGCGCAGAAGAAGCGCCCCCTGATTACACATCTACTGTGTAGAGTTGTAGGTTTGTGAGGTTGGGTTTGGTAGTGGCGACGGAGTGATTAAGTTTTTGTAGAGGGGGAGGGGGGCGAATCAGAGTCGGATCCACGCTTTCTTGATAGGAGACTTAAACTTAAGCCTTAATAAGCTTAGCAATATTTCAAGAAAAGTAGATTTTAAATATTTCACACCGAGTAGTTACATGCGATCCTGTCGTTGCAAGAATTTTGGTGTCGGAAAGATTGTAGAAAAAAAGCATAGGTCTTATGAGGATGGAGTTCGGAACCCACCGGACCTTCTCCGTGGGCCCGCAGAATATATTTGGAAAGTTTAAGAGATGAAAGGATCCGGATTTGAACGAAAATAACGTCGAATCGATGGATCTCAGAAGGGAAAAATGTAACAGAGTGTTGGGAATAGCTAGTTTCATAAGTCTTTTATCAAGGCCTATTGATATTAATGATTTCAAAAAATTACTCAAGTGTTTTTCCAATATTATATGTCGTAGAAGTAACTAAGAGATTTTAACTGTTGAATTTTCCAGGTTCTTTTTTTTTTATCATGAGTCTTTATAGTCAAGGTTATCGCAAACAATAAAGTACTATATTATAATGTAGTTTGTCTCACCATGAAGTCACCTTTGATGACCATCCCAACTTTTCCATTGAAGCACTTGTCTTCTCAAGAACAGCTTCCGACAGCTGTGTTTAGCGCATTTAAATCCTCGCGCTAAGCCGTCTTGTTGTGGAAAAAAACTTAAATTAATCAAATTCATGGGCGTCTTTTGGTGAAGATGCGCGAGGTTTACAGGTGAGCGCGAAGGTAGACGCACTCATATGCCACCCATTTCCTTTGCGCGATCTGTGGTTTCCAGAGTACCTGCAACGCAATATTCACTTCCGGCCAGCAGGTTTGGCAGCGGGTGGAATTTTTTGAAATTATCCTTGCAGATTTGACATTTACTCCCCTTAATCAGACCATTAAGAAGCCTAAGAGCCCAGGATTCCCATCTTAGCTTAAATGGTTTTTGCCCCTCATAAAATCCCTTGCAACTGAGGAAATAAACTAGCGCAAGTATCCAGGGTTCCAAAGGCGTGCGTGACCTCAAAACCGCGCAGTACACCAAGATCGCACGCGTCTACTAGAGCATCAATTTCTTTTGTTTTAAAATTAAGGTGACAATTTTTGATTTCCCAGATTAATTTCACGTCCACCCTTCTTAGCAACCTGCGGTTTTCGAGGCGGTCTGTAAACTCCAGTTTAAAAAAAACTCTATCATTTTCTGTTATGCTAAATCTTGAATGAACAACTGAAAATATTTTGATCTAATTCATATTTTTCTTTCCTGGTGGGCGCAAGGAAAGGTAATACGTTCTGCAGTTTAGGTATGCATACGTAAGTTCGGTCGCCCCTCTGCGAGTATTTCGCCCACATATCATATGCACACCCACGCTCCTAAATTGGGCAAAGGCAATCATGAACTGAATGCCAAATACTTAGAAATTATGTATAACTCTTTTATTCTTATAGTCGCCTCTTTTGACGTTTCTTGTCTAGACATTTTTATTTTTCACGGTTTTTGAAACGGAGAATTGATGTCCTCATAGTGCGGTGATCAAATTCCTTCAAATTTCCGGTCACTTCCGGTTAGATAGACAAAGTATCGATGATGTCTTTTGAAACATTTATTTCTGAATTCTTAAGATCTCTGAACTGAGGAAAATTTAGGTCCGATTTATTAATATAATCGAGAAGTAAGTGTCTAGCGTTCACCAAAGAAAAAACAAAATTTTTCCACTGATGAACTGCCTGAGGGGATAACGGTCTAGAGATTTTGCTACATCAACAAAAGACACCAAATGATGTGTCTTTCGTTTTTAAGAAGGAGACATAAAATTAACCCGATTAAGCAGAAACTGAGGCAATTAAGGAGTGAATTGTGGTTTATACTGATTCAATTTAGTGAGTTTATTTGCGCAAATTTTAAGCATGCATTTCCGCTGTTTTCACACAATGCTCCGAAGAGTGAATATCAATTGTTTTCTTGACCAATCAAAATTTGACTTTTGTTCAACTCCCAAGGTCCCGGATAACAACAGGAAACGGCCTCGCTAAGAAGAAAACCTCAGATATTGGTCAAAGTATCCACAATTTGATCCAATTTTTCCGCCAGTTACGGCTTCTTTGAGGAAACATGGCCGAAATAGACGAATCTAAGAGGCCCTCTGTTCGTCAAGGTAAGATATTGCACCAAAAGTGTCGAACATCGCGCAGAAGTGAATCCCGTGAAATCGATGTGACGAGATTCAATGATGATCGCTTGACGTCGGATTTGTGTATTCGTCCAATTTCATGCATGGGAAATAAGTGACAAATAGCAAAATTGCTGCGTATTTCATTTAAAACGTTTTGAAATGAAACGTACCATTTTAATTGTAATGATCTGAGCCTGTGTTCTTCATGATTTCAAACATTTTTGTAGAAGAAATACGGCAAACGTTCGAATTTATTTTGTTTCATCCGATCGACGGGTTCACAACTGTTCTCAAATCGGTATGTTGCTCAGGGAAGGTTATCAGTTGTGCAATTTTTTTGTTTCTTTTTGTAAACCACTCAAACTGTGTCTTGCACAGAATTGAACTTTCGATCCTAGTAGGTGATGGGTGAATTAACTCACAGCTGTTTATCTGCCTGGACAAGCGGGGCGGTTACAGTTTAAAATTTCACTTCGCAAAGTTTTAAATTTTCTAAAAAAAATTCATGGGCACGATACAGCCGATTATTCAAGCAGAACTTTAAAGAAACTAATATTTCGACGCGTGATAATCTTATGAAAAAGACTTGACGGGCCAAATGCAGCCGATGGCGTTGAGTGAACCAAATTGTCAACAGTTCGTAGCTTACGCCATTTTTTCTCTCTCATAATTTATCATGCAAAGCCTTTCGATGATCATTAAATACTTGCCGGGATTAACCACCATTGTTCCAAATTGTTCCCTTAGATACAGTAAAGGGAGAAATACAGCCCGATCAAAATACGGAAAAAACTTGCAGACACAAATTACTGCAAAAAACTAAACGTCGAACGCCTGCAGAGAGATAAATTCTACTTTGGCTATATATCAATTCAAATTCGTCTCTAAATCTTATAAACTTTACGTTACCTTAAAAAAAAAATCACATTTGATGTGTTGCTAGGAATTTAACCTTGTAACTGTATATCAAGCCTTGCTTTTTATGTTATAGGAAGCTAATATTTCTTCCGCCAACAAGGAATACTTCTTGAGGAGTTTTTTTTCTACTTAATTTAAAAACATTTTGCTGAGATTTGAAATTAAATGTCATTGATACTCAGTCGAGGTTTATTACTGAACGTAAACATCGATCTCGATTGAATAAACTAGGTAATTGACATTTCCTTTTTCCTTACGTACTTACAAATATTTTATGTGACAAAACTCTGCAATGGTGAACTTCGTAATCGCGTGCATCCTTTAAAATCTGAAATTGGATGATGAAATCATTAAGTGTTGGAAAAAATACATTTATTTTGTTTTGGAGTGTTCTTTACTATTTTTCCTTTCAGTACAATAATTGTTTATAATACCTACATAAAATTGCTTTTTACATATAAGATCATTTAAGGAAATATAAGCAAATGCAATTTTGATTATAAATTTTTTTGCCAAAATTTGATACCCAGCGTGAGGTATTTTTTTTGTGTTATTTATAATCCAAACAGAAAGTTGTACTTAATGGCAAACACGTCCGTCAAGTCGTGCTTTTAAGATCTCAAAATCATGGTGTGATCTGAAACTCCTGCACTAATGAGCACCAAGTGGATCCCTTCTGCACAGCTGTTGCTTAAAGATACAAGAATAATTCTATTTTATCCACTTTCTTAGGTTTGGTAATTGTTTCCACATCATCAAGACACTGTCTTAATAAAAACAGTCTATGAACAATAAGTAACCGCAGGTCCAGTAGCATTGAGAATGCTCCTTTGTTTGAAAACACAAATTGGCTTATTTGGAGTCTTTCTTTGTCTTGAACATCATTTGTTTTCAAATGTCCTATATGACAAATAAAAGTTTAATTTTAATTGATGTCAATGATTTCATTTTAAAAAAAAATTGACATTGCTGGTTTGTGATTGAAAAGGATGTGAATAGAAGTTTTAATAGATTCAGTTCTTAGAAAGGTTCGTAGATGAAATTTTGGACTAATTTGTGGCCGTTGTAAATTGCATTTTATTTGTTTGTTTGCAATTAAACAATTATAATATGTATTTGAGATATGTAACTACTGATGAGGGCAAAGCCCAAATCAACTGCCATGCATGGATGTGGGGAATGGATAATCTGATTTCTCTTTTGGAATAAATCTGTTAGTTGTTCAACACTTATCTGTTATGAAATAGATGACAAGTAGCAAGTTAGCGCAACCAATCAGATCCTAGCATTTGTGATAGAATACTGGCAGGTTGATACTGAAATTTATGAGGCTAGTAATGAAATAAATCAAAAGTAGATCATCTCTTAAAAGTCTATTTGGAAATAGTGGAGTTGATTGAGGTACGTTTTGTGCTTTAGTGGGCGAAACAGAGGGTTAATGATTTCCAGAGCCTCCAAATTTGATTTGAATTGCCTATTTTTTCCAGTGTGCCAGGACTTCATGGTACGAGAAGATGGAGCATTAGCTCAAAGGCTGCAGGATGAAGAATGTGAGTTTGCCACCCTTTTCTATATTTGTTCTTTTTCTGATTATTTGAATTAAAATTTTACCTCTTTTGTGTTTGTTTGTCATTGGAAATAATTTTGTTAACCCTTTAACTCCCATGAGTGACTAAGACAGCATTTCCCCTTACAATATTATTACAATATCAACCAGATAAGTGATGAGAATGGAGAAGAATATCAATTTGGGGATAATTAGTTGATCCAATACTAAATTCTCTGAACTAACATTATAATAATTGTATGGTTGACAGTAAGGAGAATTACGAATGCGATCTGGGAGTTAAAGGTTAAGGTTTCTTTTGACCATGGAATACAAATTGTTATCTGTTTCCAGCTTTCGACTTCCATGGCTATTTTCAACCCTCAGAGTTCTACAATATCACAAACAATTAATGTGTACAACTAACAATGACTAAGAGTGACCAGCATCTATTTTCTCCTTACAATATCACCCCTGAATCAAACATTAAACATCATCCCAAAAATAAAGGCAATGATTGCCAACTAAAGACTGAAGCTCTCGATTGTTAAACAAATTCTCCTTGTCAGCACCTCAGGAAATATAGAGAGAGGAGTGTGAAGAGTATGCATACTGATGTTATGCTGTAAGGGGTTACTCTAATTGTATCTCGGTGACAAACCCTTATGTGTGTTATGCGTTGAAAACCAGTAACTGTGATGCATTGGGTTTGAGGTTGTTTTCAAGATTTGATGTTGTCTTTCATACAGTTGGCGATCACTACCTTAGGAATCGTAGTGAACGGAAAACAGTCAGAGAGAATGTCAATGCTGCAAAGATTACTTATTTAGAAGAAGTCAAACAGGCTCAACTCCTGCCCAGTGAGGAACTCCAACACATGTATGGATTTTTTAAAATATTTTTTATATCAGTTTTATAGTATGAAATAAATTGTATAACTTCATATTTTATTAATGCCTCTTACAAACTGAGTTTGATATCCATTCTGTAAGTTACAGACCAAGTTTTTTTCTGCTTAGATTTATGGCTCAAGCATGAAGTGGGCATGCCATGTATTTGAGCTAAAAATGAAGGTTCTGTAACTTACATACGTGAAAGAATTGCTCAGTTCTGATTGGTTAAGATAAATGCAGTTTTCGGGTAATTCAATGCAGAAGAGGGTCAATTTAGTGCAAAGAAGTAACAAACCAGACATTCTGATTGGTCAATAATCAAAGAGCTCACAGATAGCCAATTAAATGCAAGTCTTGGATGTGGCAACATTTGGATACGCTGAAAATTTGCAAGTGAGCGTTTTAAGTAGGTTTTCTTTCACCACCGCAACAACAATACAGAAGCTGAAAAACAGCTTTTACAATAAAAACACAGTAAAAAGCACTGCTTTTTGGTTGTCAGTTTGGAAAAAGTGGTGTTTAGAGAAGGGAATTTCCAATGAAATAAACAATTATGAGCCAACCCAGCTTAACACTTTGCTCGAGCAATTCTAAGCCAAAATTAAAAACAAACATGGTTAAACCTTGCAAATGACGATTCCATTTCATCAAAAGTGATTCGAACACAGACTGAACAATTCCTTGAACTGTTTAGCTGCCCTTCGAACTTTTTTGCACCTTAAAGATGTGAAAATATCACGAGGTTGTCTTGATGGAATGCACAATGTCACTTGCAGGGTTTGAATAAATTATTTTTGCACTTGATGCTTGCGCTTTGCTTCTGCATGATAAGGTATCTCATATTTTTTCATGTATTTTATTAATACATAATCACATGATTTTTCTTGAATGTGCAATTTGGAATAAATAAGCACTTGTAAATTTTTTCAAAGACCACAAATTGCACCCACCCTACAGGCTCGTGCAATTTTGTTAGTCTATGAAAAAATTTACTTGTGCTTATTTATTCCAAATTGCACAAGAAAAATCATGTGATTACCTATACATGTGGACTGAGAACACGAGGGTGGTAAGAGATTTTATTATATCAAACAAACTTTTGAATTAAGCAGTCATGCCTTTAGTCTGATGCTTATGAATGTGGTATATTTTATACATTTAACATAATGCCTCTTCAAAATTGTTAATTTGTAGAAATTGTGCAATAAGCAATACAAAAAATGCACTGAAAGTCTTTGGATCATGTACAGCCTTCTAGAGATATTCTGTCACTCTGAAACAATATTAGTTTGGGATACACTAAGCTGTCTTATTTACGGAAAGGCCAATATCAGTTTCACTTACCTCCAGCAAGTAGTAACAGTGGTGTTTAGGAGGCACAGTTCAAATCGTGTCAAAACCTGAAGTTTTTCCAGCTTCTTTTCTGTTACAGCTTAAAACTGCTGTCCACTGACAAGGATACTTTTTTCACTTGCTTGATTATATAATTATTACAGACCGGTATTGATTTGGATAATTTCTCATTCAATGTAAATATTGAACAGGAAATACTGGTATTTGATAACAATGTTATCGCTAATGACCAAACTGTATGAGGAAATATTAGTTGTCTGTGATGTGAAAATGTCTGGAATGTAATGAATATCAGATATGTGTTCCAAAGTGAAGTGAATCATTTTACTGGAATGCGTTATATTCTATCGCCAAATTATTTGAGCTGAAAGCATTGTCTATAATTAGACACAGCATGGAGTTTACTATAAACTAGCGTGTCAGATCAATATATTTTCTTTTCGGTGTTGATAAGAAGCATGTGTAAAACCATCAATCATTCTTTGATGTTAACTATCAAAAAATCCTAGAGTAGAATAGAACAGTCAGCAATTCACATTAATTTTTTCAGTTTGTCTCAATGGTTGTTGAAACTTCACTGTAATGTGCTGATACTGAAAAAGCGTTTTGTAGGATTTTTTTCTTTCTGTGTGATTGGTTTTATTTTGAGTGCATGAGCCTTTCTGTCATGCGTTTTAATAATGATTTTGAGAAATTAGCAGGTCATATTATAATAAGTAAACCATTAATAAGGTTCTTTCAAGATCAAACCAGTTTTCACTGCACCTAGTAATTCACATTTTCAGTTTTGCTTCGTGGCTTTTTAAACTTTGCAGTAATGTGCCAAGACATTGCCCTTGAACTTCCAAGATCCAATCATAAATTCTCCCCTCTAGCTGCTGCACATTTTCTTGTAACTTAGTCACAAGAATTTGATGTTAGATCAAGATAACAACTAATACGTGATAGGTTTTTTATCCTCTCATTTATTTACCCATTTGCTGGATAATGTATGGATGATATGGGGAAAAGTAGCAAGTTGATCACTTCTGTTGGTTTTCTTTTTATTTCTCAGTTGGTTTTTTTCTTTCTTTTTTGCGATAAGTTTAATTTTAGTACCCTAGATTTACCTTGTGAGATGAAAATATTGTGTTCATGGGGCGTGAAGGATCAGTTCCTACTGAGACAATGTCTTTGAATTGGTGATAATGGCGGAAGATAAAAATGATATTGGACTTTATGTAAATAAAAATTAAAAGCATTTTGTGATAATCCCTTGTTATTAATACTGATATTATCTGACTCAGTGTGCCTGCCTCAGGGTGACAAGGTATCTCTAGAAGGCTGTAAACGATCCAAAGACTTTCAGTGCAATTTTTTGTTTTGCTTATTACACAAATGCTACAAATTAACAATTTTGAATAGGTATTTTGTTTATCAAATATATTGCATGACCATCAGACGATTGCATGACTGTAATGTAGGCAATATCATTATAATTAATTCATCGGAAGTAAAACAGAAATAATTTGAAGCCACGTTGGCTAAAGTCCATTCAGCATAGCACAGTTATGCAGCGGATAGCAAAACGTTCACTTCTCAAGAGTGATTTAGAAATTCTGTTCAGTTTGGTGAGTAAACATCTTGAAACTGGTTGGGATTTTTGTGCATAGATTGATGTTTGTACTGTTGTTTTTTTTTTTGGAATCAGTACTAAGTTTAATTCTTTTTAAAGCGGCTGATTTTTATGTTTCGTTTGTCAGTATTTATTGCCATAAATTGAAACAGCAAGGGAAATAAAGATTACCATGGTTTAAAAGAATTTGAGCAAAGGAAAAAAACTGAAGCATGCATGCACAACATATCCATGCTTTTGGTTCGCTTTGATAGTTCAAAGCAGCTCTGCTGTTCTCCTAAGGACTGTTTATAAGCCAGAAAACTGTGGGATTGCATGACTTAGAAGAAAGTGATTAAAAATATAGATCACGTTATCGGTAAATAATTCATTTTTTCTTGCTTTAGGGCACATCCAGAAGAGTGGCTTGCAAGTGATCTTCAACATAAACTACAAACTGAAGTGAGTACTTGAAAATATGTATTTAGAATTCTTCAATGTTCCCCTTCGTAGAAACAACTGTATTTTCTGTAGATGGAGCTGAAGTTAGTGTTGAATTGCTTTTAATCTGGCAGTATTCCATCTAAACATACAGCTGTATCTGAATTTTTCATAATCAAATTGTACATGATGATGTCAGTGAATTTATAATACCCTTGCTTTGCTACAAATGAAGACAACCAAATTCACAGCTATAACAAAAGACATGTAAACTCCTTTTGTTTTCCATTATGGAGAGCAAACATTTGGCAGTTTTCCATTTTCTATCAAGACCCAAGGTATTTCAACTCTCCTACTCAAGAGATCACTGGCTCTTCACGTTTTGCGTCCTTCTAAAAAAAACTTAAAATATCTATTCTTGACCTCTCCTAATTCTACTATGGGCTATTAAACGGTTTATCAACCTATCATTTACTGTCTGAACTGTCTAGAGTCATTTTGTCTTGTTCTACTTGTGAGAGACCCTAAATTTACAAGCCTTAAATTATTTTTATAAAAGCTTCCTAGCCACTAATCTGTTTTGTTGTCGTTTTTTTTTTAATCTCTACCAATTGCTATCAATCATTGTAATTTTATACATTATGGCAAATAAAATGGTGAAATAAATATAAACGTTTTAGCATCAATCTGGTTTCATTTCAGTTTTGATGTATGATATTAAATGAATACATCCTGTTATTTAGGAAGTAGATTGTGAAAGAAAACGAAGAGATTCTGAACTGAAAGACCAGGTAAACATTGCACATTTTCTGTCTTGTTACATCTAATATGAACCAACAAGATTTATTTTTTTTTATGTTATCAAGGCTAATTTGCTGTTGATTAATTTCAAAATGTGCTTTGATGAATCAATATTTTTGCAAATAACTGTAATGGATGGCTTTGAAGCCATGTTAAATTTTTTGCTGTAACATCCATAAGCCAGTTTCTTGATCTGCTAGATGTTAACAGATTGTGTTCAATTTTTGTTTACTCCTAAAATTGTTTTGCTGATTTCTTACCTTGCACAACTTTTTATTGCTAAATTCTCATTAAATCTGTTGAAAATCATGAACAAATAACACTCTCCTGTGGAGCTGTTTACATACATGTGTCACTTCCTGAAAGCCTTTCACTTTCAGAGTAACCAAAAATAAGTTATTTCATCGTTGTGTCAACAGAAAGACGTTGCAAAGAATGAGAATTTTCATATTTTGGACATTGCTTATTGAAAACCAAATTCTCAAACCTAATATTAATGAAATGTTTGGCAGACAGGGAGGAGAGGTGATGTAGCTATTAACAGAGTGAATGCAATTCCCTTGTTCAGGGTCCACAGTTTAAGTGGCTTTGTTGTGAACTGCATTGCAAAGAATGTTTGTGAAATTAAGTTCAAAACTCGTTAAGCAATTTCCAATTAATTGGTCAAAGAAATCCAGAATTGAGTTGGTTTTTCTTGACACGCCCTGTGATTGGTTTAGAAAACTCGCGCCACTTTCTCCACCAATCAGATGGAAAACTGAAATCAATCGTGATCTAGTCATTCGCATTTTCCCGCGCTCCAGGCAGTTGGTGTTTAATTACTCTGAGATCTCATTGGCTCGTTGTGTCATCGTCCATTCCTCTGATTGGCCTTTGATATTACTTTGGTTTTGGTGACATTCCATTGGAAAGCGCTCTTAATTCTTAAAATGTACAATTTCTTTTTTTTGCTAGGAGATTGCAAGACAACTGCAAGAAAGAGAAGCTATGAAACTCGAACGTGCAAGACAGAGAAGATTGGAAAGACAACTTAAAGAAGAGAGGGAAAGTAAAATTCTTCAGGAAGCTATATCAGGGTTGAACGATCACAATGACAATCAAGTGAATCACCAGCAACATGCTGAAACTCAAAGAGGTTTGATTGTTTACAATTTTTGATTTTAGTGTACTTGAAGTATATGTGACGCCGTAGAATTTACACGATAAAACGCAACACCGCTCTCAGAGAAATGTCACTCTTGATTGAACGATGCACATGGATCCAAAAGGACCATTAAACGCTGCCCCTATATGAACGCTGCACATTTCGATTGAGTGTCGTAAAACCCAAACCGAAGCAATCACAAAAACCAATCGGAACTTGAAATAAAACAGGTTTGAGGCGCGGGAAAACGCGGATGACCAAGTTGCGATTGGCTTTAATTTTGCATTTGATTGGTTGAAAATTTGACGCTGGTTTTCTTAACCAATCGCGAGACTGAGTAAAGTAGAAGCACCGCAATTCCTGATTACTTTCGATACTCACTTAGAAATTGCTGTAACTCCACAGTTTAAAAAAATGATTTAGTTTTTGATGTTATGGAATTTATTTCCTTGCAGCCCCTGCTCCTGTAGGATTAAGGAATGGTCGATCTTCTCCGGATACAGAGGAGACCAAGCCTCGTCGCCATGTCAGAGGAGAAGGTAGCAATGGTAGAGGGTCTGAAAAAAGATACAGCATTGGAGAAGGAGCTGTGGTGCAACTGCCACCCAGCGAGGGAGGACGATTAGAATGTGACAGGATTATCTTAGCTGATGGAACAGCTATTGACCTGTTTGACGAGAATGAGGACAAGGGTGCTCGGGAGCAGGCGCATAAGAGATCTCGAGAGAGACAAGATGAGGTAAAAACCATGAAATATGTGCTTTTTTCAAGTGATAAAAAATAGTCCTCCGAGAGGACGTGTGCTTACTGGTACTAGATGGCACACCTAGTTACATTGTGCATATGATTGCGGAATTGTTATCGGTGTCAAGTAAATGATGTCAGTGTAATTAGAATCATATGCTATCAAAACAAGATGGCAGGGTTTGTGGTGTGGTAATGTTCGGGGTGAAACAGCTTCGGAAGTTACGGACTATAATCTCACTCACAACATGATGACATAATGCGTACTGGCCTTTTGCCAGTAAGCGCAAAAATCATTCATTTCACTTCGGGATCCGGAAGTCTTCGGAAATTACGGACCATTTCACTCACAACATGATGACTTAACGTGTACTGGCCTTCTGCCAGTAAGCACAACTAGTGAGCAGAACTGCACGAACTCAAAGAGTACAAACTTGTTTTACTTTTCTACGCGTTTCGTCTAACAGTAGCAGACGTAGTCAGGGAATTTTTACAAGTAGGGTAGATAAGTTTGCTTATATACACATCGATGTCTATCTTCGATATCTCTTTTTTTTGTAATAAATCTGTGACCCCGAAACACTTAACGTACTCGTTCATGTAACGTCCGAAAAATGTCACGCATGTATAACACCTTAGTCACTCCTTACGAATACTTTCCGCCTCGCTTCACACTAAGCGTAAAGGTCGAAAATTGACCTCGATGTCTGATGAATGAGCAAAATGCTGTAGATGATGACGTCACCTATGCGTCTTTCCTCCAATATTAGGTATGAACCAATCAAACGGCGGGGGTAATTCACCTTACTACATAACTAAGGAAAGATAGATGTATTATTTCAGTTTACAACTTTGGAGATTTTTTTATTGTTTAGGAATATGCAAGAAGGTTACAGGAGCAAGAAAATAAGGTACGCTTTTTATACTTACGATGTTTCTCGTACTTTTGTTTCGGTCATATATCTTTCACAGAAGAAATGTTAGCTATGTCGACAACAAGTACATGTGTCTACCACACACGTGAAAAGTGCTTGTCGCGCGCGCTGATTGCTGATTGGCTATTTAGCAAGTGCTAGTCATTTCTAAATTAATTTAATCAATTTTTCGGTCTCTGTGTGGAATATGCAGAAACAATTATCCACCTCAGGGTCGGTGAATAATGGTGGATATTTACCTCACCGATTTGCGGCTCGGTAAATATCCATCACTATTCACCACCACTTCGGTGAGTAATTGTTAACTACTGGGAAGATAATCTCAAGAATGTTTTTTAACCATCCGTCTCTGAATATTTGATGGTGTCCGCAACTGAAATCTCTTCAGTATATGCGTGCCTAGATAGTATTGAATTGTTTTAGGATCGTTAAATGTTTTACGGTTTGAGCTAACAACAATTTATTCCTTGTCAGTTATTAGAACAAGACCGTCAAGCGGAACACGACAGAAAGCTAGCACTGGAATATCAAGACAGGGTATGTGCCAGTTAATCATTACTTGTGATTATTGAAGATCTGGTCAAGATGTTTCAGCGTAGAGCGCTTTTCAATTGAGTGTCATAAGACCGAAACCATAGTAAGCACATCGACCAATCAGATTAGAGAGAAATCCAAAAGGACTAATGAGAGGGCGATGTTAGCGCACGTGACCGGCGTTAAGCGCGGTAAAATGTGAGTGACCCAATGGCGATTGGTTATAGTTTTGCATCTGATTGATTGAGGGGATAACGCCAGTTTTCTAGCCGTCCTAATTGAAAGCAGCTTACAAGGATTTTTTCTTGAGCTGTTTAACACGGTCCTTCGTGAAGGCTGTGTCCTTAAACTCTCTCCTTTATGTCTTTCGTATCTTAAGGAATTTGCCAAAGAGCTACAGAGAAGGGAATATATTCGATTACAAAAGCTGAAGAGAGAAAGACAATTACAGAGAGCACAGTCAGTTCCTGCAGAAAGCTCGTCTGGAAGTACTGGAGAACTGCAGGTGAGTTGTTCGCCTTCAGGAATATAACTGCAAGTTCCTTGACTGTTCCCTTATCTTAGAAGGCTATGCGTGTTGTTGCAAGCTAAATTTGCGGAGATTTAAGACAAGTTTAAAACAAACTGGGTCGAGTGCATGATTTCAGGCTTTCGTTGTGAATTTGCTGGGATTAAATTAATTATTTGAAACAAGTTTTTCCCCCACCCCTTTTCCCCCCCTTGCAGGGCTCCACCTCCTGCCCCGGTTTTTTGACGGTCGGATAACACTATCCACTAGATAAATCTCTATCCGGTGAATAACGCTATACGTTTTACTATCACTTATCCGCTGGATCGCGATTTATCAGTTGGATAGTGTTATCAGCCTTTATACAACTGGGCCCTGGAATTTCAATTTGACATTTTACAGGACTGGAAAGTCCTGGGAAAAGACAACTGGTCCTGGAAAATCCTGGAAATCTGCTTAAATCAAGAAATAAAGATTTCCAGAATTTATGTTATAGGAAATGTATGTAGACAGTTAGGAGAATCGATTTTAAAAACTTGGGAATGAAAGGGGCTAAGGTGATTTTTGGAGTCCTGGAAAAATCAATCTGAGTCCTGGAAGATTTCTTAAAATTTGTTTCTTAGAAAGGGTGCGAACCTTGAGCTTAGCGCAGAAAGATTGAGTAAGCTATTTTTCTTCGTTTATTTGGTCATGTATTTGTTTTTATTTGCGTAATTGTTCACATATTTCTTTGATCCTTCCTCTTTCAGTCGCATCAGAGGCTTCCTTCTTACGAGGAAGCAACACACAGAAACCAAATGCCCGATCTACTGCAGGATGAGCCAGCCTTTAAACCAGAACAAGATGCTCAAGGAAACGACTTTTCACATCGTAAATACAGCTGCCCTGAAAGACCAGCTACCTCGCGTTACAACGGTTCATTTGAACGAGAAATTAATGGTGCAAACCAATTGTCCCGAACCAGTTCTAATTCTCCGCCGAGCACGATACTCGACAGAGATCCGCTACGCCAACAGGAGTACAGATCGTCCGATTCTCCAAACTCATCGCAGCAATCTTCGTTGGAAAGATCGGCAGAATTTGTCAGGCAAACTTCCCAAACGTCCTCAACTAGTTCATCGTCTCAAGTTCAGGCTCTCGCGTCTCCGACATCACCGGTCACCCAAGAAGGGATCTGGGAACGACTCTATGAGGAAGGAGACCAGATTCCGTACGGTTCACGCGACCGTAGAGTCTTGGAACGGAGGGTAACTGTGGCAAGTTCCGAGCCTTCCAATCATATCACCACCGAGTTAGTTAACAATGGAAGTATTCCTAATGGAAATGAATGCAACATTGCAGAATTTATAGACCCCACCTTTGGCCGTAAGTCCCAAAATAGCAGTACAGAAGAAGACCCTACGCCCTCTCCGACGGGAGTTGAGTCGAAAGCTAAAGCAGTGCCGCTGATACAACCGCACCGTAGGCGCAGCTCAGATAAAAAAAAAAGAGAGAAAGAAAAAGAATGCAAACAGCAGTGAAAATCGGAGGATAAAGCGAGTGTCCAAGAACAGTTCTTCGTCACTGTAAATAGTGAATGGTGCCCGAGTGGTAAGCTCGGTCAAAGTCATTAGTATTTTTAAATATTGACAGCTATTGATAGTTGTACAATTTAACATAAAGCCGTAATGTAAGCCGAGCGATGTTTCATCACCGATAATTGATTATGGTGTTCCCAAGCCTTTCCTCCGCAAATTATTAAAGGTAAAGCGAAGGGCACGATTGAGTACGAGCACTTCCTGCTTTTCGGCAAAGTCCGTTGCACGAGTCAAAACCGAAGGAAAAAATGAGGGTAATAAAAAAATGATTTTAGCGCATTGCGCGGAACTCTGGGAATGAGGTACACGGAAAGTACTCTACTCTGAGCGCGGAATCCGAAGGTCTGGAGTTCGATTCCTCGTGGTGACTCAGAATTTTGCCTTTGTCGCATACCCGTGATTTGACGAAAAACGTCTTTCTTTCTTTCTTTTTTTACCGAGCTCAAAACTCACAATCTTTCTTATTTTACTCTGCTACTTCCTTGTACCCAGTGTTCAGCGCGGCACGCTAACAATTTTTTTTACTCTCTGATCAGTTTTGACTCTCGCTACGAACTTCGCCGAAATGAAGAAACTGCTCGTAGTCTAAGGACACGAAAGCTCGAGATCGAACTTACCACGCATTTTTTATGTAACAAAATGGCGTAATTACCTCTAGAGTACTCTCGTGAGTTTGTGGAATTATTTTGCTGGTCAATAGGTTATTAAACCATGCAAGCACTTTGATAAAGATATACGAAAAAGGATTTCAAGCCGAAATTATGATCTTGATAAAACTGGAAGAAACCCACAATTTAAGTTAGTTGGAAATAATTTAGCTCTCTCTCCCTCTCTATGGAATATTTTTGCCAGTTTGTATAGTTTTTAGATGATCTAAACGTTTCGTTCTTTGCAAGTTCTTTGCAAGTTATTCCATCGATTTCAGCAGTAAATGGTATCCAACTTTAAGAATCACGTTTTCTTTGACCTCAAGCCATTTTTTCTTAAAACTCACACCTCTAAGCTGGCGAAGGGAAGTTTATTTTCAGGATATATTGACGGAAAGACTTGCTGCGTTTTAAAACTTTCATATCAAGCAGTTTTAATAGTAAATTTTATTTTTCAGAGATCGTCCAAAAAAAGAAGAAAAACTGCAAACTATTGTATGATGTACAGATTTTATTAAATGCGTAATGATAAGGTACAAGAAAGTTTCCCACAGGAATTCAGAAAAGTACGTTTTAGAGCTTTATTTAAACGTTGTGGCTTGTAGCCATGAGTTATGCATCATCATGCAACAAGTTAGAGGTGGAACTATTGTTTTCAGAAGCGAAGTATGCGGAATGCTAAAGAAATAAAACTTCCTCAAATTTATTATGTTTGTGCGAATATTCAGGTTTGCTTGTGACGGGGAACAGGAATTACTGTAATGTACTTGAAAGACGCCCTTTGTAAGAGCATACCTTGAAAATTTGCGAACCTATGATTGGGGAAAACCGCGATGTTGAGTACACCCTATCACCATGCATGTTTTTCATACTATTCTCTATAAAGGGAGTAATTTTTGAAGAAACCGTGGTACTGATTCGGTCTGGGGTATAACAAGATCATTTGGTTTCGTCACCCGAGTTGATAACGTAAATTGGTCACCATACAGTTTGTAAAGCTGACGTTCCGAGTGTTAGCCCTTCGTCAGGGTGAATGTAGCGGGTTTGCACTCCTTTGCTCCGGTTAAAGTCATTATAGTCTTATTAAGCGGTATGGTTACCAAGTTAAGTCACGATTCGCATAAGTTAAGAATCGTACTGCTGACAAGGAACCAATATGACTCTGGGCTCAATATTGGCCAAATTTACATCCAATACATGACCTGCCAAGTTGTCACAAAAGAGACTGGGGAGTAGACAGCTCTTAAAATTCCTGTTACAATTACAATGTTTCGTTAAGTTGTCTCAGTGGGGAGGGTTCTCTCTGGTACCCTAAGACCAAGAGACTGGGCTATAATCCTCAGGTAACCTTTCAGCACAATCAATTGAAGATCAAAAGGACTAACTCTTGACCATAGTTCAGTCTCCAAAGTGCCTATGTGTCTCAAAGTTCTCTTTTATTGTGGCAAAATGAATGATTTACAGCTGTTATACAATCCTATCAACAACTACCAGCTGTACTACTGACAAAGTAATCACAAATTTGCAATTCAATCAATTATCACAGAAAAATATGACACCAAAATCAAGAAATTACATAGCACACAGTTTTGCATGTATGCAATGCAAATGCTCAAGTATCTATGTTGCAATTACATTAAAAAGTCATCATTTGACATGACCACTCTACGGGATGAAACACATTTAGCTTTACCAACCAGGGAGAAAACCTGCACTTCTCACAAGAACCACCACAGTTGAGCAGGGCAAAGCTAAACTACTTGATGCATTTTAATAAATAAATCTAACTGGCAAGCTAAATCTGCTGCATTTGCTTTCCCAGAAAGTTTCTGTTTCTTATAACAACAGATCCAAAGGGGAGGCAGACCACCATTTCTCCTCCTAGATTTCTTTTTTTTTTCCCTTTGTTTCTTTTCATTACCATTTACTAATTACATCAGGAGTACATATTCAAATGTGGACACTTTGCAGATCTGTATGGATCTAAAATGTGTGAATTTCTAAAACTGAGCTTTAGTGTATGTACACAAGTGAGAAAATCAAAAAACTGGTTTCATTTAGCAATGGAGATCAGAATATTATCTGCTTGCTGCACAGAACTCGCTGACTCAAGTCCAATGACCTAGCATTTCCACATTCAGATGTGGAACTGTCACACAGTATACAATCCCATTACTCTACAGTATTTCCTGAACCATATTTCTTAAAGAAAACCCCAAAAAGATGCCTACTGACAGAGAATTTCCATTGGACAATCCCAACAAAAGGACTTTTAAAATTATTCACAGCCATAACAATTGAACATCACATTGACGAAGTAAAATTGAATAATGATTCTATGGTTATCCATTGAGTGATGCACACTAAAAGCTTGGTGACTGGGTTTTAACCCTAAAATTAAGGTGTTATCACAGGCAACCTTCCATGCATCCCTTAGTAACTGTGGCTAACCATCAAACATGAAACTCTACCATAGAGTACACACAACACCTTGCCACTGGAAATGGGGCCAATTGCTCATGACAACAATATGATTTTAATGTCACAACATGGTTGCCAAACATCCATTTGTACCTCTCTCAATTGAAAATTGTAGTAATCATCTGATATTAAAGGACTGAAAAACAAATATCGCAATCTTATCATGCTACAACTCCCACTGAAGCGTCTGCTATTAACACACGGGTGAAAGTGATCATTGACTAGATTGGAGGTGAAAGATTATAACACTGTACATTGACGGTGCTTTCCATTTACCAGCTCTGGCCAGAATGTAGGAAACAGTTCCAGCCAGTGTAAATGGAGAATGAAAGTTCACTTCTCTTGAGCAAAGGCATGTGAGTTGTTTTCTCCCAGAAGTTTTTCATGCCAGAAGTTTTAACAATTATTTTCACACCATCCAGGGCATTTCATGAATGGTCTGCAAGAGAAACAGGCTTAAACTGGCCATACTCAATGGAGGGTGCCAGTTAGGTCAGGAATGGACCTTTTACATTTACAGACACCATGGTTGGAATAGCCAGTTCTGACAAATGGAAAGCATCCCGAAAACTTTACAAAGTTAGAGTATAGAAAAAGGTTTTCTTCGTCCAAGTCAGACATAATATACTCGCACTCTTGACGTGCTGACAAGGAGGTCTCCATCAAAGAACTTTGTTTCAATCACCACGTTGCCACTGAAAGAGACCACATACCCATACTCTATAAGCATCATTTCATCTTCAGAGAAGGATTGGTTAGAACACATGTAACACCAGGGTTTAACCCTTTACACCCAAACATCAGTATGTATATTCTCCATACTATGCTCTCTACATTTCCTAACATGCTAACAAGGAGAACTTGTTAAACAATCAAGAGCTTCAGACATAGTTTGATGCTACTCTGGTTTACAGATTTAATGAATGTAACCGAAGAAGTTACAGTTCATAGACCCAACGTTTTGACCAGCGCCTTTGTTTGGAGGCTTGGCATATTAACTCTGCCCATGCTCCTTTAAATCGTGACAATGGCAGTCTGCTTCCTGATGCCTATTTACACCTCATCAGAAAAAAGGCCACTAATTAGTGATTATATAAAAAGACCTCTTGTTGCAGCATTTAGATCATCCCTGATGAAGGCACTAGATGGGAGTGTCGAAACGTTGGGTCTATGAATTGTAACTTCTTCAGTTACATTCATTAAATCTTTAAACCAGAGTAGCATCAAACTATGTCTGATTGTCCACCTGGTTGCCATGTGAACTTTAATATAATCAAGAGCTTCTTTAATAATGATCATTTCCTTTGTTCTCATAACTTTAAGGTTTGATTCATCGGTGATATTGTTGGGAGGAATTTGATGCTTGTCAAGGGCTCAAAAGTTTGATAAGAATTCATTTTAGGACAGATATAGGAAACCCCAAGGATTTGGTTGACATTAAAAATCCTTGGTTGGATTCCTTGACTAAAATGTTGAAGTTTTTGATATCACAGCAAAGAAGTAAGACTTACCTCAGAACCTGTGCAGGCATCATCTGTGATTCAGGAGCAGCTTCTATGAGTGACTGCCATGTGTTTGTTGATGCTGGGATCACAAATCCAAAATCAAAATACCATTCTGTAAAGACAGATCACAAAATGTAGCTGGCACCAAAAAGGGGTAAAACAAGAAAAAGTTTGTGGTTCATTAAGGCAATTCCTACCAATATTAAGGCAGCAATACCAGTGCAGCGCTCTACCAACTGAGCTAACAAGCCAACTGGGTGGTGGTTAGCTCAGTTGGTGGAGCACTGCACTGGTATCGCAGAGGTCATGGGTCCAAATCCCATACAGGCCTGAAATTTTTTCAGGTCTCATTTCAACTACTAGTTTGGTAGCGTTCATAGCAGCAAGGATCGTTCATATCTCATTTCTTCACCACAGTGCACATATATGATTTTCATACATTTCCAGTCATGATAAACTACGTTACGCACACTAGAATTATGCTTGCTTACCTTCTAAACACTTCCCTTTGAACATGACTTTTTGTTCAAGTCTGAATTTTGTCATTTCTTGTTCAGAAGAAAAGTTTAACTCTCTGGAGACCGCCTTGCATTTTAAAATTTTTTTTGGTACTCTTGCTGATAATCAAACAAAGAAAAAAAACTATAAGGTACCACCACTGGTAATTTCAAAGCAGAAAGTTATCATTTATTTAATTGTGCCTCCCATGCTGCAAAGGCAGTTGGAATTTTATAAACTGAGTTATTGTTAGTCTTAATTTTTAATATTTAACTAAGACATTGTTAAAAAGAAACCACCAGATACAGGAAGACCGAAAATAACAAGATACAAATATGCTCCAGGCAACACTTAAAAGGGCACTTAGGCTGGGATGGTATTATCTGAAAATAAAATTCAGTAAGGTAATAATGTTTACAACTTCTCTTGATCTCTAAACCAGGGTTGTCATTAGAAACCTGCACTCTGCAGAAACTTGCTAGCTGAATTGTAATGTAACTCAGAATGTCAATGTCTGGCTAAAAAAAGTTCTCCAAATACAGTATGCTGCAAATCACCTATCAGAGTTTCAAATTTCAAATTTTTCTGGGGGAGCATACCCCAACCCCCCAGTAAGGGTGTTTTGCTCTGCAACATGCCATGCTTGCTACACAAGCAGATTTCCATTCAGCTGCCTACTCAGTTTAGATCATACATCTATTCACTTTTCTAATCACAACCCAGTTGAGAGTAGTAAAAAGGCATCTTACCCTCATGCTCAGGTCCTGGAGCTGACCTGCAGAAACATATTACAAAAATGACCATCAAAACAGTTACAAGTCAACCAAAAGAACAGGAAAATTTTATGACTGCAGACCTTAGAATCTTTAAGTTTAGCCTTTGACTTAAAATACTTTATATCTTAATAAAAATATGATGTGAGACACTAAGGATTCCATCACAATGACCCAAAGACCTTGATTTAAATATTCCTTTAGTATAGTGTAAATAATAAGCTGAATAATACACCTATATTGACTGGTTGTAACTTGTTGTTTTTTTTTTTGAGGACAGAAGCATACTAAATGACTTCACCATTTATATTTTCTTCTTATTCAATGTACAAAACAAAGAGATCCCATGTTGATATGGGTCTTTTCAGAATACAGTGACACTTTTTTGTTCTTGCCACATTTTGGCACCCTCCATGGTCTATTACTGAACAGACACAGGACAAGAAGGAATCTATTTCTTTAACTGACACAGGACTCCCAGTGATACTGGGGTAGAGACTGTAGATGTCTCTCTGACCCAATGCTTGCCTCTTCTTGATTTTTACACCAAGAATACCACTAATTCTCAGGGATCAATGGAAAAAGAAAGAAGCCCTAAGGCATTCTGTGCTCTTCTCTGAAACTTGCATCTTGAAAAGGTCTCTAAACCATGACAACAAGAGATTGGATTTACATGCAAACTAAGTTACTTAATAAGAGAATGAGGAAGTAAATAAATAGGATAGTATTTCACTTACAGGTCATCACTCCCCTGCCATAATACTTTACCAGAGTCAGCATCTCGCAGATTCATCCAGTTTCTAGATCATAATAATTAAGGGAAACAAAACAACAGTCCAGTTGCTCTGACAAAGGGCTAACGCTTGAAACATCAGCCTTTAAACTCTTTAAGCACCTCAGTTTCTATAGAGACTTACCCCCTTTATTTGAAAGCTACTGTGCTTTGATTCTTATGTAAATTTTTAGCACAAATATATGAAAGCCCTTCAATAGAACAACTTCCTCGAAGCTTTCCCAAGTTACCAAGTAATAACTATTCACCTCAGTGGCTAGTGGTGGAAATTTACCATGCAGTGAAGCAGTGTGGTAAATATCAACCCCTTGCCACTGAGATGAACAGTTGTTTTAGTACATACTAAAACAGTGAGATAATTTAGGGGGGAAAAAATTATTTTTGACTCATTCATTCCTGCATTGATTACAATATTTTCAGATGAAAATCCTCGGGGTTGAATAGGAAAGGATATTCAGAGTTTGAATGGCCATTAAGTACGCCTTCAAGGTTATCTACTTTTAGATTAGGAAGTAAATACCACTAAACTATTTCACGCATCTTCTCAAACTTCAAATTGCATCAAAATTACTTTTCAAAGCTTATGAGACAAACTTTCAGTCTAGAATTCTTTCACAACATTTGCACTTGTCCCTTCTCAAAGTTACAGTCAATGCTTGCCACAAATTTTGCAATTCATTTTTCCTTACAAAAAAATTGATGAAAGGTTTGAAGGAAACCTTGCTACTTTTGCAAACCTTATAAAATAACTTAAAACTTTGCAGTTAGACAAAATAAGTGTATTTTAAAGATTTTGGTAAATAAGTAATTAACTGAACTGACAGCTGCCAATAAAAATTTGATATGTTATTAGTCCACTGACATTTATCTCTCTGGGAAAGGATAACGATTACGCATTTCATTTAAAACATGGCACGTAATTGACACGGGTTTAATTTCTCTCTCTTTTACACCAAATCAAAATTCTGAGTCATGCTGTTTGGAAGTTGATAGATGTGTTTTGATCAGCAGTTTTCTTTCTTTGGAATTAGACACAACAATTAAAGGCAGCTGGCTGAACTTATTTGACATATGTCAAGAAATTTTTCGCTTATCTCTCAGTCTATGAGGCAAAATAATGCAACTACAAAATGGATACTCCGCCATATTTGACAAAATTCATCGATCCGAAGTGCGAGCAATTACTCATTCGTTTCACACCGAAATGATTAAAACATTATCCAGGCGATACAGTATTACAATTACCTGACGCAGACGTAGCTGCTAAATTGCATACATATTTCTGAAGTCCAATTTAAAAGCGATCTTTTCGTAAACCTTAAGCTTTGCTTGGAAATCGAGATTTTACGAAGTCGCACGCTGTACTTGGTAAGGTCTACTGATGGAAACTTGATCCTTTCCAAAAGCGCGTCTACGGTTAAAAATGAGTATTAGTTTCAGTAACAACTATTATTTGTTGCATAATATATACATGTAGTTAGATAACGCTTTAATATCGACAGATAAACACAGATACTTAAAAGTTTGCGTTTAAGAACCAAACATTCGTACTAGCCACAAAATTAATAGAAACAGATTCATTACCGACTCGCTGATCCAAGAAATTTCATGCTCAGAAATGAGGACGGTTAAAACGACCAACCCTGATGGGAGACTGACTAGAAACTGACAAACTAAGTAACTCCGTGAGAATGGAGTGAAATTTAAGGAAAAATTATAGTGTACTTAACGCATGAAGGATACAACTTAAATCCTTTCAGAATTAGTTCTTTTCTGTCATCTCCTGCACTCATACTGGCAAAATTCGCTATCCACTGTCAACCAATGACCCAAAACTGAGGACTTTCGTAGGATCAATCTCTGAAATTCACGTTAGAGAGATGAAAACAGCTCAAAAGTCCAAACTAAGATTCGTGCATACACAAAATAGCCAGAGCACTAAGCAGGACAGGAAAGCTAAAGCGAAGCGTTTCCATGAGAACTCTGGGTAATTACGTCACGGGGGCGTGACACATTCACTTGGGATACCTTGGGCTTTTCAGCTTCCGTGAAATATGACCAATCCTGTTTTTATCTTGCTTCCTCATTCGCTCTGTCACGACCACTACCAAGAAAATTGTATCTTAAGCTTAGTAGCTTAAAATGATTATAGGATGGTGTGGTAGAGTTGCTGGCAGTAAGGTTGACGCCTTAAATGAGTTTCTTCTCAAGAAGAATTCACTCTTTAAATGTCGAAGTTGTTCGTTACCGAAGGATCGAATTTTTGTTAGCAACGCATAAGTGACATAGGATGTCACCCTCTTTCACAATGAAGTGAACCTTTTCGTTTCTATGAAAAACGTATGCGCAGCAAACGCTTAATCAATATATTAGAACTGATTTTGCATTCAAAGAACCATCGAAGTGGGGCGAAAGTATTTCACAATAGATTAGTACCTGTTGAATTCATACAAAACTGTGCATTAGCACGAAACTGGTAGTTAACAGTAAAACAAAGATTACGGCTTGAAAGAGAAATTTAAATTTCTGATCAGCCGTTTCATTTGACAGTGAACTCGGAGAAATGGCAAAACTTATCTGAAAATTTCAAAGAAAACGTTGGAAAAGAAATGTGTTTTATTTTCTTTGTAAAACTTTTTTTTTCCTTTCAATATTGACAAGATTTGGCGCCTTATCTAACGATGATCGCAAAATATTTAAAAGTAGCAACCTACATCAGGCGCCTGTAGAGAAGGGCAAGAAAAAAAGTGATCATTGATTGACCAGTTTTCTAAAGGAAATAGTTTGCATCGATTTTTTTCTATGATTCTTTCTGGAGGTCGATTTTACAAAAAGTGATTTGAAAATATGATTTTTATTAGCTGGGTTCTTACCCGGATCGGTGTAATTTTCCTAAAATAAGCAATTGCGCTTCTCTAACCGAAGAAACATGGAATGTTGTACAAGTTAACCACGTGTGCATAAAGAATAAATTGTTAAACAAGACTTTTCCATCTCGCCCTTGCACGTGCTATATTGTAGAAGTGTGGCAAAGGCCTGTTCGTAAAGAGACACGTGTTGGGAATGGATAAATGTTTCAAAGGAAAAGCGCAAATTGCTGTTTATTCTAATCATTGGTAACTGCACAATATCGTTTGCGCAGTTATCGGGCTCAATTGACAGTCTAAGGCGCGAAAATTTAACCTGTGGCAGGGCCTTTGGAATACTTGATCGATGATACGCTTCGACGAATAAATTCAGCAAGTGCATATTGAGTGTCTGTGGACAGGTAGCTGGCGTGACCGGTGTTTCGCGCGCAATTTGCATTTCAATTCATTCACAGCTATGTTAATTATTCGAAACTGTCAGGGTCGAGAAAAACAAAGAGCGACCCACAAAAACACGAGGCCCGTTGAAACAGATGTAGTGAAACCCAAGGCGGGTTGATGGCAAAGAGTGCTTGAAGGGTTGGTGAGACTCTAAACCGCAACCGCCCTAGTCAAGATCAAAATAATTCCTTTCAGAAAAGGGATATTTACCGATGAATCGAGTGTGAGGCGCGCTCCAAGACTACTAATGCCGGTGAGAAACATTCGTACTTCATCGAATATGCGGGCGCCAAACTCGATGTCTTTCTTGTCCAAGGCCTACAACTTTTTGAAAGGCAAAACTTCGAAGAACGACGAGAACTTTTACGCCAAGGCCAAGACGCCTTTTCCGAACGAGATTTACCCAAGTCTCTGTGAGCCGATCGACGCTAAAGGAATGGCAGAGAGTTCTTGGAAAAACAGAAGAGTTTTGGGAGAATTTACCAATCGCACTAAGAGCATGTTCAATGACCGGGAGCTAATGAAGCAAAAGGCGCGAATTAAGCCGTTCAGTCCTCGAGCTGCAGAGAAGAATTGCTTAGAGGAAAAGAAGATAAATAACCAAACACAAGGAAGGCCAAACAACAAGGCTTTCTCGTTGGAAGGCGAAGAAGACGAAGAGGAAGGCGTTTTTGCGATACAGGTACGTTACCCCTGTGATTCACTCTTTCGGTTTTCAGTCGTGTGTTGTAGAATGCGGAAATTTTCGAGAATTTTTTCCTTATTCGAGACTCAAAATAATTTAATACAATCAAAGCTTAACAAGTGCTTCAAGCTGTTTTGATACAACAATTTCTTTGATGAAGAGTCGGATTTCCGTCGTTTTGAGGGATCAGTTCAAAACAAATTTTATTTGATCGCTTACATTTTCAAAGCAAATAAAAATTTCTGGTAAATAAATCAAAATTTGTTGATGAAGTCACAACTGTTTATTGGATGAAGTGGGATGATTCAGGAAAGAAAACTCTTATTCGCCACACCCAAAGATAAAATATCGGGAAATTTTTCAAAGAGAATTGTGCCGCAGTATTTGTCTAGCACCAGGAGAAATTATCTTTGTTTCTGGGCCGTCAGAAACTTCCGCCGAAAGCGATCTTTTACGAAATTCAGATATCGACATCAAAAAGTAAAAGCGTTTTGAAGTTCTTAAATTGGCAAAGCGAGTTCGATCTTTTTTATCTCAAGTTTTACCAGAGTCATTGAAGTAAAAGGCTTTGGTGAATCCAGCTGACTAACAGCATTAAATTTTTAAACAAAATACGGGGAGTGGAAACAGCACCTCAACAAAGAGTAATAAACATGGCACACAATTCATTCCAGATCTTATTTGCTTTGATAGAAATCTTTTGAAGAAACGTCATCAGTAATATTCTACAGCATAGAGCTTCACGGCGGTATTACCAATGATGGATTAATGTTCATGTCATCTTTTCAAGCTGAGATAACATAGAGGTTCCATGTTTATGGGAAAAAAAAACCGTTTAGCTCTTTCATTGTTTTCTCGGCTAAGGTAATAAAAAACATCTCAATTTCCAGTAGAGTAGATTTATTCGGATCACAGGTATAGCAAATGGGCAAATAGAGCTCCGCAAACAGCGCAAATCGCGGATGGAAAAAAAGTAAACTTTTCGAAAATAAATTTTCCTTTTTCGTTACTTTGGGGTGTACCGAACAACACAAGTTACGTTTTTTGTAACTCATAACTTAATGATGAGTTTTGTAAATCTTAAATATTTTGTTTGCCTTCTTTACTTTTCACACATCTAGGGCTAGAGTTTTCCCTTTATATGCGAAGCTAGTCTTGTTTCAGTGGAAAAAAATCGGCAAGAAATCTGACTACAAATAAAATTTTTCTGTGTGGCTGTTTAGTCTTTTATGCCACGCGACCTGATGTCCATTGTTCGCGTGTCGTGCTCGATATGTTGTTAAATCGATTAATTTTCTTTGTACTTTCTAAATGCTTATTATAAAACATCTGTCTCTTGAAGTCCCTGCGGCTTCAAATGACTTGTCAGTTGCCAAATGTAAGCAGCAATTGAGGCATTGTTGATACGTAACAAGTTAAGATAACAAAGAACGCAACTAATGGAGAGAGTTAGCTTTGATTTGAATCTCTTTGATTTCAAGACCGATTCAAGAAGTGGCATCATCAAGTTTGATATTTTTAATCTACTAGAGCACTTAAACATGAATAGGAAATGAAATGATGAAGTATATACACAGACATCATTCTTAATCACTATAATACACATCAAATTTCTGCACATGTCAAGCTTCCTTCTTCATATTCCAACTTCTCAGCATTTGCACCATGATTATCACCACAAGGGGAACTCTAGAGATCAGTTTGTTGTTTTCTTGAATTCCAAAATAGAAGCATGGACATTTGTTCCGGAGTAGTACTTAATTGTTCGTATCGTCCTCTTCTACACAGCACCTGTTTATCCTTCGAGCACGTGTCGGATATTGGCTTTATTATGATAATTTATCTATGTAAATTCATTAACTATAAAGTGCATCCAAGCGTGAAGTAATGTAACGGCTCGGCGGGAAAATTGATACTAAAACGGTGATTTCAATTTACGGCGGAGATTTTCTGTGATAAAGAAAATTCAAGGTAATTGCATTAAAATGAATTAGATCGTATACAAATTCGACTTACCGCCTTAATACAAATGAACGACTAAAAATAGAACAAAAAATTGATGGTTTACACAGCTGTAGCGTACTGTTTTTGATACAGAATATTTATTTATTTCTCAAACTGGAAAATCTAAGTGCTTTGCGATATGTTGATATGATAGGAAAGCTTTTAAAATAGATGTGAATTGTTTAGAAATATTCAGACGTCAGACATTGAATTTCAAATTAAACTAACTACGGTGGACTAAAAGTACATACAATAGTAACGCACGAGGAACATTGAAACAAATGTGCAGTAGAACCTTCATATCGCGAATGCGAGGTATCTCCTTTCGAAAATCATTAGTGAATTCTTTACTTCCAGCTTACTCAGTTTCCCTTCCCCCATCTCCCCGCTATCCTGAAAAACTCCATTTCCCTCGGAAGTTTGAGCGGGCTTCTAAAAACAAAAGTTTATGGTAGTTTTTTTCTTTCGTCATGCGCAGTTGATCAAGCCCCAGAATGGTTTTCTTGGTATCGTTTTGGTGGGCGGAGCTGACACACCGCTGGAAAATCATTACGTCAATGACATCTTGCCTAATTCCTCCGCGTCCAAATCGGGCCGCGTCAGAACTGGAGACGAACTCCTGGAGGCAAATGGCCAGGCCCTTCGCGGGAAAACGCATGCACAGGCGCTAACCATCTTCAGGTCTCTCCCAGCTGTGGTGACGCTGGTTGTGGCAAGGAGTAAGAACGCGAATCGCTCTATCATGGAACGCTTTAATCAAGAGAAAAAAGACAACAAGAAAGTAAACAACAATATCGTGTCACCAAAGAAAAGGCGAAGCATTGTAGAGGAAGCATTCAACTCGAGTGTTATTTCCAGGCCCCTCTCGTCCGTAATTGACGTCACAAAAAAGAAGTGTCCGTACTCTAAACCTGTCAAGCGAGTTTCTCGCATCTCGTCTTTCTTGGGGACAGCGGAAGGTGAAAATGACAGAGGTGAAACACAAAGAAGAAACCATGAGGTGAAAAATGAAAAAAGAAACAAGAAAAGTCGGGAAGAACCAGGGGTAGGTTTTTCTAGTTCGTTAGGCTGGGCTTAGCTCCATTTTAGAGCAATCGCTCTGACGAAGGGCTAACGCTCGAAACGTCAGCTTTTTTACCCGTTACGGTGGCTAATTTACGTTTTCAACCCAGTTGTTAACACTAAATTACCCGCTATACTCTCCAACCGACGCAGCACCACAGTTTCTTTAGAAACTTACCCCTTTATCCATTTTAGAGGCTCAACTTTAAATATACTACGGAGGTAAACCTTCAATAGTTTGAACAGAACAGTTTTCACATAATTCAGCCCAGTTTCAAAAGCCTCGACACAGTTTGCATCGTATTCAAGCGGTTTACTTGCTTAGTATTGTGCATCTCTTTTGAAAGGCTGATGCAACCTGTGGCTAAAAGAAACGACTGGGATTGCTTTTGCATTGTTACGGCTTAGGAGAGTGAAGTAGTCTTTGTTGGTTGATCTTTCTGATATAATCTGCTCTCATTCTCAGATATACCCCCTGTCAAAGGACTGGGAAAGTGGTGGATCAGTTGATAAACCGCCGAAAATTTACGAGAATGAACATACGTCATTCTTCCTCACCAAAACCTTCAGGCGTTCAAGCACTAGCAGAAGGAGCGTCATCAAACGATGTGATGTAAGAGCAACGTGGCCTACTTTCACTATAAAGCAGCGACTACCTCTCCCCTGGGATTCGTTCGCATCTCCGAGACCAGCAAAAGTCAGCCGAAGCTCCTCGGCTCGTGTTCGGCGTAACATGCCGCCCACTTCGGGATCCAGCTGGTCGTTGAATCAAAACTCGAGCTCTTCGGCTCGGAAGTTTACAGGAAAGCATTACATCGAAAAGAAAACTATCGTTGTCGAGGTAAAGCGGGAAAGTACAGTCACAGAGTGGGGATTTTCTGTCGGAGGGGGTGTATGTTCCCCGTACGGGGATCTGCCAATTTTCATTGCAGAAGTCTCACCCACGGGGAATGCCCAAGGATTTTTACAGAGTGGAGATGAAATTGTTGATTTTAGCGGAGAGAGTTTAGAGGGGGCAACGTTTTTAGAGGCAGAGAAGATGCTGCGAGGATACACAAGAAAGAATGCAACAATAACAATCAAACGAAAGTTTCTTCAACGGAGTCAAAACCCGCACACCAATCCTTATGCCGAGGTGTGGAGTTCTGTTAACACGAGAAAAACCACCGCGGGACACAGGCAGGGAAGGAGACCGAAATCAATGCACTGTTAAAACTCTCAAAAAAAAACTGTGAACTATGAACTAACAAGAAAAGGCGGTAAAAACTCGAACGCGCGCAGCCAATGAAAAGCGCTGAAAAAATGCGCTGACCAATCAAAACATTTTCTGAGGTTTTCCTTGAACGTGCTTGGTGCATTCTGGACTAATCCTTTCTGATTGGTTCGCGCTGGCGTAGTAGTTTTTTTTGTTGTTTTTCGTAAGCCAAGCATCACCTTCAAAACAAACTAATTTCCTATTGAAAGCGCTTCATACACTCAGTTGACCACAGGAAAACTTAACCATAATCTTGATTATCGATAGTACAGATTTCAATTGGGTGTCGAAAAGCCAAACCAAAGTAATCAAAAGAGCCAATCAGAACAAAGTTAACGTCATCATTTACAAATGAAAACTCAAAGTAAAAACAGGCAACCTGCTCGAAGCGCGGGAAAACGCGAGTGACCAAATTAGGATTGAGTTTATACCTGCATTTGATTGGTTGGCGCGAGCTTTTTAGACCAATCAGAGAGCGAAAAACAGCTTAACCAAAGCAATTCTGAATCGCTTTCGGCAATGGATTGAAAACTGCTCTATAAGTTTCTGATGAAATTAGAAGCCTTTTGTCAGCCTTCCAGTAGCAAGACAAAAATGATTGTTTTTTTTCAAATTGCTTTGAATTTTAATTTCAAAGCTAAAACGTCCAAACTCAGACGTTCTACAAACTGGTGGAAAATAATGTTCACCCAATTTTAGGATAATATTGTTTTTGCCTTGATGTGTATATTTTAAATCCTCATCACCATTGTAAGATTTTTTAGCGGTTTGATATAGGGAGTAAAAATAATGTTTTAGGATCTATTTTCCAAAAAAAAAAACAAGCACAGGAACAAGTTAGCAAACAATATCTTTTGACAATTACTCAAACAGCGAAAAATGGGGAAAAACCAGTGTAAAAGTATTTTTATCATGTATAGTAAAACATTCCAAAATAGTAGTAAAGGCTTCTCACAGGAGTAGTTACATTACCAATACCAATGGATTGTTCTATTCATTTTTGACACTACAACAGCAAGTTGTTGTATATATTTGTTGAAGACTTTGATATTTGACTTAGTTTAAGCTCATGTAGAAAAAAATTCAAAACTTTTTAGCTCAAAACTTAGTTTGTTACAAAAACTTTTAAGTTATAATTTATTAATCCACAAATTATAGAGAAAATGTAGAATTCAGTGGGTTTTGTTCTCAAATAAACTGTTCAACAAACCTATCTGGTGTTGCACACGTTAGGAGTTTTTTTCCACCATTCTCACTGTTTAACTCCCAAGATCTGATTGTTAATTCTCCCCTCTAGCTACAATACATTTCCTTAAAAATTTGTTACAAGAATTTAGTGTTGGATCAAGATAACAGCTTCTATCTGATAAGTTTTGAATATTCTCATAACCTGTTGGCTAGTTAATGTAAGGACACTATAGGGGGAAGTTACTCGTTAATCCTCTCTGAGATTTAAAGGGAACAACCCCACCACGTTCCTTGAATTGTACAATGTTAGTATTCTGTGGTTCTCTCAGTATGAACAAACTTTATGCAAGAAGAGATTGGGATAGAACCGGGACAAGAGAGGAAACCAAGCCCCTTCTTTTTCAATTTGTGGTTACCTTCCAAGCCTAGAAGATCAAAAGAGAGAAAGACGGATACCACTGATAAAACTTTTTTTGCATTCTGTAACCAACAGGCCCCTATTTTTTAGCATGCACCCCTGTTCTGATAAAACACAAACATATTTTTCATACGTAAGTAAAGTGCAATCTCCTGTTACTTTATACTATTCTGCTGCAACGACATTTCTTTAATGAAGACCCTGTATTCAACATTATCCATTGAGCTTCCATAAAACTGCTTTTTTAAAGGATCTTTTACATCAACCTTTTACTTCTTTTCAGCAATACTTTTTAATTAAAAACTCATAGCAATGTGCCTGATAATTACCTTTAACAATGTGTCTCTATTCAAATTATCCAAAATACAGTGACACAAATATTAATGTTGACCTCAACACCTTTCATATATACAATGTAAATGTCAAATAAAACTGCCCATACAGTTGCTGGCCTATATCTTTATGAAGGTGTCTGAGGAAATAGCAGCAGGTTGTCATCTGAACTTGAGATCCTTGTCATCATTCTTGTTATAAGTTGTTTCATTTATAAGTGTCTCCCACTCCTTATCTTCTCCAGTAGCTTCAGGAGATTCCAGCCCAAGCATAACACGAAGCTTTGTCTGCCAAAATAAAAACATTTTCTCTGAGGTTTGCAAATTTAACACACATTTTAAAGGAAGCCAGAAGGTTCACACTTTCATCTGTTACAACTAAGGTATATCCTTCAGAATCTTCACCCTTAAACTCCCAGGGGTGATTAACATGTAACATTTCCTTCTAATATCCATACATTATCCAGCAAACAAGTAATGAGAATGCTCAAACTCATTAGGTAGGAGCTCTTTTTGTTATCAAACACAAAATTCTCACAACCAATTTTTGACAAAATGTGTAGCAGTTAAAGGGGAGAATTATCCATTAGATCTTGGGAGTTAAATGGTTAACCCCTTTTAACTTATAAGCCATTGTGTTCACATCATGTGCCAATCAATTTGAAGATGCATCATCACCCCCCTTCCCCTCCACTAGGCAACATAAGGGCATTTGCCTGTCATCCATAATGGAATTTCCTACAAAATAATTTCCAAAAAATGTTCTAAAAATTTTTTCAGCTGTGTTCCACTTCTTGTCAGATTTGTTGTCATTATCATTCTGCAGCTCAGTAAACAATTGTTGTTTTTGTCCTGTAAGTTGTCTTAAAAATCTTACTTTGATAATTAGATCCAGATTAACTGACTTGAAAAGCAGTGTTTCCTCCTTTGATAGGCAAGTGAAAACTGTCTGTTTCATGACGATACATGCCACTTTTTATCCAGTTGCATGGTTGTGTGGGGAATTTGAACCTCGCCTGGCTGGGGTGGGTAATTTGAACCTTGCCCGGCTAGGATGGAGAATTTGAACTGGAAGTGTCAAGTCTTTTGATATGGAAGTGTTGAAGGGTGTAGAGTTCACTTTTGCCAGCGAATGGCTCAGAAGAAAAGGTCTACAAGGTCTAGGGTTTAGCTTTAGCTTTGTTATGTCCACCCATTTCAGTGAGTCATGGTCACTGATTTTTCCTCTTGCAAAAATATTAAACGTCAATCCGGCATTTGTTTGGGGCATGCAAACACATTTTTTTCCAGGGGAACGCAAGTTTGAATATTAAATTTTCAAAGTTCAAATGCCTGGTGGTTGGGATGTAGAAACCTCGAATTGATCAATGCACTATTACGCTTGAATTACAAATTTGCATCACCTTCAAAGTTTCAAATTAATAAGGTATTATTTAAAAGAACCTTTAAATGAGTATCAACACCACAAGTTCGACAATAGGATGATTTAGCAAGAGGACGGGAACGTCATTTTAGAACGGGAAAGCGCGCAGATAGTCTGGACACGACTCTATTTCAACTTCCAGTGTTTACGTTGCTGTTCTCCCTAACAAGTTCAGGACATCATTTCGCTGGTTTCACCGTTGCAATCAAAACGCTTGGGATTTGCGTAAATTTTGCGCTTAAAAACAAGATAATGCTGTTTGGAATTATATCAGGAATTATTTCAGAACTCATTTCCAGGATAACCTGGTCCTTTCCTTTGGTTTATTCGGTGTATTTTGGGAAAATTTACCACTTCATTTATGCTGAATTCCTGAAAGGAAACACAATCGTTGGCAAACACCGGATCCAAGATTTTGGGGCTCAGTACACTTGTAATTGAGCAAGGCTTAAAACAGCAAAAAGGCTGTTCTTTGATACATTTCTTTATTCCCGTATGAAAACTCTAAGAATGGGATGCTTTTAATTTTATCATGAATCAATTCATCAATAAATTAAACTTGCTTCATGTTGAAGTTTATCAAAATGAAATATCACGGCGCTTACCTACTGTATTATTCGGTGTTATCTGTTGTTATTGTCGTTTTTACCGTGATTGAAAACTTTTCTGCGAATTGAGGTCAGAGATGAAAAAAAAATGAGAATAGCGCAAGTATGCACTTTTTTTTATGTTTGAAATTTTTGATCAGCGCTGGTGAAAACTAAGACAAGAAAGTCATGCTCTCGCTTTGAAATAAAATGACAATCAATTTTATTTCGGCACAGCTTTCTAAATCAATTAATTTGATTCAGTCTTGAACGACTTCATCCCTTTAAAAAAAATTAAATTAAACAAAAGCGAAAAAGTAAAACAGGAACGGAGTCTTATTCCTAAGTCAAACTGTTTCGTTGGTGACTAGTTTGAGTTAATTTCATTCTTTCACGGATAAGTAAGAACTCTCGTAAAAAACTCCATCGTTGGGTCGCTTAGTTTCTACATGGTTTCACCACAACTCCTGATAATTCCGTTCAAAAAGCATTTCTACTCTAAGAAGGTGGTGCTCAAAAGAGATGTACTGTCATAATTGAGAAGAATATTCTGTAAACAAGGGGAAAAACGACGACGATTTCCAAATTATCCTTTACAAAATTATGAAGAAAAATGAGTAGTGCTGAAATCTAGTAGCACGAAACGAAATGAAAGCGACACAAATCATAGAAAAAAACTATTTAGTGGGCTTCAAAATTTGATCGATGAATCCGCAGACTCGAGACTAAACTGGAATGGAATAGTTTCAAAGTTTAATGGCCTATGTGGATTCATATTAACAACTTACTTGCCGTATCTATAAATATCCTCTGTTTGTGCTTGTTACATAACTCTCAAAGAAGATAATTTCGTTGTCCTTAGAGTGGTACATAAAACCGAAAATTCAAAGGTGATGGTCATCTTTAAAAAGCCGAGGTGAGGATTCCCGTTGCTACGACTGCTAAATCACTTTTCAACATAACGCGACAGCGTTCTCGACTCAGTTTCTTATCGACATTTTTGCAGCGCGCGCCGTTCTGAAATGACGTTCCTGTCCTCTTGCTAAACCACTCTAATTTCCCCTGAATTAAAAATCCATAATATCACCTTTCCCGTCACCACATTTAATTTAACTCAACGTTGTTCGAATCAACTTACCCTATTTACCCTTATTGATTTCAACTGAAATCAACTTACCCTATTCTTTCGTCCTCTTTCGCCATACATTTGATACGCTACAAATGAATAAAAGCAGGTTCCGCAAAAACACCACAAGGCCAAGGCAGGCAGCTGTTTCCTGTACGGTCGTAAGTCGATCATCATAGCGCGCGCTTCTGTGTTCAACCGTCCGCCATTACTGGAGGCTCGTAGCTCTATACTTCATGTGAGAACATTCCTCAACCCAGGGCCTCAGTCGGGCCTCTCTCTTTTCCCTGGTTCTCCTATGATCCCACCCCACGTTCCAAGGGGACAACAAGACAATTTTTGTTTCGTGGTTACATCGAGGAGAGGAGTAGCTTATGAGTAGGCCCTCATTATACACATTGTTGGACGTGGATTTCTGCACTCACGGGAAGATTTTAGACTAGTCGAGGAGAAATTTGCAGGGGGTCTAGTACTAGTGATAATCTTCAGCCATAGCCCCCCTCCAGGCCCCTCGCAGGATCGCGTTGCTCAAAGCCTCATACCTTCCGCGGGCGAAGAAACTCGCGCCGAAGCGCTATTAATGAGCACGTGCTCATAGGCTACGAGGTGATTTATTTCAGGACCGGAATGAGATGCTACTCTTTCTGCTTCATATTTTAAACATTTCCTAAAATACTGCCAAAAGAGATTAAAAATAGTTATAACTGAAATTTAAAATTGCCGACATAAAAAGGAAAGAGGTACGGAGAAGCATGCCCCAATTCCAGATCGTGAAATTTGGGCATTGAACTGGCTTCTGTAGTTTAATTAGGGAAGGTTACATCCTATTTCTAGTGGCTCCATCTGATATCGGTTTGATCCTTCTTATCTGGGTCGGTGCAGTCAGAACTAAGGCTTCAGTATCCATTTTTATAATCCAACTGCACAAAGTAGACTACAAATAACGCGCGAATAGAATACAAATGTCTTGCGATATTGCACGGTTATTTGGACAGTTGGTTATTTTGTACTGTAAAAAAAACTGTACAATCAGTCGGCTGCGCGCGCTACGCTTCTCCATCCGCTTTGCTTTTCCCGCCTTAAGAGAACTGAGCTGAATAACTGAGCAGAAAAAAAAAGCAGTTGAATAATAAATAACTTATAAGACGTTTAAGTTTGTAGTACCGCTGAGTGTTTTTACTCGTAGTTTGTATTTGACTCGCCCTACGGGCTCGTCAAAATACGGTACAATTCGTAAAAATACTCAGCGATACTACACACCAAAATGTCTAATAAGATATAAATATATATATATCCTCTTCGTGATCAAAATTCCATATCATTCATTTGAGTTTGTGTTGATTTTAATTCAATCAAGTTTGAAAGTGAATATGTTACAATTCCCCGCTTCTTATCTTGATTCACCAATCTCCAAGATACGTAAAAAGGTCTCCACGAAAGAACTTGAATTTCTGTGTACCACTGTAGACCTTACAAGTCAAAATAGATGGCTGTGTTGTCATTTCTTTCATATTTGGCTTCGCGTCCGAAATGTCGTGTCCTTTGTACCACAAGTGTGGCAAAAGTTTCGGTAATTTAATCCTCAAGCACCTCATCTAGTAGGATGTGCCATGAAACATACTCCTTGACTCCGTTTTTGCGACCACCATGGAACACCAAAACTATGGACAGCTTAAATAATATATGATTCATTTCAAATTGTCACAGTCAACTCAAATGAATCTGGTGAGCTGGAAAAGAGCAACAAAAAACAGCTGTCACATTTCTTTCCGACAACTCCTCACAAAGTTAGACAAAAGCTGATAAAGGCACCTCACAATTACTCCACATTTTTGGTCAATTACGGAGCAACCAAACGCAACTGAACAAATCATATATTAAAGTTCACATGGCAAACAGGCGGACAATCAGACATGATGACATGATTGTTTGATGCTACTCTGGCTTAAAGATTTAATGAAGGTTACCGGGAAGTTACAATTCATAGACCCAATGTTTCGACACTCCTGCCTAGTGCCTTCATCAGGAGTGATCTAAATGCTGCAACAAGAGGTCGTTTTATACGCTCAATAATTAACAGCCTTTTTTTCTGACAAGGTGTAAATAGGTGTCAGGAAGTAAGCCGCCATCATCACGATTTAAAGGAGCGTGGGCGAAGTTAATGTGCCAGGCTTCCAAACAAAGGCGCTGGTGGTAACGCCGATTAGTGGTGATAGTTTTAGACTTATCCCAACCAATTGTATGGTTGGTTAGGCATGAAAGAAAACCGCTTGTTGATGCTCTTTCAAACGTGTACCAAACTGACGTTGCTTGCTCCTCGCAAAATACCGACTGCTGAAATTGTCGCCGCTATCGAGGAGAGCATTTCTCAACTCAACAACGACAATAGGCACTTGGTAAGAGCAGAAGTAAGCAGCATACTCAGGCGTACTAAGCCTCCTCCCAAAAACATTCAGTTTGGTACACGTTTAAAAGAGCATCAAAAAGCGGTTTTCTTTTGCAAAACAGAAAATTCAGCTTTATCAGGGCACACTTTTAAATCTTTAAGCTAGAGTAGCATCAAACCATGTCTGAACAAACCATGTTGAAGTAGTAGGATTATCCGGGGCGTAACCAGTCTAAGTGTAGCCGTACCCTCTCCCCCCGGTTGTGCACCGGTTGTGCATATATTTCAATTCAGTTACATGATACGATCTGGGTACGAGATTATTCTACCCGTCGTGGCCTGCATTGACCGGAACAGAGAATTTCGGACGTCCCCTACGCTGGGCTTCTGTTTCATTGGTAAAAGATAACAACCAAAGGGACAAACCACAGCGCGCATCTCTCAGAAAAGAAACCAACACAAACTGAAACAAAATGAAGTACAGTGAGAAGTTGCTCACATTGTTTTGGTATCCGAACAGGCTCTTCATCTCCGTACGTAACCTCGTGTACTGCGTCTCTGAAGAGATATCTTATTTTCAACAACTTTTCTTCCTCGGGGCAAGGATCGTAAAATCCGCTGAGATTACACTGTAAGAAATGAAAAAAGAAGGGAAATAAGGAAATAAGGAAATAAGAGAACAAAGTATTCTATTAGGTGCCGAGAAACCGAACTTTGAAATTCACTTTCTTCTCTGTTAAATTCAGAGCAACTGGAGCTGCTAAGCCTTATTTGGTGTTGTCACGCAGAGTTCTCTCTCCGCTGCGCGACAAGAGGAATTGGTAAATACGGAGATCTTGTGGTGGCCTTAAAATTTTACCTCCCACGATAAATATCCCCTTCTCTCCCCTTTAGCTGTTACACATTTCCCCCCAGAGTTAGCTGCGAGAATTTGCTGAGATATCAAGATAGCAAGCCCCTACCTAATAAACTTGTGTAGTCTCACCAACCACATTAACCCTTAAATCCCTGAGAGTGACCAGCATCAAATTTCTCCTTTCAATATCACCCATGAAACAAACAGTAAGGTCATGAGAATAAAGGAAATGATCATCAACTGAAGAACCTCTTGATTGTTTAAAAAATTCTCCTTGCCGGCACCCAAAGAAATGTATAGAGAACAGTATGGAGAATATGCATACTGATGTTAGGCTGAAAAGGGTTAAAGTTACTCGTTTTTGCGGAACTTAATTTCACGAAAGTGGAACGGGCATATTTCGCAAGACTTTAATTTCGCCATTTGCATAAAAGATTTATTAAAAGGAGCTATCTTTTCGCGAAAATTTTTAAAATAGTGATCTGGATTACCAAACAGTTTGCCTCACCAAGGGAGGATAACTAAATCCTCTCTTGGTCTCAGAACTGGTATAAACAATCTTAAATTTTCCATAATAACAGTTTCCAGTGACACTAAACAAAACCATACTATAATAAATAAATTAAGGGGGAAAGTTTCTAGAGAAACAGTGGTGCTGCGTCGGTGAGGTAGTAGAACAAGATAATTTTGGTTTTACCAACAGAGTTGATTATGTGGATTGGCCACCGTGAAGAGTTTGAAAGCTGACGTTTCGAGGTCTGTTCTCTGACGAAGGGCTAACGCTCGAAACTTCAGCTTTGAAACTCTTCACGGTGGCCAATTTAAATTATCAACTCAGTTGATATAACCAAAATTATCATATTATGATAACAAAACGAAGATGAGAACAACTGACATGTTTTTTTGCAACAAAGCAAAGCTATACAACAGCAATGACTCTGTCTATTTGCGCTTACAGCTACAGCACATTGTGAATTCTTTAAATGGATCCTCGGAAGGAAGAGCTGACTCACTCTTTACCACCTCAACAACTCCTGCTTTCTCCATCTCTTAGCATCGCAGTGCTTTTCTTCGATGTTGGTCAAGTGGAATCAATTACGCGTGGTCAATTTTCGCCAAATTTTTTTTCAACGCCGGTCTTAAATTTCGCAATTTTTCTACAGTCGCGAAATAAGTTAAAATAAGGTAATTGATCCACTATTGATATTGTGAGAAGTTACAACTTGTCGCACCTGAGTACTAAAGAGTTGACACTCTCCTGCCTTAACGGCTAGGCGAAATAACAAAAACACCAATTCGAGGTATCGTACCTTCGATGACTCTGTGAGAAATAGCCGCGAGTCCTTCACTTGACATTGCACAGGCACGGTAACGTCGATCACTTTACTGGGGCCTCGATTGACGCCCTGTGTACTGAAAGAAACAAAGAAACTAAATCACCATTGTCGAAGCACTATTTGCTTATCGTTTAACAAAGAAATAAAATCCTTCCGCAAGACTTTTGTCATGCGTTACTCTTAAAATCTGTTACCTTTCGTCCATGGACACCAAGTGTCCATACCACGCATTTACTATTATTAAGCCTGCAACACATAAAAAAAGGCGACATCTATCAGTCAAATACCATAAAGCCAAGTTAATAAAAAAGGGCGAACTTAAGAATGATGTTCTTTTCCTTACCGTGCCGGGATGATTCATATTCAATTATTCTCTCGCAAGTCTCTTGCATTAGTTGTATCTGAAAAGAAGTGAACATGACTCTTCGTTTCAAGCATTCCTCTCTAAATTTCTTTGATTTCAAAGAATGTTACCACAGTTTTTATTTAGCCACACTCCGACCAAGTAGTAGGAAAGTTAGCAGTGCGATGTCTTTGTTAATAACCAAATTTGTCTCATGAAAATTCTTATTTTCACCTTCCTGGGTTCGACAGGATTTATTCCAGGGTCTCTCGCCCCGGGAACTCTTCACAGAATTGTAGATTAAGTAAACGAATTGATTAAGTAAACGGTTGGTTTTTTGCAGACATTTTTAACACCCTCGCTAGAAGCACACAGTGTGGTAACAACAAAGAAAGTTGTGAAATTGAATAAAAAATAAAGTAGATTTTAGCAGTAGCATTTTAGTGAAACAACTCTTCGCTTTGTGGTGTTAAGTTGAGCTGGAATCAGCTGTGTTGGTTTTTGTGAAAGGAGGAAATCTGGAGAACCCAGAGAAAAACCTTCAGAGCAAGGACTGGAACTAACAACAAACTGAACCCGTTTGTGAAGTCAGGTTGAGGAATCGAACCCACGCCACAAGGAGCGCTCTCAGCACTGCATCATCCTTGCTTCGGAAATAGACAGCCAAATTTGGACAAAACGAGGTTTCACTGTTCTATAACACAGCAGTAAAAAACGCCACTTACACTACTCTCTGCTTCTCGCTTCTTTTCCGCCATTTGCCTTGCATGTTTCGTTTTATTAGCTTCTGTCTCCCTAAGAAAAAGAAAAACATTCAGTGAAAACTGTCCAGCAAAATATTATCGAAGCCGAAAAACAACCTAGTGTTGGTCATGCTGAGCCACGAAAGACATTCGTTCTAATCCAGTACTTTCCCTGCTCGAAACACGCAATGCGAGCGTGCAAGAGGTCAGCGAAGGGTCTACGAGGGTTCAAGCAAGATGTCTTGAATCAAACCCCTCACAGACCGCTCGCAGGCTCGCTCCGTTCCTCTGCTTGAATTCCGCGGGCTATGCCTCTCAGTGCTAATGAGATCCTGCTCGTAGACTAAATGAACGCTTACATTTCCTTTTCCATCTTCACAAATGGGTTGACAATCAGCATCTTCACGACCCAGAACACAGCAACTGGAACGACCGTGCCATAAAATATAGCGGCTGGTTGGATCTCTTCCGACAAGTTTATTGGGAAGTTGTACACTTGCGATGCACGCGTCAATCTAACATAAAAAAGGAAAATAAGACCAAAATTTGCTAAGTCCGTTATGCGTCTCTCCCAGTATGGTGTACCTGTGTTTAAGAGCGAGGGACAAAGTAGCTTTGTGGTAAGCTCGCTGAACTCTGCATCGTCTTACCAACAGTTATTTACTCGAGAAAGATGTTGTTCGTCTTGTCACGAGCATGGGACAAAGAAAAAATTCTGAGTATCCGTGAGGAATCGAACCTCAGACCTTCGGATTCCGTGCTCCGATGCTTCACACCTCACCCGAGCCACAGAGACTCTACGGCGAGCGAGGTCTATTACGAAGTTCATATGACACGCGGACAATTCCAGTAACACCATTTGCGATTTTCCAATAGTCAAGCGACGTGATTGAACCAGGTATGACCATTATCACATACCTTGCATATGAAGAATACATTGTGAAAGTTAAATCAAGGAATTTTCGCTTAATTTCCGATGATCACTCGACTCGGGAAACTCGTCACTAGTGCTCCTCGGGCGTACCTCTAGCCGGTAGGATTTTGGCACGACCCTGTTCCAGGCGTTCAGTCAGTAAAGCGAAGCGCGATGCTAGCGGAAGGAGGTTTGGGTCGAGTCGCGCCGCCACAATCGCACCATTTTACTATTTCAATGCGTTTTACTGTAACCGAATGCCAAATGCAGGCTACCCTGATAGTTCGGCGTTACCAGTTTTTACTCCAGAGCCAAGTTGTCCGAAGACCGATTAGCGCTAACGAGAGTTAAATTTTCATTCAGGTTTTTATATTGTATTTTCTAAAGCTTCTTTAGGGATAATTTTCTCTATTCTTGCCGGAGCATCCAATCATCAAATTGTCGACAAAAAGAGTTATAACTTGCATTTTCTTTAACCCTTTAAACCCTAAGAGTGACGAGCATCAAATTTCTCCTCACAATATCACCCCTGAATCACACGTTAAGGTCATGAGAATAAAGGAAATGATCACCAACGGAAGAGGCTTTTGATCAGTAAACAAATTCTCCTTGTCAGCACCTTAGGAAAAGTATAAAGAGCAGTATGGAGAATATGCATACTGTATTTAGGGTGTAAAGGGTTAAAAGCTTTCAGATCTGAATTAAGATTTTACACTAAACCTGAGTTATCTCAACCCAGCTTTGAACGAGCCAGCTCAGCTGGGCCGAGGGAGGCATGGTGAGAGTAAGAGCCTTTAGCAGTTAGTAAAATGGAGCGAAATACTTCACAGCGCGATAGTAGCAGGACAACGCCGTTTTCTGTCGCATTTCGTTTTACTGGAACAGGCAACGAGACTAACTTATCTTGCCGAAGTTTGCCTGGCTTCTTTTTCCGCAGCACAGATTTGAGAGTCAATAATAAGTTATTATCCAGCCCTTACTTTATTTTGATCACCACACCGGTTGGTATTCCAATGCTCATCGTAGCTGTTAACGTGCTGTGTTCAGAAATTTTCCTCTCGCATCCATATTGAAGGACGCTACCAAACGTTCCAGTTCTAAAGAATAAATGAGATGTGTTGAGTATCGTGAAAGCCCACACGGACATACACAAAAAATCACTAACCTCCAAGACTATTTCAGTTTATCCGAAATGATCTGACGAACCCCCTCTCTGAGACCTGCTCTCTAAAAACCCCCTAAAAAAACCCTCTCCAAAAAAAAAAAAACCTGATAAACCCTCTCTAAAAAGCCCCTCTAATAAACCCCTCCCTAGAAGAACCCCCTCTAAAAAACCCTCTCCGAAAAAAAACGCTCTCTTATAACCCCCTATTTAATAAACCCCATTCTAATAGACCCGTTTGTAATAAACCCCTCTCTAAAAAAAATACCTTTCTAAAAATCCCCTTTTTAATAAACCCCCCTATAATAAACCTCTTTCTAGTAAATCCCCCTCCCGTCCGCCCCACTCCCTTTTCCATCTAGAACCCTTCGGAATTGAAATGCTCCCCTGAGGACATTTAGATACCATGGTAACTGAACATGGAAACAAATCTGACGTACTTAACGGAGCCTTTGAGTTTTGTGTTCTTTTCTATTTTTCTTACAAACGCCACCATTGCAAACGAATGTGGAATACCAAACTAAAAAAGATGAAATACAATAATAAAACATTCATAGCTTGTTCCAAGTGACAAAAAAAATATTCAAAGGCTGTTAAGTTGAGCTTCTATTAACGGTTTGATCTCGAACTTTCTTCTGTATGCAAACTGTCCTTTAAGGAGTGGTCCAAATGTAGTTGTATTGAAAATAACACGGGATTGCTTTGGTTTTGCCTCACTTCGCTCTGTGATTGGTCCAGATAACTTGCGTCACTCTCTCAACCAATCAGATGCAAAACTAAAACCAATCACGACTCGGTCGCCCGCGTTTCCCGCCTTTTAGGCTGTTTGGTTGTTTTTACTCCGAGTTTTCATTGGCTCTTAAAGGTATTTTTCCTTTCTTCTGATTGGTTGTTGTCATTACTTTTGTTTCACGATACTCAATCAAAAAGCACTCTAACAGGGTCCGAAATAACAGCCAGAGGGTTGCCAATGCGACAGAAATTGACTTTTGGCAACCAAAGTTTCGATACCAAAGTTTTGTAGCTACTTGTTAGCAGGCAGCTCACCTCAAGTCTTGCTAAAGTTCTTCTTGAAAACCAGCGCTCAAGAGGCAAAACACCCTTAGTTTTACTTTGTTACGCGTTTAAACACTTAATAAAGATTTTTCATGAGCAGAATATGTTTCAAACAATAAGAAAACGCGTTTCAAGGTGCTCGTTTGAGGCGCAAATTGTTAAAATTCGAATAAGTGGTGACCAAATTGTTCCATCAAGCACGCCATTTAATCAACCTTTTAAACACGAGGGTGAATACTTGAACACTATGTAATCTCTCCTTACAGACATACTACCAAATCCTTCATTAAGATCACGAGAAAAAAGGAAGTGATCACCAACCTAAGAAGCTTTGATTGTTAAACGAATTCTCCTTTTTAGCAACAAAGGAAATGTATAGAAAAAGTAGAGAGAACATGAATACTGATGTTAGGGTGTAAACGGTTAAAAAATATCGATTTTAAACCCTCCTTCATACCTGAATTGTAACCTGTGCTTTGGTGTCCTCAGATTCTGTTATGACGGTTGTATTCAGTGAAGATTGAAGACCTTCTCTGTATGTTATGTAGCCAACTGTGTTTTTGTCTAGTTGCCGTACTATCACTAGCGGAGTAAAATAAAACAACATTGAGGTTAAAAAGGATGTTCAGACATGGTTTGATGCTACTCTGGTTTAAAAAGATTTAATGAATGTAACCGAGAAGTTGCAATTCATAGACCCAACGTTTCGACACTCCCGTCTAGTGTCTAGTGCCCGTCTCCTGATCGATATTTTTCTTTATTCTCATCACCTGTCTGCTTGAAATTGTATTGATATTGTTAGGAGAAATTCTGCCTTGGTCACTCATGGGAGCTAAAGGGTTAGGATAAGGTGACATGTTATTTGTTTGTGATAAGCATGGGATGAGGGCAAAAATGACTTCCTGGCAAGGTTGGGGGATAAATAACAATCTAATGGTTCTTCACCAATGAAGATATAACTGTTAAAATTTGAACAAATGAGCTTAAAATAACGTTACTATCACAACATACGTACTGCAATGAAATCCACCAGACACTGCATTGCCATGACCTCTGACGGAAATTCCTCCAATTATATGACTAAAAAAACACAGAACATAAATTTTAGGTTAAGTAAAGAAAAAATGTTCCAAAAAGGCTTTCAATTTGAATTTTGTAGCTGAGATTGAGATGAAAAAATATCTTGATTAGCCTTACACAATTCTCTTGCAAATCAACTCCAGAAAGCTACATTTATTCATCAAAACTGAGTTTGCTTACACTAAGGAATGCTGATGGTCAGAAGTAATAAACACTTTACTAACTGTTGGACCAAAAAATTACTCACCTTCTTTGCGTAAGGTTTGCAAATCCCCGAAGGGTAAGATTTGGGCCATTTCCAGCCTCAAAGGTGGCCTAAAATTAATTCAAATTACCTTCCAGTTATTTCAACTATTTACATCCTAGTATCAGAATACATATTCTCCAAACTGATCTTCAAACATTTCCAAAGGTGTTAACAAGGAGAAAGTGTTTAGCAATCAAAAGCATCTTTCATTGGTGATCATTTCCTTTATTCTCCTAATCTTACTGTATGAATCAGGGGTGACATTGTAAGGAGAAATTAGATGCTGGTCTTAAGGGTCAAAGGGTTAACAGCTATGAGATGAGAAGAAAAAGATGGACAGTTGCCTTCCATGATTGATAAAAAAATTTTAAAATTTCAAAACTATTCACCTTCTGAAGCAAAAGTTTGAAACAGAAGCCACAAGTTGTTTCCTGAACAGGGAATGTAGCCAAGCAAATCCTGTCACAATGACACATGCAGTACCTTTAAAAAATCAACAGTTACCTCAGCCCATTTACTGTGTGAAAATAACCTCCTCGTTGACACTGAGACACTACCATCTCCATTTCCATTCTTGATCTTTAAATTACCAGCTAGAGTGAGTGTATCAGTGCGAGTCAGAGGTGCCTTGAGAGGAAAGCAAAAGTTATTTCAAGGCTGTCTCCTTTTCTAAGCAGCATATCTGATGCCTTAATAACAAATCCAAGAGACTGTAACAACTGAATATTAAAGAGTTTGTTGTAACAGTTATACTTTAAAGTGTTTCTCAGTCACTATTAAGTTTGCCTTAACCTCAAATGGTCCAAGGGCTTTTACTCTGACTCACAGAGAGCAAGAACTAATCAATGAAATCAGGTCAATTGTATCACCTTTCCCCCCTTTTTTAGCTTTCTTCTTAATCAGCAAAAAGTTTCCGTCATAAAAATGCTGAGGTTTAGAAAATTTTGATCAACAATCTGACAAAGTAGACAGTTGGCAAGCAAAGGATACAAACACTAGTTACTAAAAACTATTGATATCTTGATTTCTTATCCCACTTCACTGAGTAGAGTACAAATAATGCGTGAATCGAGTGCAAATATCAGGCCATATTCGGACACTTGGTCATTTTGTACTGTAACAAATAAACTCAATTAATTAACCAGTCAGCTGTGCGTTACACTTCTCTATCAGCTTCCCTTTTCTTGCCTTATAAGAAATGCACATAAAATAAAGCAGTTGACAATAAATAACTTATTACACGTTTTGGTGTGTAGTAATGCCTGTAATTGTACTTGTTGTTTACATTTTGACTAGCACTACAGACTCATCCAAATATAACGAAACTTTTAAAAATACTTTGTGATACTACATACCAAAACTTCAGATAATACAATATACATATATTCATCAAGTACCTCTATTGACTGTGAGATTGACATGGAACTAACTTCAATGTTTGGCAAAACCCTGAGATTCGAGACCAAACAAGACATCTTTAGACTTTGCTTTAGACTGTTTAATGTTTCTATTTGTGTTACTTGTGATACTCTGAGAGCAGTCCAAAATTAAGAAAAGAACTCACCTTTCATTGAAAGAATCAATTAAGTTGTAATTATCGAACAAGTCTGTAGCATCCACTCCAACAGAAATACTTCCCTGAAAGGTAAAAAATGCTTTTCACAAATCATTTTGGTACCATAATACAGTTAAGTCTGCATGCATTAGACGGACTAACTTAGCTGCAAGAACTTATCAACGCTTACAACATACCTTTGGACAAAGTGTGTGTGGCCACAGCATAATTCCTCACAACCTAAATGATCCTGCATGGTACTCAATAATCAATTCACTCTGACCAAGGGCTAGTGCTCATAACATGAGCTTTACAATCTCTTCACAGTGACCACTTCACATTTCAACTACACTGATAAAACCAAATTATCTTGAAATACTCCCCTGCTGATGCAGAACCACAGTTTTTTTTCAGAATCTTACTCCCTCTCACCATTTAATAAATGTTTACCCCATGCACAATGGTAATATTTCCAACACCCTTGACCATGAAAAAGCGACTAAGAGAAACGGTCCTTCCCCTGGAAAGGATGATGGTCACATTGGAGGTCAACTCATAGATATCAGTCAGGCTATGCTCACTGCTGACAATTTGTCAGCAACCATTACACCCCTGATGGAAAAAGGAACTCTGAGGGTAAAAAAAACCTTGCTAAAGAACTAATCACAGTCATGTCAGTTCTCTTGACCTTTCAATCATTAGTCTTGTGCGCACACCACAAGGCTAATGTGCTAACCATAAGGCTATCAAGTCTTCCCTTCATTCAGCATAATGATGATACCACAAAATCTGAATACCAAAAAAAAAAGAAGCTAATAACTTACTGTTGGATTTGTGATCTGCCGTAAACGCTGCTCCTCCTTCTCTCTTTGTAATCTCTCATATTCTTCACGCAACTAAGAAAGTAACATACAACAACATTCCTATCATTAGAAATCTCCCTTTTTACCTTAACCCTTTAACCCCCACAAGTGATTAACATGTAACTTCTCCCTCTAGCATCCATACATTATCCAGCAAACAGGTAATGAGAATACTCAAACCTATCAGGCAGAAGTTATCTTGTCTTTTCACCAAATAACTGTAAATCATATGTATTTACAGGGAAATTTGTAGCTGGTAGAGGGGAGAAGTAACAATCAGATCTTGGGAGTTAAACGGTTACAATGCACTATCAATCTTCTCATCATCCTTAAGTTGACCACACTTATCTAGCAAAGCACTTTTATTCATGACTGTAAACCTCAATTACTGATAAAACATTCCTTCAAATTTTATTAAAGTAAGTTTCAGCTTACTTCAGCTGGAGACCTTTGCCTCTCAATAATCTGCAAAAGGATAAAACAACATTTTTAACTCTTTAAAAACCCTAAGAGTGACCAGCATCTACTTTCTCCTTACAATAATACTGCTGAACCCTCATTTGTGATCATGAGAATAAAGGGAACCATCACCAACTAAAGAAACTCTTGATTGTTAAACAAATTCTCCTTATCGGCACCTTTGGAAATGTATAGAGAACAGTATGGAGAATATGCATACTGATGTTAGGGTGCAAAGGGTTATTTAATTTCAAGGGAAGCACAGAAAAATCCCTCTGTCTCCTTCTAGGTGATGAGAATGAAGAAATTTATAAATTATTAATCAATCTAATTCTGAATTCTCAGAACCATTGTTATGAAAATTGAATGGCAGACAGTAAGAAGAATTATTCAGGAGATCTTTGGAGTAAAAGGGTTAACAAGTAATACTACTGATTACTGCTCAGCACTAACCTCCCAGCCAGCATCAAGTCCTTTTTGGCCATAAATGTCATAAATCCCTCTTTTCTCTGGATTATTAAGGACTAATTGGAAAAAAAATTATATTAATTATTTAACATACTTAATATTTTACTAGAGATATGCATTTTGGTTTTTTTTGTATCTTAATTCCCCAATGAAGATTCAATTGCATTGTAATTAACATACTTGAAAGAATAACATACCATCATGAGCCTTTTGAACTTTACTGAATAATTCTTCTGCAATCTAGGGAACCAATAAAAAAAAGACAATTTCAATGTAAAACATTTTGACCATTAAGAGAAATCATTCAGGAAGGGTCTAGGATCACAAACAAACAAAGGAGAAGAAGGTAAGAGTAATTTCCCTTGTTGATCCCCTCATCCCCCCTCCCCCCCAACCCACCTTCCCTAGAGCTTTTTAATTTCCAGGGCTTTGGGACAGGGAGCCAAGCTACAAGTCACAGTGAACATTCTTTCTGAACTGATGCCCAGTGTCAATATATGAATGTATACCTCATACAGTATATTTTCCTCTAGAGGAAAAAGCCTACAACATTTGAAATAGGATTAAGTTTCTTTCACAGACCTGTTCACCTTGAGTCCATAGCCTGGTTACTGAGATTGCATCATATTCGCTTAGTAACTGAGCGTACATTTCCTATGCGACTTGAGATCTTGCTTAGATCTCGGCCAATTAAAAGGCTAAAATTTCTCATGTGTGTAGAGTTCTCATATGGCCAACTAACCGGGCTACCCTATTTCAGGATGTCAAGGCATCCCCCTTTGGCAAGCATTATGGTCAAATGCAATATTCAAGGACAAGTACATTTCTGATGTTTTGGTTGCTAAACATCAGTATTTTGGCCTATGTTGAGAATCGCATATTTTAATACTAAGATAAATCTTCATATAAAATTACAAAACAAAATTCTGGCGAACCAAAGAGTTATTTAACAAGCTTACTTTTTTCTTGGCGGGATCAGTATGCTTATCCGGATGATATAACACACACATGCGCCTATAAGCTGCTTTGATTTCACTTTCATTGGCCTGAAATTCAATTCAAAGTACACCATTAGTAAGATAACATACTTGCCGCATCAATAATTTGGCTCAGTTCATTTCTACCTCTCTACGGACGTTTAAAACTGCATAATGATCCACTACTTCTTCGGTTTCCTCTGATTCCGCCATTTTGAAACTGTTCCGCTGGATCTCTCTTTTGAAATTGCGGGCTACTAAGATGATTCGTCTCGAAGTTAAGTTAATTGGATAGTACTGCACACACGCCCACAAATTTACCATATTTGGAGAATAACGTGTGTCTCAACGGACTGAAATTGAAGATGTTCGTAATTCTGTTTCACTTCTCTGCGCTGTTTTCATAGTTTTTAATCATGCTGGTTGCGCGATCGGTTATCAGAAGTCAAGGCCTGAGGTATGCTTCTTTCGTTTCGTGTGCCCTTCATGCGGCAGAAGTATTTATAATGCTGAAGGTTTTACCAACGAAGTCATGTTTGTTCCCGTAAATTGTTGCAATCTTACGCAACGCGATCGAGCCCTGTTCGCAGGGATTGGTGAATGAATGAAAATCCTCGATTTTTTTTAGGATAGAGTCTTCTTAAATAGCTTATGCAACTTGCGGAGGTTTTTAAGCTAATTAAGGGGAAAGAGGGATATATTTAGCAGTTTAACACATTTGGGTCTACGATATTGCATAGGAAATATCCTATTTATAACATGCTTTGGCAGAGCATCCACATTCGTAGAGCTTGAGATCGTTTATTTCTTCTACAACGTTAAACAGGCGAAAGAATTTGCGGCTGAAACGCTTGGTCATTTCCGCTCTTTTGATCACGAGCGTTATGTACAATAGAGAACTTTTGGAGGCTGACCAAGAATGAAAACGCTTCCTTAGCAATAACAAAACAAAATACCGATTGATGTCATGGAAATTTTGTGAACTTTGTTGGAACACGCAGGTCAGAGAGAACTAATAGTGATGATGACCTTGTAAAAAGCAAACTTATGTTAAAAAAGATTTATTACTTTTGGTATGAAAAAAAAAATCTTCTTTTCATTGTTTGGGTGTACCGATTGTGAAAAAATTTATTAAAGGAATCAATTATGAATTAGTAGGTCTTCTCAATTTAAAATAAAATCGCAGTTCTAAAAATGGAAAGCAGACGAACAGACTTTTATTTTTAGTATTATGTCTTAAATATTTCCTAGTCACATCAGTAACAACAGGTAATTTTTTTCCCTTTCGGAAGTTTTTATCAACACTGATAAATTTGACAGCTGAAACTTTCGGCTGGGTGGGACTCTAAGTGACAATAAGGTGGGAGATTATCCACAAAGTTGAAGTTCCTCATCAGGATCTTTTATCCTGTAGAGGGTGTAGAAAAGTTTTTTCTCGTTTCCAGCTTCCTGTTCCAAAATTATTCTAGATAGTAGCTCAGCAATAATTAGCACACTAGCTGAATAACCTTATTTACAAACAGCAATGGTCTGTTCATCACCATTGTGTCATTGAACTGTTATATTTTTAATTGTAATTATTTCTGATTATTATTAACCAGAATCCTTGGTGCTAGAAGTGTAGTTTCTCTGCCTCCCAATGAACCAGCAACGAACTTGAACCCAGGCAGCACTGACCTTAAAGAGTTGAAAGCAGAAATCCAGAGAATTCATGGTGAATGCCTGGAAATTCCATGTGTTGTTGGTGGAAAGGAAATCTATACTGGAAACACAGGATACCAAGTGGTGGTATGTTACAGGATCATTTGAACATCTTGTGCTAGCCCCCTTACTGGTAGCAAAACTTGAAAGAATTATTTTACATATCTTAATAAAATGAATCTGTATCCTTAGCTTGGTTTTCTCTGTTTATTTCCTTTGTAGCCCTACAACCACTCTCTGAAGATTGCCAAATTTCACATGGCAACTGAGGTAATTGTTTTCTTTTTGTTTGTAATAAGTTATTTATTCGAAATACTAGAAAATATAAATCATATGTGCGCTGCGGTTGAAGAAACAATTATAGCATCAATCCTTGCAGTTGTGAACACTTCTGAACCAGAAATTGAAATAAGACCTAAAAAAATTTCGGGCCCATATGGGATTTGAACCCATGACCTCTGCGATATCAGTGCAGTGCTCTACCAACTGAGCTGACAAGCCAACTGGGAGCTGGTCATTATGTTGGATCCAAATAAACCATCCAAGTGATGAATAATGATTTTAGATATATGAAATTCATATATTTGCACTGTGGTGAAAAAACAAAATTAAGAGATCCTTGCAGCTAAGAACACTACTGAAACGAGTAGTTGAAAATAGAACCTGAAAAAAATTCAGGCCCATACAAGATTTGAACCCATGACCTCTGCAATACCAGTGCAGTGCTCTACCAACTGAACTAACAAGCCAACTGAGAGCTGGTCATTATGTTGGATCCAAATAAACCTTTGAAGTCTTGACACATCATAATTAAATGATTTATTGTTTATATGTATGGTTGTAGGAAGTGATAAAGAAGGCTATTGACAGTGCCATGGCTGCAAGAAAAGATTGGGAACGTACACCTCTTGAACACCGGTGAGGTCTTTGAGGTTTAAACCATTTCATTGAACATGGGCAATTTGTCTCAATGGCATTATTCTTTTTTGTTTTTCAGGGCAGCCATCTTTCACAAGGTTGCAGATTTGATTACAGGAAAATACAGAATCCCATCTCTAGCTGTCACAATGGTGGGACAGGTGTGTTGAGTCCTAGGTAGACTACAGTCATCTCACGATAACTCTAACCTTTAACCCTTTGACCTCTAAGAGGGACCAACATCTAAATTCTCATACTAGCACCCCTGAATCACACATTAAGGTCATGAGAATAAAGGAAATGATGACCAGCCAGAGAAAGTTGTGATTGTTAAACAAATTCTCCTAGACAGTAACTTAGTAAATGTATATAGAAAAGTGTGGAGAATATGCATACTGATATTATGGTAAAGGGAAATTGAAAAAGGTTCAAGTTATTGGGAGTTTTGAATTAACAGGAGTTGAAAACAAAAGACCTGAAATAAGAGAAAAGATATTCACTTTTTTCTATTCATGCAGTATAAATCAGAAGGTGGAGTTAAGCAGCAAGTCCTTGTGAAGTACTGTTAGTTAACCCTTTAACTCCCAAGATCTAATTATTAATTCTCCCCGTGCAGCTGCTACACATTTCCTTGTAAATTGGTTATGAGAACTTGGTGCTAGATCAAGATAGCGGCTTCTACCTGATAAGTTTGAATATTCTCATTACCTGTTTGCTGAATAATGTATGGATATTGTAGGGAGAAGTTTTATGTTAATCACTTCTGGAAGTTAAAGGGTTAAATGTGCCTTAAGTACTAGAATGACAAGTTTCGTGAAATGCAAAAAAGGGACAAAGACTAGTTGGATGCTTTAAAATATATTAAATGCTTTGGACTGCAGTACATTGTTTGTTTTCATTTGTCACATATTGACAGATTTAGCTTGACAGGGTTTGAGTTATCAAAGGTTAAAAATATATGACTTGACAGGAAAAAAAATTTCTTTGAATTAGAGGGAGGTGTGAGTTATTGAGGGTTCAGGTTAGTGATGGTTAAGTTATTGTAAATGTATGACAGATGACATGCACTAATAATGTTTAATTTCAATCAAGAATAAAAATATGATTCTTTCAGGCTAAAACTGCATTTGAGGCTGATATTGACTGTGTTCAGGAGATAGCTGATTTTTATAGATTTGGAATTCATTATGCAAAGGTAAAAACCAGTATTAGAAATACTAAAACACTGAAAGGTTTTATGACCATTATCAAATAAGTCACATGTCTTTTTATTCATTACATTATATATTATTTCCTTGAATAAGCCCCTGGGCACTTCTTTAAAATTTCTCCTATTGGGAGGGGTGCTTGTTAGAAGGAGGGCACTTAATTGAGGGGTGCTTATTAGAGGGAGGGCACTTCGTTAAGGGGTGTTTATTACAAGGAGGGCACTTCATTGAGGGGTATTTATTTGAAGAAGAGGGGTGCTTATTAGAAGAAGGGCACTTCATTGAGGGATGCTTATCAGAAGGAAGGCACTTCATTGAGGGGTGCTTATTAGAAGGAGGGCACTTCATTGAGGGGTGCTTATTAGAAGGAGGGCACTTCATTGAGGGGTGCTTGTTAGAAGGAGGGCACTTTATTGATGAGTGCTTATGAGAAGGAGGGCACCTTATTGAGGGGTGATTATGAGGTTACCACAAGCATAAGAAAAAAAATTAAAAGAAGGGATGATGCACATAAAGGAATTCTCCAAGCACAAGGAGATAGAAAGAACTGGAATGGAGAAGAAACTTATCTCCTAAACTTATTTTTTTGTAGTAGAAGTGTAAAAAGTTGTACATAAAGTGGCAAGAGAAACAGGTTTTCCTTGTATCCTTACTATTTAAGAAAGGGAGGGAGGAGGGGTTGTTTATTTGTGAGGGGTGCCTGGTTGACATTTTGGCCAAGGAGGGTGGGTACTTATTTAGGGTAGGGCGCTTATTAGAGGGTGGCCACCTTTGAAGCAATAGGCTATTGAATGTGGTCTAACATTTAAGTTCATGGTCATTGGCCTGGGTGGGGCAGTGAAAGCCTAGTGAACAGTACCAGTACATGATTTGTTTTGTTTCTAATCAGGTTTTATTCATTGCTTTGCCTTAAATGTGTACATTTATTCTGATGAATATATGACTGTGAATATATCTAAATTATAGATTTTTCTGTGATGGCTTTCGATTTAATCCAGTTTACATGATTGTACTCTTCAACTTGCCTAGAAGGATTTGAAGTTGCAAGTAAAATTTTTATCTCAGAATTGAAGTCACAATGGATATTCAGTAAGAGACACTTCAAGTCACAAATTTATGTGGATTTGGTTGCAGGAACTGCATGATGGTGTAGAGCTTCACCAATCTAGAGGGGCAATCAACCAACTCAAATACAGAGGTCTGGAGGTAAATCACTCAGGTTTATTAAAAAATTAAATAAAAATTTAAAATTAACAATTGGTTCATATGTCAGCGTGCGTTCATTGAGATATGAAGCACACGGGAAGTTTGGAGAGCACAAAAGATGTGTAAGAGTTGCTCAAAGCATAGCCAAGAGCAACTCTAGCTTCTTGAGTGCTCTCCAAACTTCCCAAGTGCTTCATATCTCGATGAACGTACAGCTGATGTATGAACCAATTGTGTTATAACATTTTCAACCTGATGGAAATTTTTTTTCGCGAGGGATTTGTTTGCTGATGTCATGAGCGTGCACAATAGGAATATGAAGCACGCTTGCACAATTGAATTTGATTAGACGAATTTACTAGCTATGTTATAATACATTTTGTTGTCTTTCCACCACTATGCCATTTTATTTTGTAAGGGCATCAGAATACATAAAATTAGATTATCATGTTATAAGTATTGGTAATAACATGATTTTGGGTGCCATTTGGTTTTAATAAGCACAGGTAAATTTTTTGAAGACAAAAAAATTGCATGAGCCCCTAGGGCAAGTGCAAGTTGTAATCTTTGAAACATTGAAAAAGTGCCTACAATGCTAAGTTGCACAAGAAATCATGTTTTTACTTGTTAATAATATACATGAAAAAACATCACAGAGAGTCAAGACAAAATAATGTAAATTTTGGCAGCATGCACACTATTTGAGAGTGCACTCGTTTTCAGCCAGTCAGACATGCATAACTTTTTTATGTACATTAGTACACTGAAAAACAGGGCAAAAATACTGGTGGAAAGTAGGGTAACAAAATGACTGTATTGAATGGTACTTTGAGTTATCCACCTTTGTTATTTGTTAAACCATCAATTAACATGTATATAATTTCCCCCTGCCACCCCAAGGGTTTTGTTGCTGCTATTTCACCTTTTAACTTCACTGCTATTGGTGGAAACTTAGCTGGTACCCCAGCAATTGTGGGCAATGTTGTTCTCTGGAAACCTGCCTTAACAACAATGTTGGCCAGTTACCTGGTGTACAAAATCTTCCAAGAGGCTGGTGTTCCTGATGGTAATGAATCTTTTTTTTATTGTTTATTCATAAGCGGCTGAAAATAATGCTAGTCTAGAATCAAATAGTCGTTAGAGACCAAGGCTGTCATTAACCTCTTTGCTCTTGAGAAATGTACTAAGCTAGAAATCCTCCCCACTCATTGCCATAAATTTCTTTGTTGGCTAATAGTGAGAATTTTGTTACAGAACAAAATAAAATATGGCTTTGATTATCGAGTTGATACACTCCATAATCATCATTACCTGCCTGCTAGACAAAGTAGTTTTATTTTGCAAGGCAATTTAGTTATCACTCAAAAGGGATAAAGACTGTGATTCACTATAACCCTTGGCACGACATGTTATATCCTTTGTCAATCCTTAAATTCGTACCTCTAATCCTTGTATGATATTGATATTTATTTATTCTGTAACAGTAAATTTGTCCTATTTACAATCGTATAAGGTTATAAGTAATTTGTGAATGCTCATATAATAGTTTTAGGTCAAACACGCGACCCACTTATAATAGCACTCAAGCTAATTGTGGGCACATGAAGACTTGTAAATACAAATCCAAGGAATAAAATGTACGTTTACACAATTGTCAAGGTTGAGTTTTTGAGAGGTTGGTAACTTGCTGGGGTGCAAAAAACATTTAAACTTTTTTTATGACAGCTCTGCAGTCATTATGTGACATCAATTAGGAGCTTGACTCAGACAATGACTTCCACTCAGGTTTTGTAAATCAAAACAACACCCTATCTTTTCATAACCATTCTCACTCAGAAAATCAAATTCTATGATCCTCTGAGGAGACTGTACAGAGACCATCCTACCATAAATACAGGGCATACATTTTGTTTCCTGTGCTGTTGTCGCTGGAAATGATCTAGGGTTTTCTCAGTTGATTAGTAATAAAGGAACATAAATCCTCAGAGCTGTTGGTGTGATCTATCAATTATTTATTTATTATTTTCTTGGCAGGTGTTGTGAACTTTATTCCATCATCTGGCAAGACATTTGGAGATGTGATAACAGCATCACCTCATTTAGCAGGAATTAACTTTACTGGCAGCGTTGAGTAAGTTGCAGAGCCCTATCTCCTTCCTGTGTCATTTTCCCCCCTTTTTCCTCTGTGAGAAAAAAGAGAATTGTGGGCTCATCTTCCAGTCAGCAGCTGGCTACCAAGCATGAGTAATTTTCATAATGATTGAATCATGTGTCAATTTTCCTTCAAGTAAATTATGCATAGTCTATTTAAAATTGATTTAAGAATGTATTCTTAAAGAAATGCTGCTAATTTTCCATGAGCCTGCAGGGCAGGTGTAATTTTGGGAAGCAAGTGCTCAGAATTTTCTTAGCAAAATTATGACTGTCATCTTTGATTTTAATGGCAGCAGAAGGCTGGGGAGAGAAAGAAATTTGTACCTTGGGGGTGAGCAGCAGTAAAAAAATGAGGAGAGGGGTGGGGTGGGGGGGTGAATATTTTTGCCTCTCTTCATTCCCCCATGGTTGACTCTAAATCCAAATCAAACATGGCCAGTTGAACAAACGATTGCATGCTTCTTAACGTTAACTCACCCTAATAAGACGCCTGCACTGCAGGCTAATTTTCCATCTCTTCACTGTGTAAACTGTTGTGATCACTTTGGTTTATTTCTTCAGAACATTTAGACACATTTGGAAAAACGTTGCAGAGAACATTGATATATACAGGTAGGCCAACCATGCCAGCTCATACATTATTGTTAACCATTTCAGTTTTAAGGTCTACAAATACTTTATCCACACTCAGTCAACGCTCCACTCAGTCTGCCATTCTTTTTGTGCAATTTTGACTCTAAGAATTTGATGTTTTAACTCTTTACACTGTCACATCAGTATACATATTCTCCGTACTGTTCACTATACATTTCCTAAGGAGCTGACAAGGAGAATTTGTTTAATAATCATGAGCTTCTTCAGTTGTTGATCATTTCCTTTATTCTTGTCACTGTTACATTTGATTCAGGGGTGATGTTTTAAGGAGAAATTAGATGCTGGTCACTCTTAGAGGTTAAAGGGTTAAATGAAACTATGTCCCTTTAGTATAGGTAGTTTCCTTTCTTTACATAACTTCTCCCTTTTGGTTGAAAATGTTTTGGCACTGTTTGAGAGAGAGTGTTAAATGGCTTAGAAATCTTGGAAACATTGTTTCAAGCAGGTTGAAAACCACTAGCCTTAATCTTGTTCAGATAATAAAGGAAAAATCAAAAAGGTGTTTGCTTTTTAGTGATTTTCTGAGGTACAATCATCCTGCTATTTTCAAACAGCATTGATCACATACAGTATCTTGAGAATTCAAGATTGTATAAAAAGTTTGGGAAAGCCATGATTTTGGAGGAACCATTTTGCCTACCAACCAGTGAGGTTGGTAGGCATATATAATTAGATCTAGAACCGAGCCTTGGAAGTTACTAAAAACTGTTAATTTACTTGTTATTTTGTTTGCAGAACCTTCCCAAGATTAATTGGAGGTTTGTGAAATCTCAGTTTTGAAGCAAGGTGTTTTTGAAAAGGTTCTTAATATGAAGATTAAAACTCTTTAACCTTTTTTTTTTATCTTGTGTATGCGGTTGCAGAATGTGGAGGAAAGAATTTCCACTTTTTACATGAGTCTGCTGACATAGGTAAAGTTTGTTTGATTTTGAGTTTCATAATTGCTAATAGTAACTAACTAATGAAATAACAGCACTCCGTATGGCTCGAGGGCTTCGCCTAGGGGCCATAAATCCGAAAGGAGGAAACTCAGTTCGTAACTTGCCGCACGGACGTCGAACAAGCGGCATAACCACAGCGGCGTCAGTATAAATCAGCCTTCAGTCTCGAGTATGTTCTTTCGAAGAGTTTAACCCCTTAACGATATTAATAGTTTTCTGAAAGTCTTCAGAATACCATTAGGAGGGTAAATCCTCCTTATTCATGCAAGCCTCGCGCACACCCGTTTTCCTTTCGTTAAATCAAGGAGAACATTTTACGTGGAACTTTTAAATGATCAACTCTATACTCTGAAAAAGTTTTTTAAAAATACTAATTCAATTTTCAACTCGTTGAATATTTCAGACACGGTGGTTAACTGCACCATTAGAGCATCTTATGGGTATAGTGGTCAGAAATGCTCCGCGTGTTCAAGAATTTATGTTCCAGAATCCAAGTGGGCAGAGGTAAGCTTTCCATTTACCTCATTGTTTGAAATTTGCATGGCAGGATAAACTCGCAAATCTCATTATTTTAAAAAAATGCCATAATAAGGTAACTTGAACAATAAACGCCACGAATGTTGTAATCGCTAAATAAAATTGTTTTAAAAGTTTATGTAATAAGGTGCTGTCTGTATAAGGCGAAGGAAGGATTTTCAAATAATGGGGCGCTAGCCATTTGAATGGAATTCCTAGTTAGAAATTTCCATCAAATGGTACATACCTCATGCTCCCAAGCTTGAGGTTAACGCTCATACTGTAAATTAAGGCCCCGATTATTTTGCATCCCAATTTATGATTAGAGAGGGAAAAGGAGGCTCCGTAGGTTACTGTACAGACCTAGAAAATGAGTTTAATTAAATAATTAACTTCAACCAATGCAATTAATAGCGTGGAGGCGCGGTGGCTTATGGATCGGGTGGTGAGGGTTCGAGCCCTGGCCGGGGTCATAGTGTGGTGTTCTTAGGCAAGAAACTTTCACAGTGCTTCTCTTCACCCAGGTATACAAATGGGTACCAGCAAATATGCTGGGGGTAACCCTGCGATGGACTAGCATCCCACCCAGGGGGAAGTAGCAATACTCCTAGCCGCTTCATGCTAAGAAAACCGGAGTTAAGCACCGGCCCCATAAATAAAGTCTTTACTTAATTACTAATACAACTAATATACCTGTGATTTTTTGGTTTTTACTAGTAGTCCTTTTTCTTCATACTTTAGGTTAAGGAACTTCTTATCCAAAAACACAAAGAATTGAAAATGGGGTCGGTAAGTAAGCTTGCTACATAAGAGGTTTTCTCGACATCTTATCTAGGGTACACTGATACAATCTTTAATTTTAACAAGCCTTGATTGTCACGCTTCATACAGTAATTTTCAAATGTTTGTCGAAAGTAATCTGGGATTGCATTGGTTTTGCTTCAATTTGCTTTGTGAGTGGTCCAGATAATTCGTGCCACTCTCTCAAACAATCAGATTCGAAACTAACACCGATCTCGTCTTTTTTGCCCTCGTTTGTCTGCGCTTTTGATACGCGATTTACTCGTATTTACTTTGCCTTTTCATTGACTTCTTGTGTTATTTTTCCTAGTTCTAATTGATTGTTGTGATGACTTTGGTTTTGCTTTAACGACACTTGAACGAAAAGCGCTGTAACCAGTTGTTAAAATGTTATCTCTCATTGCAGCCAGAGGATTATGATACCTTTGTATCAGCGGTTATTGATGGCAAGGTAAAACCCTTTTACCTAATTTGTGATCCTGAGGAAGTACATAGCTAGGTTTGTGATTAACATTCCAGTGACTTTTTGTCTTTTTTTTTTCAGTCGTACAAGAAAATAAAAGAGTACATCGATTATGCCAAAGAAAGCCCAGATCTCAGTATTATTGCCGGAGGAAAGTGCGATGACAAGTGAGATTGACTTGAGTTTACCAGAAGGATGTTTCCTGTGCGCTGCTCATAGTGTTATTATTAGGATAATAGTACATTATGATAATTAAGTAAATGTTAAGTTTCTCAGTGATTTCTTGTTCATACCCTCCTCTGCATGACACCGATTATTTACAATTTGATTTTCGGAGGGTACCGTTCTACTTCAGGACGACATCGTCCGTTTCCGCAAACTTGCGTCCGTTTCCATCTGATTTCGGACACTTGCGCCCGTTTTATAGCCTGCAGAACGGGCTTATTTTCATCCGTTTTGTAGGCGAACGGAGGCATGCGCGAGGTGAGCGCGAATTGCTCTTCCCTCGCGCGACTCGCACTTCGCGCTCGCCACGCACTTGCCTCCGCCTGCCACACAAAATTACGCTTGTTCTGCGGGCTAGAAAAAAGGGCGCAGGAGTCCCAGATCACATGGAAACATGCGGAAACTGACGTAAGTAAACGCAAACTGACGATATCTTCCTGAAGTAGACTTTTTGTGCTTCTGGTTTCGGAAAATTGTATGTTTTTGGACGATACCATCTGGTTTCGGACACTTGCTTCCGTTTGCGGAAGATCGCGTCTGTTCTTGAACAGTACCGTTCGGCTTCGGACACTTCAGACAAAAAAAATAGCAGACTTTCGTCCGCTTTCGGACACTTGCGTCCGTTCTTGGACGGTATTGACTGGTTTCGGACATCGGTTTTCAGACGTTTTGGTCCGATTTCAAAAACTGGGTCCGTTTTCGTAACGATATCCGCTGATTTCAGACACTTCTAGAAGTCGATACACGACAAAAGTGGAAATAAGAATAATGAAATTTGCGAGGTATAACTTGTACTTCGTATACCTTTAGAAAACTGTGTTCTTAAGTAATTTGAAATCCTTTTCTTCTTCTTCCTTAGTGTGGGTTATTTTGTTGAACCAACTATCATCGAGACTAAGAAACCCGATGACAAACTCATGAACGAGGTAAACGCATTTCTGTCAAAAGTTTTCTTCTTTACGATTTATAAATTGTACTGTTCTGATTACTGCCTCATTCATTTCTTTTAATTTTGTTTGATTCTGTCTAATTTCTTCTTCAGGAAATTTTCGGCCCTGTTCTTACCGTATACGTATACCCAGACCAAAAATGCAAGGAGACGCTTCAATTAGTAAGAGCACTGTTAGCTAATATAGGAGTGTAGTTGTCAACGGTTTGTTGAAAATTATTTAGCATTGTATTGGTTTTTTTAATTTACTTCACTTTGTGATTGGCGGACTCTCAACCAATCAGCTGATAAATTTAAAACCGATTTCAAACCCGGTTAATTGTTTTCCGCTGCCTCGTAGGTAGACAAGACTTCTCCATTTGCTCTGACCGGGTCCATTTTTGCAAAAGACAGGTTAGTATTTATCTGCTTTGAGTCGAAATTAGATATGTTAGTGAACCGAAAGTGCGTTTACTCTTGTATTTTGGGATGAAAAACCTTGCAGATATTTTATCCAAGAAGCAGCTGATATTCTGAAAGATGCAGCTGGTAACTTTTATATCAACGACAAATCAACTGGATCTGTTGTGGGTCAGCAACCTTTTGGAGGTGCGCGTCTTTCAGGTTAGTTTTCCACGTCACTATCTCATCCCTTTCGATATTCCTATACACTTTTAAAACGATATAACTCCTTGGCTCTTGTGGTTGTTTATAGTTTTGATTTATTATTCCTGCGAGACAGCTTGCTTTCTGGCTACCATATCGGTGACAAGGAGCTAAAATGATCCTGGGCTCGAGATTGCCTGACAGCTAGATTTTGGACCGCCTCGTAGTCGCTTTAGCGTTTGCACATGCGTAGACTTTTGACCGCTGCGGTCACTTTGTGGCTTGCCGTTCATAGTAGTAAAATAGGTAATTTAGTGTTAACAACTGAGTTGAAAACGTAAATTCGCTACCGTAAAGGGTAAAAAAGCTGACGTTTCGAGCGTTAGCCCTTCGTCAGCTTTTTTACCCTTTACGGTGGCGAATTTACGTTTTCAACTCAGTTGTTAACACTAAATTACCTGCTATACTCTCCCACCGAGGCAGCACCACAGTTTCTTTAGAAACTTACCCCTTTATTCATAGTAGTAAAGTGTTTGATTTGTCCCCATGGTAACCACTGGTTTATTCCAGGAACAAATGACAAGGCAGGCAGCTCTCATTACATCTTGAGATGGGTCTCACCACAAAGTGTTAAAGAAACCGTGGTACCAATCGATGACTACAAATATCCGCATCAATCATGAATTACTTCAGTCAGTGCTGTAATTTTCTGAGAAGAACAGAATGTATTCGATGGTTTCAAAGCAAATTTCTGCTCTCGCTAAGGGCGGGAGTGAATGCAGTAAAGGAAGTAAGGAAGAATTCGGAAACTGTCCAGAAATCATCGCAAATGATTTGCAGTTTTAAATGAACGATTTTTTTAACAAGCGTTTCAAAAACGTTGGGAACGAGATTGCTCTATTTACTTGAAATTTAATTCGAATAATTTTGGGAAAATTTTGTACAGAAGATGCATTGATATCAAGTCACACGTAGTGAAAATGTGCATGGTTTCTTATCAAGAACAAATGTCTTGAGAAAAACGAATAAATAAATCAATTATCTAATTTTAACCACTGAATATGTCACCTTGAAGATTTCCCAGCGTTCAATTAAGATAGAAGTCCAAATAACGGGGTATTTAATTTATTTTTCTAGCCTTGTGCAAAAATAAACATGATCGTTTTCAATTGTTGTCAGTCTGTGTTGTGGGAACCAGACCTTTTTTAATTAGGGAAATAATTAGTAAGTTGGACTGTCATCAAAGTAACCTGTTTTAGGTGTTCATATGTAAAACGAAGCTCTAAGGTGAAAACCGGGGAGAACCTGTCAATCAAAATGACTAGGGCAATTTCAGTTTTTACAAAAAATCCGGTAATTTTATTCAACTCTTCTCTGTGATTGGTCCAGAAAACTCGTGCAATCCTCCCAACCAATCAGATATAAAACTAAAACCAATCGCGACCTGATTACTCGCGTTTTCCCGCGCTTCACCTGTTTTCAACTCAATCGAAAGGCGCTCTAAAAGTGCCAACCGATCACATATGGTTCTCCCAGCGCTATCCGATCCGAGTAGTTTAGTGTGGATAACCGGCAAAAACGCATCAAGAAGCAAACGAAACGGCAGTAGTACAGAAAGGGGCCTGAGGCAGGCGTTTCTCCGACGGTAACATACCATACTTTTACCAGTCAGGCAAAGGGGCAAGTTTCTAAAGAAACTGTGTTGCCACGTCGGTGGGATAGAATTACAAGGTAATTTGGTATTATCAACTGAGTTGATAACGTAAATTTCCCACCGTAAAGAGTTTCAAAGCTGACGTTTTGAGGGTTGGCCCTTCGTCAGAGCAAATGCTTTAACCAGCCTCATCAAATAGTTCGTACAGTCACGTGGGAATAGGTTTATTACTCAGAGGAGTGGAAGAATGTGAAGGTAGAAGTAGTAGTAGTAGTAGATCTTTATTTAAACTCGGCTAAGAATCTTCAGTTATACTAATAGTATTTTAATTACAATCATTTGTAAAAAATTAAAATAACTATAAAAACTGATTTACAAGATTGCAGAGTGGGAATCGAATGTTTCAAGTGCGCGGTTGATTTCCTTCTTAAACTACCCAATTGATCTAACAATTGCCCAAGGTAGCGGACACGAGCAGATCTTGTTCCTTTTTCGTAAGTGACGATACAGTGAAATTCACACAAAATTTCCTCGTCCCACCTCTGCAGGTAAAGCGGTTTTCTCCGCTCAGACGACAAACTTTTTCTCTAGGTAGTTTGTCTTTAGAGGAGTCGATGAAAAGAAGCGTGAGCTGTAACAATAGCAGGAGCCACGTGGTGAGTTTGACTGAGTTCGTAGCCATTCTGTTACCGACGCTCTAAATTCACACCTGTTATCTCAATATTATTTGCTGAGTAAGATATTCTTGTTACAGCAAATCAACCTTAAAACGGCAAAAATCGCCTAAAATAACCGCGAAAAGACAAGATGGGAGTAAGTTTTATTAATTTTACGTGTAAAAAGTTCATATTTCAAAATATCTCTAGTTGTAAATCGACCATATTCCACCCCCACACTATTCCTGACAACGTGTTCGACGGTTCCTCCCGCAACTTAAGAGGCTGTCCGCGTAAGAACGGATAGGGCAAATTTCGGCCGATCGCCGATTTCCCTAAGTCTTTCAGTGAAAGTCGAAAATTCTATCCCATGTACAAATATCACATTTATTTTGATCATTTTCATTATTTTTATTTTTTATGAGACAATTTTAAAGGTCACCCCAAAACTGCCCAATTTGCCTGCTGTGACCCCTATTACTAAGCTATAAATATCGAGCGCTACCAAATCCTTATTTCCCAATCTAGAAAGCTGATTATTTTACATATTTAAGAATGACTTTATTTCAATACTTTAAAGGTAAAATGATTGCATTCTATAAAATTTTTACCGAGTTATGAAACTTTCAAAATATTTTATCGTGAGCATTGAAATTTGTGAGGAGTGAGATACATGCGGTTGAAAGCTATTTTCTCTTACGTGGGACCTGATCTAGAGTCAAGTCTATTGCAGCTCAAAATTACTTAGAAACAGAAAGTTAAACATAGAATAAAACTTTTGGGCACTCCTCATCCTGCACCGTAGAGAGCTTGGCGAATTTCATAAATATTCGCCATCTTGATTGAAACCAACGATAAGGCGGTCCGACCTGCAGACAGGTTTCTAAAGCGTAACAGCCCTAAAGTACTTGAAGGTGCCGCAAAGATTATCTGATGGAGTATCAAGATCGATATAATTCATCGTTTCGGCCATTTTTTCACATGCAAATTAGCTTCATGCGTTCGTGTTATAATACGTGTCAAAAATAGTTTCCGTAACAACATTTTAGCCGTTCAAAGAAATGTTCCTATAAATGTGAAACTCATCTGTTGTATCCTTTCTTGACAGCTTTACGTAAAATTTCAAGAGCCATTTCCTTTGCACACAATGCGCTAGGGGAATCCAGTTTTTTTGTTGACAACCTAGTTGTTCATTTCGCGCAAGTGTTTTTATCTTGTGCATAATCTTTTCAGACCTCTTTTGCCGTTTTTCTTTGGGAAAATAACTCACCCGTACTTGGGGAAAAATTTCGTCTTACTATTTGCGAAAGTTTTTTAGATTGTGAGCTAGTTGGTTCTCATGATTAACGCCGTGGAGATTTTCAAGCGTGACTGTGGACTGCCGTGAACTAGCCTAGTCACGCAATACCAGCATTAAAAGATTGTCTCACGGCTGGTTAACTCAAATTAAAGAAACATTTAGTTCGGCATTTAAATCATGATATGATGATGTTTCATCGAGAGTATGAAAATCTCCCAGAAGAAATTGAGAAATTATGTAACCGATAGAAATTGGTATATTTAATTTAATAAACGTTTCCAAAAGTAGGTGAGCGAATTTAGTAATTTAAGTTAAAGGCATAAATCATTGAGAAAATTTAGAGGAGCCAATAGAGAAAATCTCTTTTGTAAATGCTCGTACATGCTATAGAGTGAGGGTCAACATGATTCACGGTCACGGTAGACTTATGATTTTTTGTTTTGACATTAAAGGCATGACTACAAAATAACAGGCGCCAATTTTAAAATAATTTTCACGGGTTTAATTACATGTTAATGCTTTAAGCACTTTCATTCATCAGGGTACTTAGAGGTGGTGCACATTGCTCTTCAACAAATTCACTCTAAATGCCCTATCACTGGTTTGCCAGGGCTCCATGCTGACAGTCATCCCAACCGCGGCCCGTGTGTCACATTTCATTAAAGCACTAACATTCTTGTATAAAGGACATCAGTTGCTCAATCAGGTCTTTTTTCCTGTCTCTTGATTTAAATGGTATTCCAAAAAAGCGCAAGATTTCTTTAAGCAGTCGTTGGAATCTTCCTAACAAGTGTCTGTGCCTCGGGCAGATGGTCATTCCCTCGAGCTCACTTCTCGGCAAATGCTGAATTCCCGCTCTCGCTATGATTAACTTGGCTTCTGTAACTTCGCTGTATTTTGACAAGTAGCAGTTCGCCAAATGGGCGGATATATCTGCGTTACACTCGGAGAACAAAGCATGCTCTACTTCCTCCCCACTAGAACCGACTTTGCAGTATTTCGTAAAGAGAACAATTTGGGGAGACAGCAGGCATTTTTAGTGCTAACAAAGTAAACGTCCCAAGAAACACTGCCTCGGATTTGTCTGAAAATGTTGCCGACAGATCGTTTTGTTCCCGACAGATTTTAATTGAACTAGGAAGAAATAAACAAGTTTGCCAAATATTCTTTCGCAAAAAATAGAAATGCCACACAGAAAAGTTAAAAAGTCTTCACTTTAATAAGCTTTAAGAAAAAAACATTTCGTGTGTTTTTGAAGAGATGTACCTGTATTAAAAGGAAATGTAACTACCGTCGAATTTCTTTATCAAAATTAATCTGTAATTTAATTAGGTAAAACAGAAACACACGGCTCTTTTTTAGCGCCTCATAGAAAATGAAAATGGTCATAAAAATATAATTGCAATTAATTTGCATAAAGGAATTAAAAAGTATTTTCATTTCGTTAAAAAAAAGGCCAAAATGATGATTAACATCGATCTTGATACTCCATCACATAATTGTTCCTGCACCTTTGAGCCTTTTAGTTTAAAGTTTCATAACTCGGTCAAAATTTTACAGAATGCAATCGTTTCACCTTTGACGTATTGAAATAAAGTCATTCTTAAATATGTAAAATAATCAGCTTTCTAGATTGGGAAATAAGGATTTGGCAGCGCTCGATATTTATAGCTTAATTATAGGGGCCACAGAAGACAAATTGAGCAGTTTTGGGTGACCTTTAAAATTGTCTCGTAAAAAATAAAAAGAATGAAATTGATCAAAATAAATGCGATATTTGTACATGGGATAATATTGTTGACTTCCAGTAAAAACTTAGGGAAAGCGTGACGCTTTCATGAAGTTTAAAATCATTCGCTTTTTTTCTCGAGACATAAGCTTGGGAGGCCTCTGGTGTGATTGATTACATCGGCGTTGGGGATATTTAGGGTCCATCTTGTTCCCGCTAAGGATGTTCTAGTGGTTATATTTATTACCAAATACTCTGTCGAAGGAATAGACAGTGGTGAAGGAAACAGTCGAGATCGGCGGCAAGAAATCGAGGTGAGAACTTAGCTAAAGCCCTCGCAAACGACCGACAGCGAACACGTGGTTTTGAAAAGCAAAGCTATTTACCTCCAGTAGCCTTTTTTGCGTTTGACATCGTGTGTATTATTTAAGTTGTATTCAAAAACTCGTATCTGAGACCAAAATATTCCATAATTTTCGCTAAGGGCACCCTTTGAACGATGAATTTGATGCAAAAGCGAACGTGACGCGTAATCCGATCAGCTGATTAGTTGTCATAGAGAAGTGTATTTTTTGATTATGTGCGATGCAACGGCGATTTTGAGTATGCTTTTTGTCTTTGTTAACTTCAATTAACAAACGGAACGAAAAAATTGTCGTTTTCATATTTTTAACGAAGGAGAAGATGTTGAAGATGGAAAAGTCTGCAGCTTCTAGTAGTAACCGGTCAAGTCGCTCGAAAGTCATCTCTCCTGAAGTCTGTAGCCTGGAACCTGAGTTGTGTCGCCCAAAATTTTATTCATGTCGCCCTAAATAAAAAGACAAGTCGTCTAAAGAAACAAATACTTAAAAGATCAGACTTACACAGTGTAAATAGGCTATATAGGTAAGAAATCTTTATCATGCACTAAAGTACTGTTTGTTTGCGAGAACATCGTAAAGATGATGATCAGAATAGGGATATGTTTAAGAGACAACTTTAGAAGCGTTATTCGTTTCTAAAAACAAAATGATCAGTTGTTTGTTTGTTGTGTACTCATTTCGTACTCACAGACGCTTCATAAACTTGAGAAACTTTACCACTCAAGCGGTGTTAGTTTCTAACAACGCCATGAACACAAAAATCGATCACATGGTCAGAATTGAAATATGTTTGAACAATGACTCTAAAAGCATTGCACTATCTGTTGGGTATTCACTCATTTCATACCCACCAACCTTTTGTAAACTTAAGAAACTTTATGACTAAAGTGATGTTGGTTAATTTCTAACAACACCATGAAGACATAAAGAGCCGGGTCTGTAGGGAAAGGTCTTTCGTAAGTGAAGCCATGATAGGCAGTACAACTGCTGTCATGTGCTCGACCTGTTTGTTTGAAAACGAAAGGATCATAATGTCAACAAGTACTAGATAAAAAACGAAAAAACGCAAAGGCCCTTTACTTTTTTGTTAGTTTTAAACAGCCTGCATGTTGTGTACCATGATAGCCGAAAATCGCGAAACTAAACTAAACTAAGGCCGTGCGAGCATATTATTTTTGCGTTATGCGGAATAATGGCATTTAAACAGTCATATTTTAAAGAACACTGAAAAAACGAAATTACGTAGCAAAGCAACTTGTCCCTGTACACAATCAGTAATTGTCGATGTCCTACAAGCGATTCTAAGTATGGCAATTCTTTTTGTTCAGACATTTTTAAATCTACAAATGGAATTACCGCGTGTCCTCCGAGAGGTCCAGTTGCTACCAACCTCATCAAGTCTCGGTGCGACAAAGGACGATGTTTGGTGTTCAGTGCCAACCTTAATGTATACTTTTGTTAATTAGGAGTTCTGTTGTTGATGTCTGAAAATGAAAGGAAGCAATACAAACTTTAACCCGTAATTTAGATTTGATAAAATCTCTATAATAAGTGTATCGTTAACGTACAAACCTTCAAATATGCCTTCGCAAGAAACCGTAGAATGCTACCTTGGTTTGGGTACACCGATCTACAAAATATAATAGATAAAATGAACAGAACGCTACGTTTAAAAACATTATAAACGAGCCAAAACAAAAAAGCAGCAGAGAAAGTACAGTGGAATCAAGATTTTTTCCAACATTCAAGATAAACAAAACTTTGTTCAAATAATAAGGTAGCTTTAGGAATCGGGGTAAAGTTACAGTGTTTGACTGAGGGAAGGGAAACAGCATTTCAAGGGTTTGAGTTATCAAGAGGTTCGAACAATAGGGATTCCACTGTACACTCAAATGTCGTAACTCCGATATGGGTGGGGCAACGTGCAGCCACAATCCACTATGGTGGAATCCTTGGCCTCTTCGAAAAGAAATGCCCAAACAAACGCAGTGGTAGCACTCAAAAGCAGGTAAGGCACTGCACCATCTCATGGCGACTTGAATGTTGGGTGTTAAATCCTTGCCAAAACACGCACAAGAAAGTATCTAATGCATCACGCTTCCATGGCAGAAGGGGGCATATATGATTGAAGGTGTTTCCTTGTCCTGTAAGTGGCAGCCAGATGATGTGAAAAGGCCCCTCTTCCCTGTCTGGCTGGAAGCAACAAGGAGGACTTTGTTTTGTGTTGTACCATACAGCCCCAGACAGTTCGCAGTGCTGTTGTCTTGGTTTCTTCAAAAAGCCGGCAGCAAAGGTTACCTGCAGGAGTTCTTAAAAAAAACTGCGGATGTCAGTATTGTAATGTCAACTTGCCTGGAGAAACGAGCTGATAACTGGTTGTAATGAGATGATAAAGATGTGGAATTGATTCAAAAGAATGTGAGCCAGTCCTTAAAACGAACAAGTCACAAGTTAGTTACCAATATCAGTAAAATTCTGTAAGGCATTGACATTGAAGACTTGGCTTTGGACACTTTTTGCGACAATTTCCTGAATGGACTTGTCTTTAATTTCCTGAACCTCGTTTGGTGAAAGGCTCACACTGGCTGCCCACTGCAAAGCATTGCCTCTATCAGTAAAATACCACGCATTCTGTAAAAAGAAATATGACAGAAGCACAAAGTAACTCCTTTCAAAGTTATATTGCAAATGGAGTATAATTTTTCGAAATGCAGTTTAGTTACTTCTAAAGAGAGGGTTATAAGTAACTACAGGAACAGTTAACATGACACTGAGATGACTACTATTCCTACAATTGTAGCCAGTATGGTATTGTAAATAATCATGCAATTCAGCCTTATTAGGCTGCCATGGAATTTTTAATAAAGCTATCTATCCATCTACTACAAATATTAGTTTATTGGACAGTTGTCAAATATGATTGAAAACCATGTGCACAAAAAAAAATTTGTGTAATTATCAAAAGTGATCAAAGGATTTTGGATTTTGCAAGAAGTCAATGAAACAAATGAAGTTGATGAAAAGAAATGAATTGACATGAATGGCAGTTAGTGTTTACAGGATAAAGAAAAAAATCACAACCTTATATATTGCTTGCTAAGTAATCTGAGAATATCAAAGTAGCAAATTTCTCTAACAGCTGGATTAAAATATTTCTGTATAACAAGCAACCACATAAACAAGCACCTAAAGAAAGAACTAATAAATGAATTTTAAAAGATCAATTTAAGATTGATTTATCATGCCTCAGTCTCAGCTTTGAAAAGGAGATCCAGAGGTTGACCTCTGTTAAAGTTCACTTAAAACATAAAACAAAGACATTAAAATTGTACACTAATACGCTTAGCAAACATAACAAAAAATAACTGATTGTTCTTACTGCATCAACAATGTGGTTATAGTGAGCGAGACCATACATTGCTGCACCCAGTCTAAAAAATTCACTGTCACTTTCATGTCCAAACATGAGTATGGATAGTAAATTATAAAAGCAGTTTCCATCCCCACTTGATGATGGGTAGATGGGCTCCAGACCAAGCTCATAAATGGACTGGTCAACATAGCTGGAAAATCTCTAAAAAAAATAGTATATGAAGTTAATAACAACCAATACAATAAAATTTATCAATGAAAAAAATGATAATAGTAACAATAATTATGATGATGATGATGATCGTTTCAAGTTAATAACTTTTAATGAACTTTTTACTACTCAGGAAGTCTGTGCTGATTCTTGCTGCTGATAAACTGATGTGGAGAGATCTTCAGGAAATGTTCCAGGCTGTGAGGAGATGAACTTAAGTTCACCTCCCAAGGCAATCTGACCATGCACCCTAAAATGTCCCTTGCAATTTGGGGCCTTATGATTGTATGGATTTCAGTCTAGGAAAAGAAAACACACCTTGCATTAATAGGTAGATCACAAATTAGTGAGCGAAATAACATTAATATTTTTAAAGGCTGTTAATTAACTCATGAATGTTTGCCCTCATGATGGATTCCTCGTTAAATGCCCCAACCCTAATCATCAAGTTGAAAAAAAACTTTTTGAACATCACACTAAAGAGCTGGAATTGGCCTGGTATTAGTGGACCCTTAAACAAACAATATCCACCTTTTGGAGTTAGTAGGACCAAACTGCTTGAACATAGCCCCCTTCCCAAGCTTCTAGCTAAACAACTGGTATTAAAACTTTAGCTGACAGCTGATGAAATAACATAGAAAATGTTCAAGAATGGTAAATTCCAAACAAAATACTTGCATCCTAGACTCGATTAAATTGTGAAATAAATAAATGAAATAGTATGTTTGTTTATTTGTTTGTGACACATACATGCACAAAAAAGTAATGAATGAAAAGAAAGAGTTCAATTAATAACAGGAAGCTTACGTCTTCATTCAGTTTTCCTAGAATACGCAGCATCTTTGATGTTTGGATCTGATTCAGTTCACTGCAGGTTTGCAGTACAGATTGCCACATATTACCACAGTAAACTGATTCACTCCCAAATTTCCTCTCAACAATGTCCTCAAATACAAGAGAAGGTTGAACGTGACCTTCAGGAGTTGCAAAGAGAGGATCAGAAATGGAAGTGATGACAGCAGGTGTTGATGAAGGAGCTGGAGGGCAAATGGGGCTTGCAAAAACTTCAGGGGCAGATGAGGGAGGATCCGAAATAAAAGCAGAAGCTGGTGTTGATGATACAGGAATGGGAATCACAGGACTGTGAGCAGAACCATCTACTGTGATGTCAACCTCTTGAGGGTGCTGTTGTTGATTCCAATTTATGTATAAATGCATTATTGAAATTAAGTTGTCCAGATGTGGTCGCTGGCTGCTTTGTGAGCTCAACTTCTTCAGGCCACCAAACTGGTCTGCATGCTTCCTTCCCCATCCAGGCTTAGATCTCCCTACATGAAAATACACGATATAAATTCTGCAAATCTACAGGAAAATTGACAGTGGGTGCTTAAATTTTTACAGTTAACAACTGCATTGCTATGCAATTTAGCACTTTAAAGAAACAAAATCGTGGGTTGTATGATTAGAATAGACAAATTCTATAGCTTTTTAAGTATATCAGCCCCAAAACTGTTTGCATTTATGAAAAACGAACTGTTTATCCAGTTTGCTTTCTTAAATTTCTTTACCATCCTTTTTGACTTCCCTAACAACTATTCTCCTCAGATCTACCACTCTAAATTGCACAGGGTCTTCTGGTGGTACGTCATCATCAGCTGCCATTTCTTGAGCTTGAACTTGTTGCACTATAGGAAATAAACATTCAAACTGTACTCTACTGTAAATTAAAATCTGGAAGCAGAAAGGTGGGTACTTATAACAGATGCAAAACAAAATGATGTTAAAATCCACTCAGAATTTAATGAATTAAACTAGTTAAAATAAGTATTACTTGTATAGAGAAGTGAATGAGAAATCAGAAAAATGTTCCATATCTTCCATACCTTAAAATATACTGTGGGCTGTAAATAACATCAATCAGTGCCTGAAACTGTCAGAGCATTAAACCTGTTGCAATCCAGAACTGGCCTTTCCAAAATGCAAAGCAGAGTGCTGACAGCTTAGTCCTAGCATACCATTCTTTCATCTAAAAGCAAAAAGAGAGAAATAAAGCAAAAATGAGGAAGAAAGCCAGCAGACAGACAGACAGACAGACAGGAAGGAAGGTAGGGCTAGTTTAGAATAAAAAAAATCCTGAGGTACTGCATTGTTAGGGATGTAGATACAAACAATTTCAACCCCGATATCATGAGCTTAAAAAACAGTTTCTATTTAAAGTCTTTTTAAAATTACATTGGGAAATTCAAATAAATAAATAAATATAAAATATATATATATAAAATAAAAAAAAGGAAACACTGAAATACTTTTGTTTGCATAGACTTCATGTACCGTCTATCCATCTGGTTACGCTTGTTTGAGTCTGTCTCAAACGCCACCTGAAAGAAAATAGAAAATGAAAATCTCATATACAACAGCTTGCAACCTGAACAATAAAATCATGCTCCCACACGTGAAATATAAAACTTACAAAAAAACGAATCTCTTTTTCTTGCACGACCAGCAATAGCTGGGGGATCCTCCTCGTGACTTTGGGCTTCCTAAAAAAAATAAGGAATATCGAAAATAGATCGGTGTGAATTAAAAAAATTAAATACAAAAATACCACACGATCACGATTCTCCGGGAAAGTCTGATATGCTCGTTGTAACAAAAGCAAAGAGCTACGGAAGAATGAATGTCAGCGCCGAGAAATATACTTGCTCCTTTTACAAAATGCGATAAAATTAAAACGCATTCTTTCCGCCATAATGATGGGCCTCTGTAATAGGTGGTGTATGTATCATGAAGTGTACCAGCAGCTGGTGCTTATTTTCGTCCCAAAGCCCCTCACGGTTTCAAAATGGCGAATTATCGTGGGACACTCGTTAAATCATATCTCTTGTGACTCGTCTTGGTTCAGCCCTGACACTGGCCATCGCTCTTCGGAATCATGTTTTTCAGGGTCTCACCTCTGCATGTTGACATTGTTATCGATTTGAACGTGAAAGCTGCCTCATCAAACGTTCTCACAGTTGTACGTTTTGCTCCCCTTAACTATACAACAGATGCACGTGAAGTCATAGACTGGCTTTTATTTTGTATTAGTAAACTCCAAGGAACAAGCGGAACGCAAACATCGTCATGTTGATATTTTAGGGAAGGAGAAGGTGGTGACGACGAGGAGCTGCCGGAGGAAGAGTCTGCAGCTTTTAGTGAGTGAAATATTTTCATCTGGTACAAATTCAACATAGCAACCTTGATTTTTGAATGCATATCCACAAGAATGATCAAAGTTAACTCTATTTTTCGCAGTAGATCAGTATGTTCGTGTTGAACGTGATAATTTTACTCCATTTGAATGATAGTTTTGTTTGAATGTGTAGTTGTTGACCCACCCCCCCCCCCCACGTTTCCCTCAGCTTCTGCTGCTCCCAGTTCTGCTTCCCCTGTAGTTAGTAGCTTTAGACTTTTCAAAGAGCATTAGGCTAATTTTTCAGATGATGAAGCTGTTAACAGGCCTGTAAATTATTCTTTTCATGATTTCCCAATGACATTGTGAGACAGTTTTTGAGAATTATGAGTCACCTGTGAATACCAAACTGGAACCAGCCCCCTGTTCCTCTTCCTAACCAACCTCCTCCCCAAGTTGGTGGAGTTTAGGAGTATTTCAGTTTTCCAGTTTTCTTTGGGAAACAGATATGCTTGGTGGTATGTCTACAGAAAGGCAGGGAATCTTTAAGAGTTTATTCTTACCATAGTGCCCGATAGTGTCAGAAGTACATTCATGCAAATGATGATTCCAATTGCTGCACAGTGTTTCATACTAAGGAGTGTTGTTATGATACTTAAATATTTAGCATACTATTTTACCCCCTGCTTGATTTTAACCGTAGGTAGTGGTTTAAGATTTTTTGTTTCCTTAAAGAAAAATACCAAAGAAGAATAAAAAATGAGCAAAAACCAAATTGAAAATGTGAAGAAAGGAAATACAGAATACCATAGTTGCCACTTTATAGCATTTATCTTTGTCAGCCATGAGGTATGATAGTTGTGTTTTAATTCTTAATTTGTCGGACGGGCCTCCCATTGAATGGTAGGGATAGTGAAAGGCAAAATTATTCACTTGATAACACTTCAAGTACTGTCCCTGAGCTGAAACACCCCTTATTTTTGTCCAAAAATACTCTTTCACTGTTGATATTAGTTACTGACAAGGGCATACTTAAAACATAGGCATGCTATGCAAGCAAGAGTATTTTTTTTTTTTTTTATGGGTGGGTCAAAATAGGAAACTAAGCAACTGATTTTTGCGTTTTGTAAAAGAAAAAGAGTATTTACCTATGAAAGATTCTGATGAAGATATTGTTAAATGGAGAGCAAAAAAACAAAACCTTCTAGTTTATCAGAAATAACTCAGAGAAACATTTTAAGGTCTATTGCCACTGGTGTCTGAATAATTGTTAGCAAAAATGAACAACATTAGTGCAGAAAAGTGGTGAGAAAAGTATCATATTTCAAAGCATAACAACATGGGCTCTTTATTTGGTAATTGCCTATCTGTACTTTGCCCCATTTGTGTGGAATACATGATAAGATGCAGGCTGTCTAGAAGGAATTGACATGTGATGGGATGAAGTCCTGGGCAGCTAAAAGTGAATTTGATTGGTAAATCATATCTTAGCACATGAGAACTGCATGGAAAATTGACTCAAAGTAGCTTTTAGTTCCATGTGAAATTTTTTCAGTGGAGTGGGATTATCTTGTAAAATTTAGGTTGTTTACTGGAAAATGGCAATTATCTGAGAAAGTCTAGTTCATAGCAACAAGTTAACATGTAATTGTATCAGGAAAATACCTTTTAAACATAAGATGACTAACAGAAGCATGGAGAACTTTTAAAATCAAAAATAAATATATAGTCCACATGACAGTTGACACAGAAAGTAAATATAACTTTGTGATTTTTTCAGCTTTTGCAAAAAGAGCAATCAAAAGGCAAAAACTAGATTATTGATCAAATCTGCTTTATGCAAATGCTTTGCACAATTTTTATCCCAGTCAACAAAACACTAGCCCTTCCAAAACAAAAGTTCTAGTGATAATTTCATGAAAGGCCTTGAGCCAATGGCATGTGCATTGTAAGTGAAGGAGTGTTACACAAAACATGTTTTAACTTCTAAATGGTAGAAAAAAATTCCCTGATCACCTTTCTAACCTCCTACAGGTCATAGCAATGAAGTTCTTAGAAGAAATTAACTATTACACTGGGTAGATGAGCTCATAATTCTTTGTTAATGCTATTCTTGGTGTTTATCAATGTTAGTTTGATTCCATTGCAACATATGACAGTACCCTAATTTTATGATGTGATTGGCATGAGGGACAATACTGTGACACTTTGATTGGTGCAAGCATACCTCATTGCTGTGATCTGATTAGTGTGCGATACATACCCTAATGCAGAAGTCAGGTTATGCAAGATACATACTCTAATGCCCCCATCCAAGATAAATACCATTTGATATGCCAACATAGGGTCATATATTTAATATTTTTGCTAATAACTCAAAAATCATTAAAAAAAATGAATCTTTACTCTTTTTCAGGAAATGTGAATTTTCAGGAAATTCTGATCTGTCTGAGTCAGAGCATCTGCTGTATTTATCACTCTTCAGGGGAACAAGCCCCTAAAACTCAGTGCTACGGTTCAGGCTCAGTAAAACACATGCATGCATCATATCTGTTGACATGGTTCAAACAAGAGGTAAAGAAAACTTGTGAATTGTGCCATTTAAGTGATATCAAGAAAAAGGGCAAACCATATATGCTGAGGTAATTGTTATTTCTAAGCCCTTTTCTATTGAGTTGTATTGGTTCAGTTGATCTTCATTTTACCAGGGTCAACATTTTTGTTTTCATTGTCACCTTTGGAACCTTTGCCATACCCCTCCCCCCTTGGTCCTCTATTTCCCCCCCCCTCTCTTTGAACTTTTGTCTCTCTCTTCTCCCATGTTTCTGTTGGGAAATTGGGCAAAACAAAGGTGTTTGATAGATTAAGGATTTTTCTTTACTGATTGAAGTAGAGGAAGCAAGACAGTGGGCTACAAAGAAAATTGAATTTTTTCAGAACCAAAGTTAAAACCATATCCTTGTACTATTTCCAGATTTTCACATTTCTAGACTATCAAGTGATTAACATGTAGCTTCTCCTTTTTGTATCCATAAGGTAATGAGAATACCTTCAAGTTTTTATCTTGATCTAACCTCAAATTCTTGTATTTAATTTACAATGAAATGTATAGCAGCTGAAGGGGAGAAGTAGCAATCAGTCCTTGGAAGTTAATGGGTTATAAGCTTCAGAGAACAGAAAGCATTATGGTTATAAATGTTTTGAATACTAAAGATTAAAATTGTCAGTAGCTGACAGATTCACGTGTTCATGTAAATAGGGTATTGAATATTTGTTAACTTGTGAAAGAAACTTGATTAAAAATAGGGTCAAGCAATTTTTCATTGTGTGTTAACCCTTTAAGCCTTCACTCCCATGAGTGACCAAGACAGAATTTCTCCTTACAATATCAATACAATATCAAGCAGACAAGTGTAGGATTCGAGAAAATATCAGCTAGGGGAGGGGATTATTAGTTGATCCAATACCGAATTCTCCAAACTAAACATGCATATTATGAAAAACTAAACATGATTGTGTATGATGAAAATTTGGACCAGAATTTTCAATATCTGGTTGGGCATTTATTTGAGGTAATAAGCTATTTTCATTTCATTTTTTTAAGATGTTTTATTGCTGGTTTAAGACAGGGTGTGGAATTTTGGTCTAGGTTTAAATTAGGGTTGGAATAATTTTGTATTTCAACCTAAGGTAGGGCAATAGTTGATTTTAAGAAGGGTGCTCTCTCTGCTGAAGAGAAGGCACTACTGGAAAAAGCCTCTATTTTAGCTGATCATGTTTCTCAGATAAATTATTTATAGTTTCGTGTGATATTGAGAAGGCTTTACCAACCCCCTTCCCCCCCCCACCCTCATTGCCTTCCTTTGTCCAATTATTTTTTTTTGTTTCAAACTTATTGTAAAACTCTTTACTCTGTCTGATATTTCTAACCATAGGGGCCGAATTGACAGCAACACAAAGAGTAAATCTGCTTACATGATTTATTCAACAATCATCTGATAAACTTAGGAGTTCTGCTTTTATCTACAAATACTAGTCAGTGAAATCTCAACTTTCAGAGTTTTTCATTTTATCATGATAATAGTAACAGGCAAAAAATATGTGCAAAAACACTCCAATATTTAAAGCTACTGCATACACCTTAAAAAAATTGTGTAACGTAATAAATGT